AATAGCAGGCCGGTAGCCAGGATTTGCCCGGGGGGGGGGGGGGGTTCAGTTTTCAAAAATTTACAGGGGGGTTCACATTTGACAATTTTGGCCCAAATATGGCTAAAATCACTTGAGAGAAGAGCTCAAAATGGTGAAAAACTGCATGATTTTCAAAGAATTTTTGGCCATGGGGGGGGGGAGGTTCCCCTGAATCCCGCGAACCCCCCCCTGGCTAAGGGCCCGAATAGCCTCTTGTTTTCAGGGTTAACCTTGTGACACAAGAACCAGCGAATCTGTGAATGAAAATCTAAGAATGTCTACTAGATAACTGATTTGTGAACTCTTATAATAGGCATGTAAGATTATAGGGGTAAATGTCTTCATGGATCCCGTTTTTCCTCTCATACTGTACCTATTTACAAAAGCAGAATCTTGATTATGAATACAATGTTATAGAGGATAGGGCAATAAAGGGTTGCTGATAACATTTTATTTGGATACCTGTATATGGTCCAATATGATCTGTGACTCAAAGTAATAAATACATATAAACTATGGCCTACCCTTTGCAAAAGTGGTTTTCCTTGTCTCGTTCTCTTTAAATAACTGATGGATCTTTGTTTCTCAAGTGTTTTGCCTATTTTTCATGATTTGTCTCATTGAATGAAGTGGGTGTAAATAGATTCTCAGATGTGATATTAAAGTCTCATATGCGTAGAGTGCCCACTTGCCTGAATGCTAGGGTCATATGTTAACCATCTGTGATTGGTTGATGGTTAAATGAATTGTCCCTGTTAGAGAGTAATATATGTATTATCCCATGGAGTCCAGGTTTATTTGGCACCTACTCATATTCTATATAATTATCATTCTAAACATAACATTTAAACATTTTAATGGTTACCACATATTACTGAATATAGAGCAGTAGGAATCCCTAAAACCATCTGCTTGTATCAGGCCTTGTCATTTTAAGCGGGAAATACTTGCCATACTGTATTTTCTATTTTGATGAAATAAACTATTTTTTAAATGCTTAAGATGGAAGTTTTGAGAGAGAAATTGGTGTGATTTACACAGTACAAAGCTTTTAGTTTTTATTTAATACATTCCAGTAGTACAGTTGTTTTAAACAAACATTATAGTTTGATAATTAAGTTATAACAGTACTTTTTTATTAACAATTTTAATATGGGTGCAAACGTTTCACAGGTGTAAGTTTGTCAGAAAAAATGAAGGTTAAATATTTTACTTGAATGGGTAGTTAAGCTGAATACCCAATACTTGAGATGTTTTAATGATACATGTAGACAAAAATAAATAAATAAATTTGGCAGTTTACTACAGTAACTCATGGTTCTCCAGTGGAAAAATACAGTCCAATAGAATGACCTTTAAAAACAAGTAGAGTCATTTTGATAATAATCAACCCTTTCTTTTCACTAGAAACATGGCTGAAAAGAATTGAGATGTCATGGTTTATCAAGATGAAGTCGTGTCAGTTTTATGGTATACATGTACATTAAAACCTGTAGAACATCTTTAGCATTTCTAAAAAGTGGTTGGAGGTGTTCCCTTTATCTTAATTGGTCTTGGGACACTTAAAATGTTCCACTAACAGAGGTGTTCCACTTCTGGAGGTGTTTCACTGTAATTTATGTGCATTCTACTGTATAACACACATCCAAGTTTGAGTTTGAAGTAAGCATTCTGCAAGGTTTTCTGGCAAAATTGAAGAAGTGAGATGATTGCACAATGTAATAATAATAGTAAAACTAAGTATCCAACATTTCAATAATCTGAAAACCTCTCACTTTTTCTCTGTCCCAATTTTGTAGCCAAGTCAAGTAGTGAGGGGGGGGGGGAGGTCACAGGGGCTTGTAGCTAGACTAGCTATCTGGCAGATAATACAAAAGTAAAAAGAGAAAACAAAAAGATAAAGACCTGACTGCAGCCTGCCAACATATTTAGCCTTACCTTTTTAGTCATGGTTGATGCACTTGTACTTTAAGTACTGATTCAACACTGTGTTAATGAAATAATTCATTGTAATAACTGGCACCTGTTCATTGGTGAATCATCATATAATTTATATTTATTTATATTTACAGGGCATTTTTAAATTGTCTATTTACCCATGGCTATTCCATATTAATTCATGAATGTGTTTGATTTGTTTTATTTTTATGTCGTAATGAGCTTTTGAATTTTTTGAGTAGCTTTGGGGGTTGGCTTTGGTATAACATTTTATCACGATCACACAGACCTGTGTCATCATAACTTTTGGAAGAGTTAAGGTACAAGGTGAAATGGTTGTCTATTAGGGGTAAATTGTCATCCATTAGGGGAAAATTGTCATTTTTACAGATGTTTTAATTTTTACCTAATTTACAGATGTTTTAATTTTTACCTAATTTTAATCCCCATTGCCCTTTAATTTTGATGATTTGGCATGAAGTAAATTGGCAAAAAACATTCATTTCCCAGATTCAGAAGTAATTCCTACCAAAATGCGCACAATGGAGACTGTCTTCAGTTTGCAAGTCTTCAAATTTGGTAATCACGACTCCCCCAGAGAAATCAAGATAGTCTCCTAAGAAGATTTAAGATGTTACAAAGACACATTGCAACAATATATGCAGTCTATCTCATGGATGCAGAATCAATGTGATTGACCCCAGTCATGTTCATATCAGATGAAACACATTGAATGTGTTGAAAATCATTATTAATTGATATTTAAGGTAGATTTAGATTAATTAATGAGCCCTACCCTATGCTTAAAATTCAATCTGCTATTGGATATTTAACTTAAATTTCTGTCAAAAATTGAAATGAACTATGATTTTTTGTGGCATTTCTATATGATTTAGATTTTTACTTATGTCTTTTTACTTTATTCCTTGCTCTATCCTCTCTTTTCTATTTTACTTTTTGAATTTAAAACAAGACTCCCATGAAATCAAAATACCCTGAAGCTGTAGACAATGTAACACATCCCTTGCAAAAAGTATGTTTTAAATTATTATATTATTTTACCAGGATTTCATGCTTTTATTATACTAATGAGAAAAGCAAGGAATATCATTAAACAGTACTTATTTTGTTTTCAACATTTGAATGAAGAATATCATAATGATACATTTGATAAGAGTGGACTTTTTTCAGGGGAGGGTATGGCATTGTTATTATAAATATTATATGAGCATGTGCTGAATTCTAAATTAATGTTCTGGGTGTTGAAGCATTGTTCTACTTTCAAATGAGGTACAACATTTACTAATAATGAATGAAATTAAATTTACAATATTGCCCTTTGCTTGATTAGTTAAGACCATTGTTATTATAAACAATGCCATCCTAATTTGTTTCTACCTGAAGACCAGAAACACAAAATGATGAGTTACATAGTGACATAGTGAGGTTAATGTCAGACTGCACTTTCTACCATTTTGATGACCATGTGCTTTTTTCAGATGAACATAACTCATTCCAAACATGGCCTAAATCTTTCATTTTTTCATAAATTGTGCTTTAGTATACCCAGATCATAAAATGACTGTCAATTTCTCTTTAGAATGTAGAAATAACTCTAGAAAATTGAGCGGTCTTTTTTTAAATTGCAAAAATTTATTGTTATGCAGATCTGCCTTAAGCCACTGAAATAATAGCTAATAGGAACGAACCGATCTAAAATGCAATGTTATTGTTTAATCTCTGATCTCACCGAGCCAATCAGAGTTCGTCATCGAAATACTGACAACTTTCTATATGGTCATTTCCTATAGCATCACCGCATAGTTAATGAGCACATATTTAACACACGTTCCTTCCACTTCGCTGATTGGCTAAGAAAGGGTCAGTGTGGTAGATTTGAAATGATTTATTACCCTGACTGTCACAGGCACCAATCTTTGGGGCGGAGCTGCTAAACTGTAATATAGTCTATACTAGGCAGAGGGTAGTTTATAACAAGACTCTGCGTGCAGGGTAAAAGCAAGGTTGATTAGATTTTGTAGCAGTTACCATAACTGATCATCTGAGTGCCATCCTTCATTCAAAGGATGGGTATCGATATGGCAAACTTTTTGAACACATGTTTCTCTTGAACCAGTCATCAAAAAGTCTAAAAATTTTACACATTGTCAATTAAATGGTCATATTTTGAATGGTAACAATATTATTTGAAATAGATATATATATATACTTTACTCTATATTGTTTTAGAAAACACATCGAAAACATATCAATACCAATCCTTTTGGATAAATGTAAAGGTGTGAAATAAGATATGAAATGATACAGACATTCTTTTCCCTTCTCAAGTGCTAACAGCCAGTGGGAAGTATTGCTTGTTTCTCAATGAAATAGTTGAGCCATGCAGATAATGTTATGACTCAGGGCCTTATCTGTCTTTGCCCCATTCAAATAATTAATATGTAATCATGCTTATTTTATAGTTTTCTCTTTGAGTTCAAATTTCGAGTGTTCAGTCATTTTCATTTCAATACAGACTTTATTCCTTGGTAGTTCCATGGGTTTTCGCGATATTTTATTATTTGATAAAAGACCATTGTGATTTTTTTCTTTTTGGAATATCCCAGAGTATCAGTGCAATGCCAATGGAAGGATTGTAGAAATCTTGTATAATTGTTCAATAAAGTTATTGTTAGAGAAAATATTATGATATTATCAACTTTATTAAGGAATAGTGTGGCCTGAGAGTCACTTATATTGATTGAAGGAACAGTCATGCTTATTCTACTGGAGCATGGTATATCTGAGGAAGGAGAATTTATTTTCAGTTGAAGCCTTAGACTGGTCTATTAGGGCTCATTTTCAAGAGACTCAACAGGCCTCACATTTTGAAGAATAAGCCCAAATTGAAACAATGGACCAATTTTGAAAAAGTATTTTTGAAACATTTTTTTCATGCATTTGCTGCTTATTCCTATATGTATCTTGTGGATGTATTTACATTTTAGTAAATACAATGAAATCTATTTCTCTATTTCCAGACATCAGAAAAAGGGCAAGTCCTGCTGGATAAAGTATATGAGCAACTAAATCTAATAGAAACAGACTATTTTGGCCTGAGATATCTGGATGATAGCAACCAAACTGTAAGTACAGTAGACTGGGAATCTGATTGTGAATTTTGTGTATTATCACTATGAACAAACACCTCTCTTGTCTGATAAGGCCATAAGAAGTAGATTCTTTGTTTTGCGTCCTGGCAAAATCCAAATCATTCAAGGGTACAAGGAAAACAAACACAAACTCAAGAAAAAACACTTGTTTTATGGGTATAAAAAGGGCTGACAAGACAATTTGCAGTGATTACAAATACATATTTATACATTTTATACAATATATTTAAACATAGCTATTATTCAAGGGTATAAAACAAGAAAATACACAATGTATGGCAAAGGAATCAATAACACTGTCAAATTTGACGCACATCAAATTATCCGTCATTTCGTCTGATTCTGATTGAATGCAATGGTACTTTCAGACCCTTGTGACTGCTATTTGGATGTGTTTGTTTTTTCTGATTTACTCAAAATCATGCAAGCAAGGGAACGCAAAACAAAGAATCTACTTCTTTTGGCCTAAGCTCTCAATGCGAATGCATTTTGGTTCCATTTTTAATCCGATATACCTGTTAAAAACCTCGAAATGTGAACACCAGCCAATGCAAACACTCTTTGCCAGCCCAAGTAGTCTTTGATATAAAAAGGTTTTACTGTGCAGGTGCAAAAAGAAGAAAAGCAAAAATGTTTTAAAGATTACAGTTTGGAAAACAACTCATATATTTATAGTAAGTCAGATCTCTAGGAAAACTCTCCAAGTGAAAAGTTTGAACATCATAAAGGCTAATCTTGGTTGTAAAACCTGCATTAATTAAACACATTTTGTACCTCAAAATAGTGTTTTACTTTTGAAGTAGTATGGTTAATTTTGCTGAGTTAATATTGGTAAGAGGTTTTATGATCTTTCACTTATGGAGGTGTTCCACTTTCAGGTGTTCAACTTTACAGGTTTTAGACACAGAGAGTAAGTCATCCCCTCTAATATTCTCTGTATTAAAAGTCTTCTGATATAGACTACAGAATATAAGAGAGAGGGGTGACATTCTCCAAAATCGGTTCAGATTTGAGCTGTCATCATTGAACCACACTTACATTTACTTACTTATATATAAAGTTTAAGACTTAGCTGATCATAAAGTGCTTAAATCTGTGATAAAAAGTTGATAATTCAAAAACAAGGCTTCATTTTAAAATGCAAACATAAATATTTATTGTACGTAAAGGTAAGATAAAGGTTGCAATAAAGCAAAAACTATGTTCCATAAAAATTGTTATTAAATATACTTTAATGATATAGAAAATTGTCATTTTGAATTTCAAGTTGAATGTTTATCTACCCTTTGCATTTGTAAGCTTCTTAAAAGATAGCTTCATCTATGCTCTTAGATAAATATCTCAACTCGCAGAACCAACCAGTTCTTGTCTCACCAGAAGGATGATTTTCCTCTGATGTCACTGATGCAGTACTGAACATCAGCATTTGAATTTTATTGAATGTTGATGTTCTTTCGTTGAGAAAATGTCATCATGACGAGTTATAGTAGATTTTTAAATCCGATGTGTGATATCCACCACCAATGGGGGTTGGGCTGTAAAACTCCAAAATTGTCCAACATTAGAGGATACTTTTAAACAGAACTCTGTGCTAAGGGTAATATTCATATTGTGTCTTGTGTATTTTCAGCACTGGCTGGGTGCTTTGAAGAAATTGGGTTCCCAGTTGAAATCAGGATCTCCCTACACATTCTACTTTGGGGTGAAATTCTACCCAGCAGACCCTTGTAAACTACATGAAGAGATCACCAGGTAAAATAAACATATACTCTCTGAATGAAAATGAGGGTGGTTATTTAAAAAATTCGAAATAAAGGGAAAAGAGAGATATCTTTTATTATTTACTTTTTATAAGTAATATAATAAATTCCGAAGCAAAAATAAGTTAGCGGTAAGCCTAATCTGGATGGATAAGACTTGTGGAAAATTATAATAATCATAAAGTAAGAAAATTTTGAAATGCCAAATATTACAGCATGAAGGCTTACTATTTTCTGGTATAGAGGTGTTACATCAGTTAATGGCTTAGTGACTATAATCTAATTTGATGCAATGTTAAATCTTGTTAAAGTTTTGTTGTTCGTTATTTTAGTTTTGGCTTACATATTCACACATATGAGTATCAAAAGCAGCTTTATTGTTCCACCTTTTTAACTTATTTTCTCCATATTTTTAGAAAAAACTATGAGATTTTCCAGGTTTTCTTTACAATTTAAAGTATTAACTGCATGTCTATATACTTTATTCCTTGATAAATCCATGCTATGCCACTCTATTGTCAAATTTAAAACATGACCCCTGACATGACTTTTCAAAGGATAGGCTAAATTCTGTTACTTAATATTATCATCTATTATATTTCAACACATTCTGCTATAGCTTGTCAATCAGCCTAAATTTCAAGAATGAGATTAGTAATATGATCACTTACCCATTTTTAAATTTTTGGACGGTCATGATTCATAATATAAAATAGACTATAAAATAAATGAATAAGTCAGAATTAAACTAAATAGGCATGTAGTCAACACTCTAAATAATATGAAAATGCAAGAAAATTAGACACTTCATTCAAAATTTAGAGAGAAATGAAGTGAAATAAGCATGAGCAGACGGACATTCTCAACTATGCAGACGGACATTATCAACTATGCAAAATTAAGCCATGATCAACAATATTATGTATCATCTTAAAATAAGCCTGCCCAAATCTTATTTTCTATTATTTTCTATAATTATATTAAATCACTCCAATCTCACACCTTTATAAAAGTTTATATATATTAGAATTGTATTAAATATTTTGCCTTTTCATAAAATATCCAACTTTCTTTTTAATCATTTAAAGTTTTCGTGAACTTAGTTATTGTAAAAGTGTTGTAATTTTTCTGGTCTCAACATTTAAAGATAATTTTAGGTTCTGTTGGTTGTTGAGTTATTTTAGTCAATTCCATTTCAACAGTATATATCTTTTGTATGGATAAATATGTGAAAATATATGATTTTTTGCAAAGGACCATTTCCACTTGACTTCTGTTGAAAAAATTGGATAAAGTAAAGTCATTGATACATGTAACTAGTAAAGGTGCCAAGAAATCACCAAATACCACCTTAAAATGATGACAGAGGGAGTTATGTGCTTTCTGACCCGAGTCAGTTCCCATCTCACATAATAACATAAAATCTAAAAGAGATTGTGATAATTTGATTATCAAATAGAGGAGAAATTATAGATTAAAAGTCCTCATACAAATAGCTTTGAAAATTCCAAGAGAGGGCTATTGTGAAATTCTTTGAACAAGGGTCAATCGCTGTTGTCAATTCCAAAATTATTTCAGAACTCAGAGCGTTGTTATCATCTTAAGCCAAAATTTGAAAAGTTAGAACTTAAAAGGCACTTCACTTGAAAAGGAAGTTTTAACAGTTTTTAACAGTTCCATGTATGGTCAGAATATTGAGCTCATATCTTGTTAACCCAACATATGAAAGATATGTAACACTTTGGATTGCAATACTATGTAGAAAATTTTGGAATTGGCAAGGAATAAAGTAAACAGGCATGTAGTTTACAGTCTAAATTATATAGAAATGAAGAATATCAGATACTTTATTTAGATTTCATAGAGAAGTATAGAGAGATAAGTATGAGTTCCTTGTTGATATATGTTGGCTTACAGATAAGATATTGTCTAAATCATACACCTGTAAGGGGATAACAACTTAACTTTACTTTTCAGTGTTTTGATTTATAATTTCACTTTGTGTACCCTTTGTCCTTAATATCAGTAATTATTTCCATAATATCCCTGATAGCACATTGTTGGTCCATATCAAGTTGTTTATATAAAGGCCTTGTGTAATTTGTTTGAACATTTCAAATATAATTTTTCATGATTTAAAAATAACCTGCAATCTGAGCCATAAGACATGTTTTCTAAAGAAAGCATAGAATGCATTGTTCCATTCATTGCCTCGTAACGGAAAACACTGCTACTGGCATATGAAGAAATCTGATTCAACATATCCTATATTTTTGAAGGTACCAGTTTTTCTTGCAATTGAAGAAAGACATTCTACAAGGACGTCTGCCTGTGGATTTTGATACATCTGCTGAGTTGGCAGCATATGCCGTGCAATGTAAGTATGCTATGCAATGTAACAATTTTGTGCAATGTAAGTATACCTTGAACTGAAGTATACCATGTAGTGTAAGTGTGCTTTAGTCATTTGTAGTTAACTCACTTAAATTCTAATAAGAGTTGAAAATCATTAAATCATTAAGAAAAATCGTATTACAGGTGGAATAGGCAGTCAGCATCTGATAAAATTAACTTTTTAGGATTAAGAGCATTAGATTCCATATTTATATGTGTATGTAAATTTGTATTTATTCATTATTTCAGCTGAACTAGGAGACTTTGACCCTAACCGTCATTACTTTGGATATGTCTCTGAATTCCGCTTTCTTCCACAACAGACCCCTGATTTTGAAGAGTTGGTCATGGCAATGCACAAAGCCCTTGTGTAAGTATACAAGTATATCAAAAGGGTATATTGAATACCTAAGAGCTGGTCATGGCAATGCACAAAGCCCTTGTGTAAGTATACAAGTATATTAAAAGTGCATATTAAATACTTTGAAGAGCTGGTCATGGCAATGCACAAAGCCCTTGTGTAAGTATACAAGTATATTAAAAGTGCATATTAAATACTTTGAAGAGCTGGTCATGGCAATGCACAAAGCCCTTGTGTAAGTATACAAGTATATTAAAAGTGCATATTAAATACTTTGAAGAGCTGGTCATGGCAATGCACAAAGCCCTTGTGTAAGTATACAAGTATATTAAAAGTGCATATTAAATACTTTGAAGAGCTGGTCATGGCAATGCACAAAGCCCTTGTGTAAGTATACAAGTATATTAAAGTGCATATTAAATACTTTGAAGAGTTGGTCATGGCAATGCACAAATCCCTTGTGTAAGTATACAAGTATATTAAAAGTGCATATTAAATACTTTGAAGAGCTGTTCATGGCAATGCACAAAGCCCTTGTGTAAGTATACAAGTATATTAAAAGTGCATATTATTAAATACTTTGAAGAGCTGGTCATGGCAATGCACAAAGCCCTCGTGTAAGTATACAAGTATATTAAAAGTGTATATTAAATACTTTGAAGAGCTGGTCATGGCAATGCACAAAGCCCTTGTGTAAGTATACAAGTAAATTAAAAGTGTATATTAAATGCTTTGAAGAGCTGGTCATGGCAATGCACAAAGCCCTTGTGTAAGTATACAAGTATATTAAAAGTGTATATTAAATACTTTGAAGAGCTGGTCATGGCAATGCACAAAGCCCTTGTGTAAGTATACAAGTATATTAAAAGTGTATATTAAATACTTTGAAGAGCTGGTCATGGCAATGCACAAAGCCCTTGTGTAAGTATACAAGTATATTAAAAGTGTATATTAAATACTTTGAAGAGCTGGTCATGGCAATGCACAAAGCCCTTGTGTAAGTATACAAGTATATTAAAAGTGTATATTAAATACTTTGAAGAGCTGGTCATGGCAATGCACAAAGCCCTTGTGTAAGTATAAAAGTATATTACAAGGGTATAGTAAGTACTTTGAAGAGCTGGTCATGGCAATGCACAAAGCCCTTGTGTAAGTATACAAGTATATTAAAAGTGTATATTAAATACTTTGAAGAGCTGGTCATGGCAATGCACAAAGCCCTTTTGTAAGTATACAAGTATATTAAAAGTGTATATTAAATATTTTGAAGAGTTGGTCATGGCAATGCACAAAGCCCTCGTGTAAGTACATACTAAAAGTATATATTAAAGACTTTGAAGATCTTCTAAACACATGTGTTACAGTATCAGTAACTCTTTCCCTTCTGTTTGCCCTTGGGTTTTCAAAGATGCCTCTTTTAGTACTAAGCAGTATATTTGGATATAAGAATTGTATCAATGTTGTTGTATAATCATATAAATATTTTAATAATAAGCTATGAAATGAATGTCAACTCAAGATATCTGCTCAAGAGTTGGTCTTAATGTTAGTTCTAATTTAACAATGCATATGTGATGACTAAATATCATCATATTATTTTCAGTGGACAAGTACCAGCTTTGGCAGAATACAAATACCTGGATAAAGCTAAATGGTTGGAAATGTATGGTGTAGACCTTCACCCTGTTTTGGTATGTAATTGGGTAAAATAATTTTTATTATATAAATTCCTTTGAAATAAAGTCAACATTTTTATGTACAATGTAGCATTGCCAATGCCATGAGTGAAATCCCATCGAGCATTTTCTCCCCTGAATGATTTGATACTAAGCATTTTCTTCTAAAAGATAAGTAAAGTTTCATTGCCTCTATTAAGCAAACCTGGAACTAATAAAGGAGATGCCTGTATGTGTTGTTTTAACAAGGAAAAACAAAGGCTCCTTGAGATAGAGAGAATGTTTAAAAGATGGCAGGGCAGTCAACCTGCATTAAATTACCATATGGACTACACTACTGCCATCTTTATAACAGCCTTAAACTTACAAGAAAAACATATGTTGAACAATAGTGCAGTTAAAGTGTTCAGAATTGCAGGTGTTCACATTTTAAGGTTTCTTTATACAAGGGTCAATGGGAAATAACAAAATTGGGACTGAGAAATATAGGTTATTTACTGGGAGGGATTGAATATGGGTTTCATTTCGAGGGACAATATGATATTGTGCAGTTAAAGTGTTCAGAATTGCAGGTGTTGTCATTTTAAGGTTTCTTTATGTAAGTCAATAGGAAATAACAAAATTGGGACTGAGAAAAAGATGTTCACATTAGGAGGTGTTCAGATAAGCTTATGAGAGAGGTGTTTGAATATACATATTGTACTTATACTATCCATACTCTATTGTTTTTATGTTTTTTAGGGTGAGGGTTCAGTTGAGTACTTTGTTGGTCTCACCCCAACTGGTGTTGTTGTCTACAAGAATAAACAGAAAGTTGGAAACTACTTCTGGTGAGTTTGAAAGTGAAGAAAACACTGGCCTCTCTGAGTAGAACCCTTTCCAATTACACGTATTCCCATAAAAGCAACAAATAAATGCAACTTGTTATATTTTGAAAAATAGAAGACAATTGTAGTAGTCCTTGTTGAGCTGGCATACTTCTCCTTAAATATGCCAATCCCCTATAAAAAAGTCTAAGCTATAAAGCAAAACCTTTATCCAAACCTACTGTCACAGAAAAACTCATGGTTGATATCTTGTTTTTAACTTGAAATTGTGTTCACAAGAATTTAATCAAAGGGTAAGGGAAATTTTCAGAAACATATCACCAAACTTTCACTGGCACTGTTAGAATCAGAATTAGTCAGTTAAGTCCATTTCAATATATATATAGATGTAAATAATTTATTTTCTAAAATAGGCCAAGAATAACAAAGGTGACGTTCAAGGATAAAACATTCAAGATCAAAGTCAAGGACAAAGTTGTAAGTATGACAAATCTCATTTTTATTATGAATTCGGAAATTTTGTTGCCATAATGAAGCAACTGTTATGTTTAAATTGGAAGATTGTGGGTGTTTAAGCTGAATAAATTGAAGATGTACGAAGGCATTACTTAAAATTGTATAGAAATGTCCATTTGGACTCACGAAAGAAACTGAGCAGCCTCGGTATAATGAGAAATATTTATGGCACATCTTTTTCAGAATAAGGAGAATATATATGGGTTTACTTTGGCCTCTAAAGCTGCCTGTAAACATTTGTGGAAATGCTGTGTGGAACATCATGCTTTCTTTAGGTACGTAACTTAATATTTTCCATTGATACATCACTTATAATGCTTGCTTTTTCTCATGTAGAAATAACTTCATATTCAGATGCAATATTTAAATTGATCACTTTCTTATATCATAACACTTCATATTTTCACAAAATCTGTTCACAAATACACTGTACAGATGACAACAAGCTTGGTTGGGAAACCAAACAAACTATAACATGGCTGTATTTGAAAATATTAATTGATGGTTCTAATTGAGCAAGCCATACTAACTAACATTGTTCTATCGGCAATCCATACTTATTGCATGTATTTTTGGCAGGTTTGGCAAGTCTTACTGACTTTGACCTACAAGCAAGCCATACCTAAATTATTTTCCTGGGTTGGCATGTTATCTTAATTGAATACTTCTATATTGGCAAGTCATTATGATAATGATTCTGTGTTGGCAAGCCATTCTAAATGAATGATTCTAGTTTGGCAAGCCATACAAACTAAATTGAATCTGGGTTGGCAAGCCATAGTAACACATACTGCATGGTTGTATTTAGGTTGACACAGGTACAGAGTTATGTAGGAACAGCTGGGAAACTTTTCAGTCTAGGTTCTCAGCACAGATATAGGTTTGTTGGGTTATGCTTGTGTTTCTGTGTTTGATAATGTTTCATGTCTTTTCTGATTTAAGGTAGATCCGTACAATGAGAACTTTTATTTTATTATAATGATTAATTATAATTACCAATAATTGATCATTTTTTAAAAAAAATTATTGGCAATTTTTTATTTTATTTACAATTTTATGGGGATATTAACACATTATGGAAGAAAACAATTCAATATCAAAAATACTGTTTGCGGAATTAGATAACATGAGCCTAAAAATCAGCCCTAATTTTTTTGATGTACGGACTACCTTCTCACTCTATTGACCATCCATTGATAAATCATCATATATTAGATTTGTGGGGTAATTGCATATATAATATACTTGTATGTGGAAAACAGATACATTCTTCTGAAGCTTTTTTTGTATGAAAATTTAGAAAAATCATTTATATGATGGTTAATATATTGAATGGTTAATGGAGGTTTAAGGAAGCTTGAGTGGTACAACTAAGTATCTTAACTCTAAAGTGTTCCATATAAGGAGTTGGGATCAATCTAATAAATTGTGTTACCTGTTGGATATGATAATATCCCCTACTTTCCTTTGTTCACTGGAATATATCAGGATTTTTTTGGAAATGTATATTTTACTCAAGCTTCTTTTAGAGTTATGAATTTGCAGATGTGTTTCCTAGACCTTTAGAATAATATGTGTACTGTACATTTTCTTTGCCTAAACCCAACTTTGTCTTATACCCATCTTTTTGCACAATGCCAACCTTATTCCCAGTGCCCATTTTTTGTCTATAAACCCAATTGTTGTAGCCTCAGATATTTTTGCATAATATATACATGTACTCTATACAACAACAACATTATTCCACACAGTGTATTGTATAGAATCTATGTTGTACTTATGTACTGAAGTACAATTTGTCCTATTTCATTTAATCCTAGTCAGACAGTTCAGCATTTTAAACTAAAAAAATTCAAGGAAAAGGGTTAGTGGAAAAAGGTAAAAGAACCTCCCTTTTAAGAAAATTAAAATTTCACATAAAAAAGTAAAATGTTGTATATAGCCTATGTCTATGTTTACCTTTGACATGATCTAGCCTGTCAAGAGTTAAATGTTCCTTTATGTTGTAACTTAATAAACAGTCTTCTATGTATAAGTTCTATGTACTAGTTAGTATGTCATTTGTGTTTCTGACTAATATTTTGATTTATATAGATATATAGTATATGTAGAAAGTGTATGTGTTAAGTTTATTTGAAATCCCCTTTTAATTTTACATCTTTATCATTTCTTCATGTCATTGAAACTTGATTTGTGTTTCTTCTATGTATTATTCAGTAATCTCTTGCAATTTCCCATCCTTTTGGCATCAGGTGCCACATCACTGGATCACGCATTTGTGTCAGAATCACTTATTTAAATTAAAGGATTATCTTCTATGTCTCTTGTCCATCTGTCAATTGATAAAAGAGACATATTTTAAAACAGACATTTCTGAATTTCAAGTGGACGCACAGAGCGAGAAAATCAGGTACCTTCTATGAACAGACAACAACCAAATGTTGTGCGCACACCAAGTAAACGACATGAGCGTAGGATTTCAGGAGACTCATTCCATAGTAAGTGAACTTTAGTATAGTTTATTTTAATCTGATTTCAAATTTCACTCGATTCACTCAATTTCACTCTCTCACTATACTTCATTTATTAAACACATTTCAAAGGCAGGTTAGCAACCTTTGTAAATAGTTTAAATTCGACGATATTTTTGGCCATTTAATTCTATTTCATAAAAATCCTAAATGTTGATACATTTTTATTTGGGAGAATTTGCATTTTTATGCACTTTGAAGAATATTGAATAAATTTACCATTCATTTTTTTATGGTACAGGTAAAATGTTTTTAGATCATAAATAGTGTATGTTACATCAATTTGAGATGTTGCTGGTAAATTTACTTTCTCTGATTCTGAACTCTGTTCCTCTATTTAAGGAACAAATACTGATAGGCCACTCATTATAGTGAAATTCAACACGAGTTAGACAGAATGTCGTACAAAGCACAAACCGAAAGTGAATCTAATGTTTGGATCTTTTTTTTAATTTTAGGCAATACAGGCGTTGGGAATAGTCTTCAGGTCCCCAATAGCCAGTATACCTCACCCCAGGGAAATATTGCAATGCCAGAGCCTGTAAGAACGTAAGTATTTATTATGTATTTTGTAATGATCAGGATGTGGAGTATCCCTTGGAAATATATCAGATCATTCACTATGCTGGATGAAAGTATACAGGTGTTTTGTAATGGCAAATTTTTCAATAAAGTAGCATTTGCGAATTCAACTGCTGGCTCAGTTGGCCAAAAGATAAACTGGAATTAGCAAATGCTAATAGTTTAGATTTATTATTATGCTGGATGAAAGTATACAGGCATTTTGTAATGCCAAATTTTTTAATAAGGTAGCATTTGCGAATTCAACTGCTGGCTCAGTTTGCCAAAAGATAAACTGGAATTAGCAAATACTAATAGTTTATATTTATTATTTGTTATGCAATAATTTAATGTTTTCTTTGAAGCCCATCTGCAATGAGACGTGGGACCCCAGCGGCCCCTGACTCTCCCCATAGTGTACGCTCCACCCCCTGGGACCAAGATGAACCAAAAGGGTATGAACACAACCCTTTAATAGCTATTTTTCTATTTTTTAACATGACCCGATTGTGGCTGAACATTTTTCATATTTGCCAGTTATGATGTAAGAGCAAGAGTAATGCAGATAAACGTATTGCATATCTTTTTAAACACATTTTTTGAATATCAGATTTTTGTCAAAGTTTGAGACATTTTCATTTGGTGAAAGATACCTTGAAAAGTTGTCTCGTCACTCTAGCTTGTCAAGAAGTGTATACAATAACAATTTATAAAATCTCTTATCAGTGGTCTCTACACAAGTGGAAGGGATTCCCCAGTGTCCGTACGGAGTGAGAGGCTCATGTTTCCAGGACATAAGCGTGTGCAATCAGTCAGCGAATCAGAAAGCGGTTACAAACGAAGGTAACTTGTTAAGTTTTTTCTTTATATTATCATATAATTGATAACACCGTTTCTCACCTTCTAGCACAAATGTATTTACAGCCTGTATTTTATGTTATTGTTTCAAATGTTTCATGCATGCTAATTTCACTCTCTTTGTAGTGCATAAGTTCATTGCATACCAGCTGTTTATATGATTATTACTATGACAGTATTCTTTGTCTTGTAGGCATCATCACAGTAGAAGAGATGATGTGGATAGTGAGCTAGCTAGGATCAACAGGAGAAGCAGGTATTGATTCATCTAATTTTATTGAATCACTGTTGGGATATTGTCATCATGATGGTATCCAGCTTTTCTGTTATCGTTATAAGATAAATGTTTGTAATTTAAAAAAAAATGGTAAATTTGTTTCACATCATATAACAGACTTGATCTCTTTAAAGTGAATTGATGTTCAACGAAGTATGTGTCTGGTATATAGATAATCTGTATTAATAATTGATGACAATGTATTCACCCACAGGCTATAATGACTAAAACATGTATTATTTATTATATGCTGTCAAAGCTTTTAACAATTATTAAATGGACAGCCACTAAACATAGAAATTATTCAATCTGAAATGTTACATCTTCCTTACGATTCCCCCTCTGGTGACCTTGGATGTATGTTTGCAAATAAATATACTCAACATTTCAGACCACGAGGGGCAGACACAAGTGGAAGTGAATCAGAAGCCTCACATAGACACCATCATCGTCATCGTAGGCCAAACTCGGTAGGTCAGCCACTCACTGGAGATGCACAGTGGCGGGCTGCCAACCAGCGAGAAAAAGACAATAAATTTTTTAGGTATGATTAATACATGTACGAGTATGATTCATCTACTTCATAACATATAAATTTAAAAATCAGGAATCTTTTACTAAGACAGCATAGACACATAGTCTACAAATGAATGTATATTGTATTTAATCAATAGGAAACTGGAGATGTGTGAATTTCTTTCAAATTCTAGATGTATATCAATTATATGTAAATAAATTAATATTGTAATTATTAACTTATATAGTCACCAATTCTTAAAGTGAATGCAGAAAATTCTTTGGCAAAGAGCATATTGTATAATATCTGTGAATAAAATGTTGCTCATTTATGTGTCTATATTAGTGGGAAAGGAGAGAATAAAGATGGCTCTGAACATTCATTGGGCTCAGGGAATAGTAAACATAGTCACAGGAGACGAAGGAGGTAAGGAAATTAAGTAATTGATAATCGATATTAATAATATTCAAATAACCATTTATCAATAAATATTTATATTACTGTGTTAATGATAATTATGTGATTGTGTATATGCACCAAGGACCAATTTTATGTTGTAAAATTGTCGATAAAACCATTTAATTAATCATGCCACCTATTATTAGTTATGATATCATTCTTGCAGTTTCCAGGAAGAAAATTGGATAAAGTTAGCGCTAATTTTCAATTACTTTATTTTGTTTACACCATTACTGAGTATGGCATCATGAATCTAGCTAATGCCCATTTCCTGGTTAATTAAATGGGCCCCCAATTTATTTGAAACATATTAATCATAATAGTATTTCTATGTAAGTTCATTTCTCTGGTTTATATAATATCTTTTTAAACACTTCAAGAACTCCATTGTTAAAAAGATTTGTGGATACATGTCGAAAGATTTCTCTGAAGAATAATGTGTTTAAAAAGATATAACATGTACATTTTATACAATGATATTGTTTAATTGTCTGAAATTCTATGTTATTCAATAATCATTCAATATTAATTAAGATTACATTGTTTTTGTTTTTTCCAGTATTAATATATTGTATACTTGTGCACGCTCATAATGTTTGTCATGAATATTTATTCACCTTTACACGTAAAATTAGATTAAGGGAATGGTCATGTCCTTTTACGTTTGTAGTCTTCTCATTTCTCAAGCACCTTCAAAGATATCTCGAAATGTACAAAATGTATCACCCTACCTTTTGTATATCTACTTATTATGTATTTATTGTTTACTAGATTATCATTATGTTTGTTTACCTGTTTATTTGTTTGTTTATATGTTTGTTTGCATGTAGGTCTCGCAGTAAATCACCCAAGAATCAACTTAGGGATGAACTAAAACAACATTTTGTGTAAGTGTCAAAAATAAAAATAGGGATTATTTTCTTGATTTTGAATCACTTGTTACTGGTGAAAATACTCCTCTGACTCGTTAGTCTCTTTGACACAGTCATTAGGGTATATTCACAAAGATACACCCTATTATTTGGTATGGATATCTTAAATGACTAAAATCTAAGTATTATTTTTTGTTGAACTGGGAAAACATTGTCAATATTAGTTATGATCGTGTATGTTTATTTTAATTGTGCATCAATTAATGCTCATTTGTTAAATAATTAACAAAACTGTTTATTTTATTGTTGCTACATTTGTGGTGATGGCTGTCTTTCAATCAATAAAAATGTGATTTTGCACAGATTCCAAAAGTTGCTTCCATTTATGTTTATTTGTCTTGACTGTAAAATTGCAGCTATTGGCAAACATGGAATCTATGTTTATTTGTCTTGACTGCAAAATTGCAGCTATTGGTAAACATGGAATCTATGTTTATTTCTCTTGACTGCAAAATTGCAGCTATTGGCAAACATGGAATCTATGATTATTTCTCTTGACTGCAAAATTGCAGCTATTGGCAAACATGGAATCTATGATTATTTCTCTTGACTGCAAAATTGCAGCTATTGGCAAACATGGAATCAATGTTTATTTGTCTTGACTGCAAAATTGCAGCTATTGGCAAACATAGAATCTGTCTCTTGTCTCACACTGTCCTGTTTATGATGGCCTCTATATATTGTAGTTATGTTCTTATATTTATATTTTCTGTACTTCAGCTATGAGTTGGTGGACCCTAAAGATGTAGATCCAGAACTGCTACAAGATATTCCATATGTTACTGTTGAGTAAGTCGATAACTAAGAGATGATAAAACACAGGCTATTTCATTAGAGTAACTTTATTTTATTATTTCAAATATATTTACCCCAGAACCTTTAGTAGCGAGATCAATAGTGCAAAAATAGTTTATTCATGGAACGAAGCGTGAAACTTTCCAGATATCATCAGGACACTATTCCCTTTGATTTAAGAGCCAGAGACATTTTTGTGGTTCACTAAAATGACCGAAAATTGCAAATACCCCCTCCCATAAAAATCCTGGGGGAGGGGAGGGAAGAATTATTTTTTTGTTGAATTTCTTTTTTGAATATGATTTAACTTCATTTTTAGTATGTTATTTTCAGTGTTTAAAAGCAATTTTCAGGATTGCATCAGTATTTCTCATGGATATTCATTGTTAAAGCCTGACCAAGGGCGACGCCCACTTTATCAACATGTTAAATATACAAGTTAATGAGTCTTCTATTATGAATACAATAATTACCTAATAAGGCTGAATAGAATTGATAAGATTAAGTCAGTTATTTATGTTAAGATGATGGATGCTGTAAGTAAGTCAATTTCATTGTTAAAGGCTTGTGAAAGGCCACACCCTCTTGTAGATATAAAGATATGATAATATAGAATTCTCAATTAATGATACATTATTTTGACTTTTAATGACAGCACTTTGACTAATTGATACAAGTTACCTTATTAAGTATCTTAACTGCAGTTCAAATATCCTATTTTGTGCATTTAAGCACTTCAACACTCTATTATCATTATCACTGACTTAGGTGCCAAGTCCCCACAGGGCAGTACATGCAAGATTGGCTTTAAAGCACTTGCATCTTTTTGTTGAGCATTGTTGTTTGCAGCTGCATTTTACTAGCATTTGGCATGCATCTGAAGCTTGGGGCAATGTTTTTCACACTGGCACCCAAATCATTTTCCCAGCCTTTGTGGTAATGGATTCCCAACCCAATTGAAGGGAGGACTGACATAGGTATAATTGGCCCCACAAATAAACTGCCTGGAATAGAACATGTTTGATATGCTGTTGTAAAGCATGCAACTTATGTTGGTGGGATGCTCTCAATTTGATTTGTTTTCTTTGTGAACATTTCTTGTCTTGCTGCATTTACAGTTGTTTCATTGTTGTCTCTATTGTATAAAATCACAACAAAACGTTCAATAATTGGCATAACTTTGGCTAACTTATTTGGAACTTCAGCCAAAGTTTTAAGTGCATTTGTCAACTCGGATAAGTAATCCAATGTTTCCATGCTGTTGTTTTTAATTAACCGTGGAATCCAGATGTAGTGTCTGAACCAGTGTGGGCATGAAATAAGGGGAGACACATAGCCCTACCATGTCCAAGGGCAGCTGCCATTTCATGGGAAGTGAGATATCTTTAATTTTTCACCTTTTCCAAAACTATCTATTTTTGAACTTTGAGTTCTGATGATATACTGACTGCCAGACAGACAATATCAGTCTACTGTTCTAATCGTCAATGTGTTCTACCCAGACTTTACTGCACAGTGGATGTGCTTATTCATGTGTTGATGGGGAAATGTCTTGAATGGGCATTGGGGGATATAATAATACATCTTACAATACATTGTTTATATCATCTCTAATAAATTCCAATTTGATGGTAACATCGCATCTACCTTTGGGCACTGAACATGATCATATCCTGCAATTTGATTGGACATCGTATACTGATGATCGTGATTTTTAAATAAATTATAAGTACACGAAAGAATGATAGTATTATGGGAGCTACTCACTTCTTCTGGACTGATATTGAGGATACAATATCTTTGTTTTCTAATGAGTACATGTCATTTGAAGTCTCCAGAAGGGATTTCTCATCTATTCTATGGTTTCTTATAATGCTTTCACATTATCTTTGAATCTTTGTTGTATGCTTATACTTTGTTCATGATTAGATAGGTCTTCATCTTGATCATTATTTATATTGTTCTCAAATTCAGTGATCAGCCTGGCCAATTCAGGGCCCCCAACCATCGACTAGAGTTGTCTGGTTGTCAAAGAGCCCCACCACTTGATTTATCTAGACTGTTATTCTGCTTGTGAACCTGGTCAGTAGCAATGGCTGAAAAGGTCCATCTTGAATTGGTAACAGTGAAGTTGTCTTTCGTGAAGGCTTCGTAGACTTCTGGATGTATTTGTTGGAGTTGTAGCATATCCCTTATGTGAACTGGTAATCAGCAACCATATTGACTGGAGATAAAGAGGGTAATTGCCCTCTCTGATAGCCCACACTTAGTTAAGGCACAGTATTTTGATTAGAATAATAGGAAACCAAAACTTGAAGACTGGTACATTCTGTTGGTCAGCACACCATTCATCAAACTGTTAAATCACTTCATCATATAGATTCTGGACAGCTGTATATTTAGCATAGGCTCTCTTGAGAATTTAGAGACTGCAGCCTGTGACTGTGGTGGCCCTTCTGGTTCTGGTTCAATCCATGAAAAAGGTTTAATAGCCTAAATGTTCAGCATATGAAAAGTGGGCGTCGCCCATGATTAGTCTTTAACAATGATGAAAATCAAAGAGAAACCATCTGGAGATAAAGAGGAAAATTCTCCTGTCCTATAACCCTCACATAGTCAAGGCTCAATATTTGAATTTGAATAATCAGAAACCAAAGCTTGAAGACTGGTACATTCTGTTGGTCAGCACACCATTCATCAAACTGTTTAGGCACTTGGTCAGCACACGATTCATCAAACTGTTTAGGCACTTCATCAACTAGATTCTGGACAGTTGTATCTATAGCATAGGCTCTCTTGAGGAGAATATAGAGACTTGACATACATGTACATAGAATAGTGGATACATGTTGTAGATCTGGGACATCCGTTGCTTGCTTTCTTCTTTCTTCTAAACAGGGGTGTGATATGTTATAAGCCTTTAAGAAGTCAAATTCTAAGATTGATTATAGCACCTAACATCAAAAAGGTATCTGGTGTTATCCAGAAAGCTGAAGTACATTCATTTGTTCAACTCATGATAAAGATTCAATAACCTAAATGTTCAAGATATGAAAAGTGGGCGTCGTCCATGACTAGTCTTTAACAATGATGAAAATCGATGATAAATCATCTTGTTATGTTGCAAAACTTCTTTGTCATGAAAATGGCACACTGAAACTGCAGTATGACCATATTCAAAGAAATTTTTTTATTAAAAAAAATTCCTAACTCTCCCCACGCCCACCGAATTTGGGGGGAGGGGGTACTTAGTATTTTTTGATCATTCTAGTGGACCACAAAAATGGCTCTGGCTCTTAAATCAAAGGGAATGGTATTCTGATGATATGTGGAAAGTTTCACGCTTCGTTCCATGAATGAACTATTTGCTTGTTTTCTTGCACTATTGATCTCGCTATAGTGACCTATTGGCAGTAATAATCTCTATACTGATGATTTAGTTGTATTTGAACAATTGAAAGAATCAAGCAATAATAGTAGAAATGTCTTATCAAATAATATTTAGAAAGTAATACATGTTAAATGCCATTGCTTGGTACAACTGAAATGTTCATCTTCAAAAATTGAAAGCACACAATAATGTGAAATTGTAGTTGCAATTTTAATGTCCTTTCCGCATTGCCAGGCCCAGCAATTTTTATCCAATAGTAAAGTAGTCACTACTTGTTTCAAAATTACACATTATAATTTCAGAACGAAAGCACCAAACTATAGAGCACCATTCAAACACTCTCCACATTCCCGTCATCGACACAAATCACCAAGACCAAGAAGTCAAGGGTAGGTCTCAAATAGTAGGCTTACTAAAGGCACACTCAGATTTGCATTCATCAGTTGAACTGTGCTCAATGTCATCCTTGATATTCTATTTCATGAAAATAAAATTGTGAAGACCAAGTTATGAAATAATGGCATGAATGTTTTGAATAAATTTACATTCTTCTACACAGCCACCATTTTGCACTGTACAATACTGTAAATATGGTACCATTTGGTACTGTAGACTCAAACGGCACTGTATGGTACAATACTCAAAATACAGATTGGGGGTGTAACTTATAACTTTTGGACTACAGTATGTGTACTCACGTTCCAATTGGAATATTTTTCAGAGAACTAAGTGATCATAGCTCTCATTTTCACCGAGAGCCAGTTGAGAGCACATTCCATGAATCAACACCCCATCGTGAGCTGGGTCCTTCGGAGCCTCCTACACCCCAGCAAGATCCCCATGACTCAACCAGCCAGCTACGTGTACACGATCACCCTCAACAATCACGGGGACTTAACACTAGCAAAAGCAGTAATATTAATCAAAAGGTGGCTCCACCGACATACAACTCAGCAATGCAGTCTAGATATTCAAATGGCCAAGGAAATTCCCAAGGTCAAGGGCATCCCCAAGGTCAAGGGCATCCCCAAAGTCAAGGACATTCCCAAGGTCATGGACAATCACAGGGTTATGAGAAACCCCCATCCATGTTCAATTCTAGTAGTGTGTATAGGAGCCCCTATAAATCTGATCAAAACGCAGTTGTAACACAGATCATTTCAACACAACCTGAGCAGACCCCTACAAAGCATGTAAGTGAACTGTGAGATTTACATTCACAAAAAATGATTTAGTGTTATAGTTATTTACTTTACCAGCTTATTAAATGATATTAATGTCACATTTTTTGATGTAAAATATAGTATTATTAAATTGATTAAACAAATATATAGTAACCACTATTGATTGCCTGAATCAAATTTTATGAGAAAAGTTAATGGAAAATGTGCAAGGGGGCTCAACTCTGAAAAAAGGATTCATTTAGTATATCAAATCAAAATGTGAGCTGATAATGGTATCATTTCTATAAACTGTTCATATGTAATTTCTAGTTTATTCTCCTTTTCTATTTGCATTTCTTGCCCATAATGAGACATTTAACATGGATAATGGAAATTTAACAAAACGAGGGGCAAGGAGAGAGTGTTTCTTATACAGTTTGTGTTTAAACCTTTCCAGAAAACCCAGATGCCCTCTTTGCCATGCTAAAGAAATCAAAATATATATATTCATAATGTCATTGGTTGTAGGTTGCAATGGTCCAATTAAAAAAGGATTAATTAAAGAAAACCATGTACAAAATGTTGCTAGTACCAAGCATTGCTACCTACAAACTATGACATCATGAATCTGTCCAATATATCTGAGCTTCTTTTGTAGTGTAAAGGTAGCTGGTTATTGGAAAGGCATAGTAAAACCCCTAAGCTTGAACAGTTCCCCAAGATAAACACCATTATAGCATTATTTCTCATTTAATTTCCTACCATTTATCTCACTTCTGAGGTTCAAAGAGTGTTCACTTAAAAGAGGTTTTACTGTGCCCTTTCTATTTGCAAGTTTCTAGTGATAAATTGTCTTTCTGTTTCGTCTTGATGCATGTTGTTTAAATTAACATAACACTTTTGGGGTTCATGAACAGAGACTATATAAGTTAAGAATCTGCGAGTCCATTATTCCTTTGCCATAGGACCTCATTGTTTCCTAGTTTACAATTGATTAAGGAATTCTTGACTACAAATTTCTGTTAATGACCCTAGAAAACTAAAATTGTTTTAAACATAGCGTTTATTCTGTAAGACATCACATTGGTTATGCGTTAAAAAACAGAGCAAAAAATAGTGAAAATAGCGAGAAAAACTACATTAGCATGTAGCAAACACTCCAAATTGTATACAAATGCAAGGAATTACATACTCGATTTAAAATTGTGAGGCAAATAATAGCCAAACCAAAGTGATGTTTTAACTAAGGTCTTTAGTTTGTACAGTAGATCCTAATCTTAGAATTTCATTCCCTTTAGCGTGAGCCCCATAATACTCAAGCTCCATCTATATCTGATAGACAGACCCTCTCTGCTGGACCGATTAGAGAAACTCCAGAACATATTACTGCTCAGGTAATTAATGGACAACTCATAAAAATGAGCCACTTAAGTTTGAATTTAAAAATAACCTTTCACATACCATATGGTATTTGTCCATTGGAAGACGAAACTTGAATTCATGCAAAAATATTCTCTCATTTTTTGTCACCACTACGAGTTCCGCATTTGGCATCTATAACATAGAAAGGGCCCAGAAAGTATAAGTATACATGAGAAAGAAAAATCCCCAAGAGTAATACAGTCATGAAGAAATAAATTGAATTATCCCAAACAATAGACTAGATGCGAGTAGAAATGATCTTGATTTACGTCATTAAATATTCAAAATTCAGTCAAAGTGATGTCATATTTGAAATCTGCATGTAAAATACATCTAAAAATATGGTTTCGAAAATTGTTTATCAACTTTGAAAATTTAATCTTTTTTGAAAATGTGACTTCTAATTCGGGTTGATTCCCCAGAGACCCCATACTACAAAATCACAAAAAGTGAAAAATATCTTTTCTTGTATTGGGCATATAACATTTTCTTTTACTGGACATACTTTAATTTGCATAACTCTTTGATACATAAGGGCTATATGAAAATTGAACCACTAAAGCAGATGTAATTTAAGTTAAAGGGAACTTTCTACTATACTCGAACGAGCCACCTGGTGGTGGAACTGGTAACTACCTACTCGCATTTGCGTTATTGCCAATGACTAACAGATAATACTAGGAACCAGTGTTTTAATATTAACCTTTTGCATGCTATTGAGATTCAGAAGAATGCCATCATTAGATTCTATTTTTCTCTATACTTAAATGTTAAGAGCATGATCAGACTAACATCATTCATAATATTAACCACTAAATTGCGTTTGTATGTACTGTGGAAGTAAATACAAAACTCTTAGTTTTATTTGAAATTGTTTCTCATTGAAAGGTGTTCCTTGGAGAAGTTTATACGAAACTCTCAGTTTTGTTTGAAATTGTTCCTCATTGAAAGGTGTTCCTTGGAGAAGTTTATACGAAACTCAGTTTTGTTTGAAATGGTCCCTCATTGAAAGGTGTTCCTTGGAGATGTTTATATGAAACTCTCAGTTTTGTTTGAAATTGTTCCTCATTGAAAGGTGTTCCTTAAAGAAGTTTATACGAAACTCTCAGTTTTGTTTGAAATTGTAAGGTGTTCCTTGGAGAAGTTTATACGAAACTCTCAGTTTTGTTTGAAATTGTTCCTCATTGAAAGGTGTTCCTTGGAGAAGTTTATACGAAACTCTCAGTTTTGTTTGAAATTGTAAGGTGTTCCTTGGAGAAGTTTATACGAAACTCTCAGTTTTGTTTGAAATTGTTCCTCATTGAAAGGTGTTCCTTGGAGAAGTTTATACGAAACTCTCAGTTTTGTTTGAAATTGTAAGGTGTTCCTTGGAGAAGTTTATACGAAACTCTCAGTTTTTTTGAAATTGTTCCTCATTGAAAGGTGTTCCTTGGAGAAGTTTATACAGACATGCGTGCCAATAAAGCTGCACACAGAGGCTAGTTATAATCTACCAAGCTCTCTTTTAAGAAGCAAAGTCGAATGAATGCAAAGGGTAAACTTCTATTTGAAAATGACAATGATCTCAGTTACATTCTCTCAATTGAACCAATACGTTGATTTAATCATGGGACATATAATGTATTTGATCTTATTTCATACTTAACAGGATACAAAAAACTGATTATTTTTTCCATGTAACCAATGAAGTGAATTAACAGACACATATGTATTTATTCTGACCAGTATATATCTACTTAATAACAAACAAAACTCATTATGTTTCATATGTATTTATTACTATTTATATATTTGTTTCAGCATGGTTTTCGCAGTCTTCATAATGCTGATGGAAAGAGCCCATATGGAAAGGACTCCAGTTCAAACCACACACCCAGCTAGTAAGTGCATGCTGGTTATAGAAGTGCATGCTGTTTAGATAAGTTCATGCTGTTTACACAAGTGCACACTGTTTACAAAAGTGCATACTGTTAACACAAGTGCATGCTGTAAACACAAGTGCAAGCTGGTTACACAAGAGCATGTTGCTTACACAAGTGCATGCTGTTTACACAAGTGCATGCTGTTTACATAAGTGCATACTGTTTACACAAGATGAATGTTATTTACACAAGTGCATGCTGTTAACACAGGTGCATGTTGTTTACACAAGTGCATGTTGTTTACACAAGTGCATGCTGTTACACAAGTTCATGCTGTTTACACAAGTTCATGCTGTTTACACAAGTGCATGCTGTTTACACAAGTAAATGCTAATTACACAAGTTCATGCTGTAAGTGCGTGCTGTTTACACAAGTACATGCTGTTTACACAAGTTCATGCTGCTTACACAAGTGCTTGCTGTTTACATTGGAGTTATAATATTTTCTCACAGAAATAGTTCAGATTCTAATTAATTTTTGAGATTCTGTAAAGAGTAAATGCAAAACAGAATGAACTAATATTTAAAACCAGTTCTGATCAAAATCATTCTTGTCTTCAGTGTTTGATATATAGAGGTTATTTAATGGGAGGTTTTTGATAGAGGGTATATCTGAGGGAAATACAATATATTGAAATATTGTATTTGCCGAGGGATATACCATGTATCAAAAATTGAGCATTTGATAACTGATTTATCCTATACTTGGTAGATTATGATGATTTTATCTCAATGTAAAGCTTTTATTTAATCTGCACATCGCTCCAAAACGCAATCTTGGGTTGTTTCGGGGGTGAACTTTATCATTTTGAGCTTAATGAAAGATTATAGAATGATGAACAAATGGGGCAAATCTTGTGTATAAATACTTACGATAAATGTGTCATTTCAAAGATTGGCCATTGAATTGCTTCGATTGGTGACGACGATATGATTTCGGAAAGGTTTCTAATTAAGAATGTGACGTCACTTCCGAATTATAGCATTCAACATTAGTAGCGTTTAATTACTCCCATCATTGATAACAACTCGTTGGCCTTGCGGTAGAATGCTCGCTCAGCACGCAGGAGGGCCGGGTTTGAATCCCATACTCACTTTTTATTTTTTTAACTAAATGATTGTTCTTTGATATTACGCAGAAAAAACAATATATGTCAACATATTGCGTTTTGGAGCGATGTGCAGGTTTAAAACGAAATATATATCACCCGCTCACCTCAGATATCAATTATACGAGATACCCACATGTTATTTACCTGTAACACTACTAAGTATGGGATAAATTATACATCTGCTTAACATCTTTATTGTTGTGGTAACAGTGTTAGTGTTTTGAAAAAATGGGGACGACTTGGAAAGAAACTGGAAAGCTCTCTGTTCATGATTCTACATAAATTAGCTCCTTTCATAACTCAATGCTGTTAACTAAAGGTGAATGAGGTCTAATCTCTGAATTCATATTTTGCAGTGTACCATCTCAAAATGGCACCCCAAATGGTTACCAAAGTTACCAGAACAAATACTCATCCAGACAGGATGGCACTGTTGCTGGAAATTTACCTCGTGAGAACCAGGAAGAGACTGTTGTCGGGCCAGGAAGCAATAGTTACATGCAGTTTAATGGGACAAATAGGCAAAATAATGCATCCAAAGAGGTTAGAATTAGTTTTTCAATTAATATTTATATGATCAAATATATGAACATTTTATGATTTATTTATCTAAGTAACAGAACGGTTTTTAAGAATGGGTTTCCTCAAATTCATAACATAGATGCATGTTTTTTTTATGATTTTATTTGTGTGTATTATTGTATATTATGTCAAGGCATTTATGTTTTAATATACGAAATAGAGAAGCAAATAGGGGAACAGACATGTAGTCATCACTATAATTTACTTAGTAATGCCACAAGTGAAGGAGGAAATTCAACTTTTGAGAGATATTGAGTAATGAAACAGAGTAAACGTTATCTTCAGACAATTTTTCTGATTAATTTAAATGCCATCATGTATTACAAATTAAATATGATAATTTTTCTTTAAAATCACTAGTGGAAATGTGGTAAGTGTCATACTATAAGTCAGCCTGCTTTAAATCAGGGCCCTCCAACGTATATGTATATTTTTGGGTTTCGCCCCATCCAAATTTTAGTGTTTGTTTTTTAAGCATTTCTTAATTAGAATAGTTTGTCACATTTGATATTGAAGTTTTGTGCTTAAAGTCACCGCTTGTCCCATTTATTTGTTTTCTATAAAGCTTTTGTTTTTTGCATGTAACTATTTTGATGCCATATAAAAGATATTCTTAAACTTCTAAAATCCTTGATAATTATCCAATCGAACAAAGTTCTGATAGTTTGAATAACAACATAGTAACAACAATATTTGATGTTGAACAGTGGAATATTAATGTGTTTATTTATGGTTCATGTTGAACAGTGGAATATTTATTATTTGTTTAATTTGGTCATTGTCTTCATGCTTTTTGGCTCATTTTACTTCTGCATTGCCAATAGATGGTACTCATTTCAAGGGCTTTTGCCTGTTACCGCACAATTTCATCATATAATTGGAACAATATAAAAATTTACTCAAATGGGAAGATGGAATACAAAAGGAGAATTGTATACTTTTATTCGGTAAAAGCTTTTGAAGTGAGAGACATTTATTTACAATTTTAAGGTGCTTATAAATGGCCAAATTTAATACCCAAATCTATCATTGTTTTGATATAGTGAATAAACCTTCAAGTTATGAATACTGATAGTGGGGTTTATATTCTAGGTGCACAACCAGAGCCACCAACAGCAATCCCCAGCACCAAAATTGTTTCAACCTATCGACCAATCAAGCCCCTCGCACATGCTCCAGTCTACGTCTGAAGGAACACCTTACCAGAATGTACCGAATCACTATAGAAACCAACCTGGCCACCGTAGCAATAACTCTGGTCACCATGGCAACCAGTTCAGTCAACATAGCAACCAAGGTGGTAACTATAACAACAGTACTAGCAAGCAATATACAAGCTATACCATGACGGAGAACTCTCGGTTAATTTCTCCAAATAAGGACACAAGTATGAATGGAAGTGTTGTAAATAGCAATAATAATGATGGCAAAAATTACAGTAACTATGGCAACAGTCCTTATAAACAAGGTAGCCCACAACAGAGCAATAACAACACTTCAGTTTCACCAAATAAACAAGCAAATGGACTTGTTGGAAATTTTAACACATATGATCAGAGTCCAGGTGCAAGAAGGCGTAATAACCGCAATAACATGGGAGATACATATGCTAGTTCTCCCTCTAGGCGAGATATCGCACCGAGAAATGAGGATTTTGATGCCAAGAGTAAAACAGACTATGGTGTCAATATGTATCAAGCCAGGCCAGTTAGAAATTTACTTACAGAACTTTGATAAAAAGTGTAAGATTGCAGTGCAAGCCTGAGTTTGGGATTGCTAATCACGTTGAGATTTGGATGATAATGAATACTAGGTAATATTTGTATCGCAAAATATACTGTCTAATATACTGTCAAGCTTCATGCAAGACTAGTCTAGTATTTTGACTCCATGACAGCGATATCTGATGCTGAGAATGGTTTACCCACAATGCCTTTAGGTCAAGCTTTCAAAACAATAAAATGGGTTGCCAAAACTTTTTATGTAGAAGTACATTTGAAAAGAGAAACACAGAGAGATTTTACAGAAATATGAGTTATTGAGAAGTTATGAGATATCATTATATACCTCATATGTATTCTAGATGCTCATTGGCTTATTCATGGTCACATGATATGACATAGATGAACTAATTCTCTGGAAAGTCCTAAATCCCTGGTATCAGCGAAGATGAAATATACTAATCACCAGTTAGGTCATGTGACCAGTCATTAGTAGGTTTTATCTTCCCCAATAGGTGAGATTACAGGAGTTGAAAGGCAAAATGCCAATAAGAACCTGTAAACATTAAATGTTGAAATGAAGACTTCTCATTTTGTTTTTGTTTACAGAGTGCATATGGGGTATATAATAAAACAAATAGTGACTGTCGCAGTGTAAAATGGGGTATATAATAAAACAAATAGTGACTGTCGCAGTGTAAAAAATTTCCCTTCGGAAAAATATTTTGCACTATTTTCCTCAATGGCAGTCACTATTTGTATACTACCATATTTTTGCCAAAATATTATCTAAAAAATGTTCTCAGATTTCGAGTTGCATTGATGGTGCAAAAGATGCTACAAGTGACTGCTGAAAGTAACTTAATGTATTGCCATATTTTGAAAATGACATTTTGCATTATTCTTTTGTACACATGCATGATATATTTTTACAAAATATTCTACTGTACCAGGATTACATTAAAGATGACTTATCACTGGTATCACTGGGGAGGTTAAGCAACACATGTTTTAGAGGACCAAAATATGCATGTGTAATATTATTTACCTCAGGAACTGCATATTAAATATTTTTTTCAGGGATGTATTTTCAACTATTTCTCTTTTTCCTTTATACTCGTTATAGGACATTAAGACACAATGATCTTACAAATTGGAGACATGATCCCCAGAGGACCATGATTCTCCATGGTCAAGGACATGTTTTTTTGAAGATGTGTTGCTTAATTTCCCTATTCCTTTATTTACATTTCATTGAAAGTTATGCTAAAGATGGATTTCCAAGCGATTGCTGGTATTATTCTATTACTTTGGGAATTTGTATATCCCAAAGTATTTTCACTGAATCATTAGTATTAAGACATCTTTAATGTAACAGTGATAGTAATTCATACATAATATTTATACATTAATTGGATTTTTCATATCTGTAACTTTATATTATTCTGTACTGTAGTCCAGGAGAAATTTTACATAACCTGTGTAATTGCAACACCTCTTGTACCGGCCAAACGTTTATTTTGAGCCATTAACATGCTATCTATAACAAGATATTTATTGTTATACCACTCTAAGTCCAATTACAGTTGTATAACATGGGTCTATAACAACGATATACAGTGGAGAGTGGTATATCGTCATCGTATACAACTCCTCCGTATACACTCCAGCGTATACCACTGTAGAAATGCATTCTGGGAACTAATGAATAAAAAAATCATGAAAATTTTCATGATTTCCTAGAATCAAGTGACGTCATAAATGGTGCCGGCATGATTTGCTAGAATCAAGCCACGTCATAAATGGTTCGAGATCAACATCAGCATTATTGAGTTGGCTATGGGATATTTTTATGGTTTTTATTGTCGATTGTGTTCGAATCAACTGTACATTGAACTTAGAGTGGCATAATAAGATTATATAATGGTTCATTCTGTATATCGTGTATTTTATACTCTCGTGAGAATATAATATATTCACTCGTTCGCTACGCTCACTTGTGAATATATCATATACTCACTCGAGTATAAACACGATATACAGAAAGAACCATTATATAACCTCATAATATATAATACATTGATATACGTATGTCACGCGGTAGTATCTCTTCGGGACGTATCGAAACCACTCCGTCCCGAAAAACCGTTAATTTGAATTTAAAACCTACCCCAGTGTTTGAAAATCAAGGATTGTGAGTCTCACACTTCACCGTTTTTCTTCAAACTTGTTCCGTACAAAGCTTCACAGAAATACCTTTCAGTCGATACATTGTTTTCGTGTACAAAGTACCTCGTTTTAGCGGCGTTTTGGTCCCCAGCTGTGAAATAAAGCAAATTTTCATAACTTTCAACTGTAAGTCAAGTTATCTCGCCAGTCTTTTACCCATTCTCGCCCATAATTTCAGAATGGACTCCCATTACAACCTTCCATCGCTACGTCTTGATTTATGGGCATCAAACGCAGCAGTTTCTAAATCATCCACACATCTCTTCAAATTTGACCAATACGTCCCGTCACCTTCCACTACGCCCCGCCGAGTCTATGACTACAAACGTGGAGTTGTATTCTAAAACATTTTGTTCATCGTTGTGTAATTTTACATAGTCGATTCTTAACACCAGTCTTAAGTTTAGCATACATACGGAGTATAACTATAACTGATTGCATGAAATTGATAATTTAAATGTTTGCTTTTTAACTTTAATTATATGTAATTGTCCTGTATTTGATTTTGTGAGGAAACCAAGTGTCTGGTTTGAAACACAATAAAATCTGGAATCTTGTTTTGCAACAATAAATGGTATAACCATCAATACAGTGCTGAATATAGGTGAACAGGATACTAGTGTACATATAAATGTTATAATTAAACCTGTACATTGATTTTGAAATATCAGATGAATTTATATTTTTTCATGGGGAGGCGGTAATAGAATCTGAAACAGGTCCTTTACCGGGATAATAGTTTCAATATTGCAGTAGCAGGTTTCGTGTAATTGGTGACAAGATATACTTTTACATGATACTGTCCCCTCCATAAGTTTGGCAACCTTAGCTTAATTACAATAGATCGGAAATGGATGATAAATCTGATGAATTTTTGAAAATCGACATTCCCATGTAAACCCATGAGAATTGATATGTTTGTCGCATGTCATACGACAGAATATCCATCAATCTGAGTACTAGCAAAAAGTACAAGTTAGGTACAGTAGACAGCTGAATTTGCTATCTTTATTTAACAAAAAGTTGATACGTTTCTTCAGGTTCAACAAAGTTATAGGTTAGGGTTGTCCAAATCTGCAAAATTTTCCAAAAATCTGTCATCTGATAGATTCTAGTTACAAATTGACTCTTGGTACAAATATTTCCACTCTAGACCCCTGGGAAATTTTGCCACGCGTCTCACTTGAAGTTTTGGTAATTTTGACAAATATGCCGTTTTCATAAATGGTTTATAACTCAAAATTAAACTGTTGTATTTCAGGAATATGTATTTTTTCTTCATCATGTATGATTTTCAATAACCCTACAGGCACCACTTTTTTTAGCTAAATCCATCGGGAAACTTTGCCACGCTTAATTTCAAAATAACGGAGATGTTATCAAAATTGAGCAATATTGGCACAAAAACGTTTCTAGATTCATATAAAGAATGCATCATCATACAACACTAATTGGTATATAAACAACATCTACTGACTTGGTCTGATAATGTAATATAAAGATTTTAACTGTTGTGTGTCAACCTTTCTTCTGTATGATTCCATTGGATTACATTATGAAACGTGTACCATATAAAATGATACATGTTTCTAACGTTATGCTGAAAATAATATAATTGACATCACCCATCCTTTCGCATTTTAACATTTTTTCAAGGATAGGGCACTTTAAACGTTTCTTAAAAATATTTTCAATTGTTCAGTAATTAAAATCTTTATATTGCAATATCGGGATTTTTAAATTTTAGGGAGATTTTGGACCACCCTATTATAGGTATATTGAAAATGGACAAGAATGGGTAAATCTTAAAACACAATCCGATTGGTATTTAGAATCGACAATGACAACCTACAAACGGACACATCGATGGACAAATTGTTTTAGAATGCAACTCTACGTGTATAGTGATAGACTCGGCGGGCGTAGTGGAAGATGACGGGACGTATTGGTCAAATTTGAAGAGATGTGTGGATGATTTAGAAACTGCTGCGTTTGATGCCCAAAAATCAAGACGTAGCGATGGAAGGTTGTAATGGGAGTCCATTCTGAAATTATGATCGAGAATGGGTAAAAGACTGGCGAGATAACTTGACTTACAGTTGAAAGTTATGAAAATTTGCTTTATCTCACAGCTGGGGACCAAAACGCCGCTAAAACGAGGTACTTTGTACACGAAAACAATGTATCGACTGAAAGGTATTTCTGTGAAGCTTTGTACGGAACAAGTTTGAAGAAAAACGGTGAAGTGTGAGACTCACAATCCTTGATTTTCAAACACTGGGGTAGTTTTTAAATTCAAATTAACGGTTTTTCGGGACGGAGTGGTTTCGATACGTCCCGAAGAGATCCTACCGCGTGTATGTGTGTGTAACTTTATATCTGTAAAGGCTTAATATAATTGTTCAATGGTCACATTTTCTTTAATCATTTGTTGTATGTCAGAATTTTACTCTCGTTTTCAAATATGTAACCGATTTCGATAATACTGAAAATAAAAAACTTATGTTATTATAGAAAAAGTGACCCTTGAACAATTTTGTCTGGGCTACTATATAACCTAGTGAGCTCTTTAGTACAGGTCATTTTCCTGTTTTATTATCTACATGTACAAATTCATGTTCAACCAAATGACCCATTTATATGAAATAGAATGTGTCTTTAGACTTATCTCGTGTAATTCAATGCCATTTATGTGCAAGTTGATGAATTATCCATGTGTAACATTGACATGGTACTATCATGTGTAATTTTATTTATATTCTTCAGCTCATCATTCGTCACCGTGTGAATTCTTTTGGGCAGATGATCGGGAATGGTACGGACACATGGTGGGCAAATCAAATAGTTTTATAACAAGATAACCCCTTGACCCACACTGAATAGGAAAATTTATTTATTAAAGATTATTTTCCAAAATGAATCACACGGTGGCGAATGGTGAGCGCACACGGCGGCAAACAGTGAGCGCGCACTGCCATTTTACTTAAATTAAAATAAATTACTCAAGAGTGATTCACTGCAATTCATTTCAGAACAATTATTTAACAACATGTATTCATGAGGTGTTTAGCTTTGTAGGTTTAATTGTTCTACACAAATGTAGTCTTAGTGTCTACCCTTTGTATTCGTTCTACTTCACTTCTTAAAAGAGGGCTTCGTCTTCATGTAACTAGACTCTGGACGCAGGGTTCTTTGTGTCATTGCACAAGTTGAAATATATTATATAGGCCAGTAGAGATATTTCATTCCAGTTTATATTCAGCCAATTTCCACAATATTATTTTATTCTTGTAATTCACATGTACCTATATACATGTACCTCTTATTTATTCACATTGTAAATATAGACTCATTATGTCAAAATAAAATTAATGTAACACTTTAAGATACTTATTTTTTATCTGGAAATTAGCCAAATATGCAACACGCTCAAGACAGACTTAAAGTGATTCAACGGTTGTGTATGTAATTTTCAGTGTTCTTTAGCAAAATAAAGACATACTTCATATCCCCTTGTATTGATTGATAATTACAAAAAATACCAACAATAGGTAAGATTCGAGCTAAGTAAAAGTAATCTGGATTTTAATCAAAATGTTCAGGCCCGTAGCCTGATGTTCGATGGGTTCGAGCGAACCTCCCTCCTGGTCAAAAAATTCTTTCAAAATCATGCAGTTTTTCACCATTCTGAGCAATTTTAAGTGATTTTGGCCATTTTTGGACCAAATTGTCAAAAGTGACCCCCCTGGAATTTTCCAAGAAGTGACCCCCCTTGGCAAATCCTGCCGACGGGTCTGATGTTCTATATTTAGTCAAAAGGATATCATATTTTTAATTTCTGATCAAAATAATATCTAGCCAATACCCTAGTTGCGTTTTCGAATATGGTACTGGATTTCGTAGTTATGTTGTAGACTCTTGTCTAAATATGCTTCCCACAAAAGTTTTTGTATGTTTGTAGGATTCGATACGTTGTAATAATGGGAGAGTATGGCCGTTTCAGGGATAACCGAAGCTGCATTTTTGGGATCTTGCCCTAAACGGGCCTCATGCCTGTCATAGAATCGTAAAGCATACTTATTGTTTCCAGTAACTGGCACCCCAAGCATTTCCATCAACGAGCCAAAGTATGTATCATCGGGGAAACATAGTGGTAGTTTGCACAATAAGAAATTCATATCCCGTATCACTGATTGGCTGAAGAGTATGCCACAGCCTGTGACGTACCTTGGGTAATGGGCTTCCCATCCCTTCACAGGACACACAAGTTTTGTTTTACCAAAATTGCGTCGAATCTTGGAGTTGGTCAGTGTATGACCATGATAAAGTCTCGTGACGTTTTTCTCGAGGATATCATCGAGAAAGTTTACCACTTTAGTGAGGTTCATAAATACATCATGTGTTATTCGAAAAACATACTTTGCTCTCGGACAGTATAACTGAATCCATTTAAAACCAAATGTATCCTTTTCTGTCATTTGTTTATAGCCATCGGGGAAATTTCCTACTAGAACATCTTCATCCATTTCATTCGGTAGAACTGAATTGTTTGCATCGCCGTATAGAAATACGGTTCGAATTTTCCAGCTTGAAAACTTCTTAATATAACCGAATGTAGTCCTAACTGCATCTCGCATATGTTTACCTAGAATTAAAAAGTCAGAATAGTAGCTGTAAGTGTTTTAAATTACAAAATAGAGAGGTAACGGATTATCGAGAAATAAGGAAGCAAAATATAATACCAGGTGGTCAGTTTATTTGAAAGGCGAAATAGATCGTACTAAGTAAAAAGTCAAATATAGTTGGATATATTGACAAATATATGTGAAAATAAGTTAATACCAGTGCACACATTTGGTATAGGAACAAACTATTCTAGTTTCAGATACGGAACATCGTTCGTTTATACTCTACCATATGTGATATCGGTTGAATTATTCTCTGATTATTCTGGACAAGTACATAGGAAAGGCGTATACTCCGTCCGTCCGTCCGGGCAATAACTCAAATACCGTTGGCCCGATTTTGTTCATGTTTTGTACACATATACCCAATGGGGGTAGAAGTTCTGCTCGAAAACGGATTTTCAAAATGGCCGCTCATTTAAAAATGGCGACCATTTTAGTGCCGATTTTACAGTAATTTAGGTTCTGCATATAAAACTGTAATAGCAATATGTTTTAAATGTAAAAAAGTTATATAGGACATAGATTAAGCTAGAAATGTAAATACAGAAAAAATACACGGCAGCCATCTTGAAAAATGACTGCCTTTGCACATCATTTTACGATTTTTGCTGTAACTTGAAAAGTAGTGGAGCGATTTTGTTCATATTTGGTATGTGAATACTTTAAGCATGGCACAATGTCTTATGACATTTTCGGTAGTAGGTTTTGAAAAGTGGCCGCCATTTTTACGTGTGTTATTTAACATTTTTAACTGTAAGTCAAAAAGTAGTAGAGCGATTTTGTTCATATTTGGTATGTGAATACTTTAAGCATGGCCCAATGTCTAATGACATTTTGGGTAGTAGGCGGCCATTTTGAAAAATGGCCGCCATTTTTATGTGTGTTATTTTACATTTTTTACTATAACTCAAAAAGTAGTAGCGCGATTTTGTTCATATTTTATATGTGAATACTATAAGCATGGCACACTGTCTAATGACATTATGGGTAGTAGGCGGCAATTTTGAAAAATGGCCACCATTTTTTACGTTTTTTATTTACTATAACTTGAAAAGTAGTAGAGCGATTTTGTTCATATTTGATATGTGAACACTTATGAACCTTGCACACTGTCTCATGACACTTCGCGTAGTAGGTTGCCATTTTAAAAATGGCTGTCATTTTTACATTTTTTACTATAACTCGAAAAGTATTTTGTTGCGATTTTGTTCATATTTGATATGTGAATACTTTAAGCATGGCACATTGTCTAATAAAACTTTGGGGAGCAGTCGGCCATTTTAAAAAATGGCCACCATTTGTATGTGTGTTATTTTACATTTTTTTTATTATACTTCAAAAGTAATAGAGCGATTTTTTTTCATATTTGATATGTGAATACTCGTAAGGATTGCATACTGTCTTATGACATTTTGGGTAGAAGGCGGCCATTTAAAAAAATTTACAGGATTTTGCATGTATGTGTGTTCGATTTTTAAATTTTTTTATATGTGGCTACTCAAAAGCATATTACTTCTTCTGATGACAACTTGGCTAGTGAGCAATCATTTTGAAAATGGTGGCCTTCCTTATGGGTGTTATTTTACGATATTTGCTATATATTTTGTTTGTAAAAATGCCAGCCATTTCTGTTCGATGGGATTCGCCACGCTTTGGCGTTGCCGTTGTTCTGGTTGTATTTCTCAATTAGCGCTAGAAAAATAACAAGATTGCTTTTACAGAGTTCAATTTAAGATCAAGTAGCTGAGTGGGTAGCTGGGTAAGTAGCTGAGTGTGAGTAGCTAAGAAGGTAGCTAAAATATCAATTTGTAGTTTCGATTCAGTCTGTATCTCGTATTTTTACAATTCATAATTTTCTACTGGTTGAGACTTGCTGCGCTTAAAGGGTGACGATTAGCATCCCGTATAAAAACAATATGGCGGCTCCAGGCGAATCAACTGGATCAGTCCATTTTTAAGAAATAAGGGGAGTTCTGTAAAATCCAGTTTATTGAAATTGTCTTTGAGATAAAGTAATCCGTTTATAATGATTTTGAAAACGTTATCCAAAGAGTGATTGCGTTCAAAGAATACATGTACAACAGCCAATATAAATCCTTGTATTAGAAACCGGTTTGTCTTGCCTTGTTTCATTTGTAGGATATTTCATATGCCAAGCTGTGTGCTATTACGTTATGGGGAAATTTAGATGCCAATTTTTCCTTATTGTACACAAATAAAAGATCCTGAAATTTCACCCATAAATGTGGAATTGATTTGTCAAAATAAAAATCACCCTTTTATAAATGTGTGACGATCTATAATATACTTATACTATATAACAGTTAGAGGTGTTGACACAACGACCTAGAACCTGTAAACCCTTGAGTATTATTCCGGGATCGGGCCTTTTATACTAAACGGTGAGCAACACCAGAAACGAGCGTTCGATTTGCTAAACGATATGCGTCACCCTTTAAACGCACATCAATGTCAATTATGTTTTCCTACTCAATGTTTGACCACAAGAAGCTAGAAACTACAATGAGGTGAGCTTTTATCAATCAAATATGTTTAAACGTTCAAACAGCCATTCAAATATGAGAATATATGAGAATATCGAATGTTAACTTGATTGTGTAAAATCTCACATTGTGAAAAAAGGAACCACCTGTATGCAATCTATAATACACTTAGCATTTTGAAAATAACGTGGGTCTCGATAGGTAATAAATTTCTGATGCGGAACCACCTTATAGCTCTGAAAACAGCTGGGTCCAATGACTGAGACATCGGCTGAGATATACAGTTTGGACAATTAATAAATGAGTCATGGATTAACTGAAGTGAGGGTTTCCCATGTTAGAAATAAGAGAATGTTCAATGCTCACATTATTCACATACTAGTAGTGTATGTGACTATGTGATATGTGAAAATAGTGATGGAAAACCGACTTTTCATTATCTATGGTCCATTTTGGAATGTAAAACATGACTATTACCTCATGTTTTAGAGTTTAACCTCTCTCCCTCTACTCTTCCCATATTTTAAAACCCATTATTTGACCACTTTTTACGTTGCTGTTTGATCCTCTACATTTTTCTCTCTTTTATGCACGTTTGATTATACATACCAGCTTTGTGACTTATGACAAACAGCAAAAGAAGATTCTCCTCTTCTCCAACGTTGCAAATATCCCATTTTGGCCATTTTATAACTTTGTGAGCGTCAAGAAAACTATTCGTCCAATTCATATGATAAAGCTCAAGTGGAACCTTCGACTGTGCAGTCCGCGGTTTTAACTTTGGTTTCATTTGGGTTTTGTCAATAGTGGCGCACTGTAAGGAATCCCAAATTTTGTGTCTTGATAATTCTCCATCTGCTTGATTTGGTGATGCGCTGAAACTTGAGCTTTCAAGACTTTTCCCATGTGTATTCGTTATCCTTTGATGTTTCCACCTGATTTTAACTGAACTTTGTATTAAGAATATTTTCACAATAGCTATTAGTAATCCAGTGAGGACGATATATTTTAAGTACCTCTTTAATTTAACCATTTTGCAAAACATATAAGCGAGCTTGTGTCAGTTGTCAATGTTTGAATTTCCCTTCATGTAATGTACGTGTACTTGCGATTGCCAAGAAGCAGATATACCGATATTGCACTATACCTTTAACACGAAAGCTACTTAAGAGTCAGTGTTTCCCCACCCAACCGTGAATATGCTTGTTATTTTTAAATGTACAGTACACGCATATAAATTATACCACTATGAATTGTGAATGCTGTCCAAAAATCACTGAACTGATAAGTTATGAAAACTTAGCTAGCATTCGGTGACATCAACTGCCGGATGTCGGTAACATGATCATTGGTAATAAATATACATACATTTAACTTTTATATAACAATCAAACCACTAGTTAAAAAAACAGTCATCACGCCCCTTTTATGCCACTGTTACATGATCGATTATAATAAAGCCGTTAGTTGAAAATAAGGAGACCGCCTGCCACTGTTTGCTGTTTATAGGAACAGATCCTACCGATTGTATGCCAGTAACCTGGTTAGATGCGACTGCATATAGCAGCTATCTAGGTGATATTTAAATAAGTTTAATAAGCCATGCCATACAATACCTCTCAAACCGTCAGGCGTCAGTCGATAGTTGAATTCGCGAATACTAGCTTGTTTATGTGGCGATTTGTAAGCGGTAGTCAATAAAATCCGGTGCAACCGTGGTATACGTCTATCCTAGATCAAATCATATTTAATTTTATTTAATCCATTTTTATGTAAAAGTCAGGAATATAACTCCGACTGGGGCAACCTATCCTACTAGGACCTTCGTACGTTCCTAAGTTATCGACGATGATTCCTAACGGACTACTCAGCTGTTACACCGGACATAGACACGGATTCGATAAAACCTTACTTTAGCGCAAAAACGGTGCTTCATAGATTTCCCCTGTCAAATTTTAATTTCATCCTTTTTGAAGCATCTTTATATTAAAAGATATAATATGCAAGATAAATAAACGAATACAAAAATAGTATTGGTAATTCGGAAGGATGCAGACAAAATATTTATCACTCAAAAATCGAATAGCAGCATAATCTTTTGACATAGAAATTGTTGTATTACTGAAACGAACTTATGATCGAGCATAAATATAATGTGTACTTCAAGGTAATGAAGTAACAGCATACTTAAATGTCCGATAATAAGTTCGTATAAAAGCTGTGTTTCAAATATTGATTGAATGACATATGCGAGAACTTTGTTACTGCTACCAGGGTGAATCGGACCTGCAGGCCTCAATATTTATTCAAGTTTTTCTGTTTTTAAAAATTCGACATGTGATGTATATATAAAGAAATCACGAAGGTACGAAAAATGTCATGGAAAATGCGTGACATATATACGGTATCCGTGTGAAAAAGTCCAAACAAAGTGCGTTCGTTTTTTTCGGCGTTCGGTTTTGTGCTGTATCGGAATATTTTTTTCTTGACGTAATCAGGTAAAATGCGTATTTGCGTGACATATTCTGTCACGCAAATTTTTCGGCAAATGCGTGACAAATACGCAAATAACGGGACAGTTGGACGGCCTGGTGACAAAATGTTTCTAGTTTCCTGTTGAATGTCGAGTCTCGCATCATACGAATGTAATTTTAGGCGATCTGTCTGCATGGGGTGTATTAACTAAATCTCATTCAGATGTAGTTACTCGTTTACAACGACGTCATACATTTAATTACTACACCATACTTTATATGGTGTGAAGGGTTATATTCTGGCGCGGATGTTCGAAAAGCTGGTTTTGACGTAAGAGGAGGGAAAGACCCAGAGCTTTAGCGATGACTGACATAATAGTCTCTTGCTTACCACCTTCGTTTGCACATATTCTCACCAGTTAATTTTCGAACATAGCGCGTCGTCGTGATGTTTTAATCGATGTAAACATATTCCTTACATATTTCTTTATCTTGATGTGAAAAACCAAGCCATGATATTGGTTAATACGCCAGGAATCAACATAATATTATTCGAAGCCAGGAGGAGTGAGTAGCTCCCATAATTCTTTCATATTCTATCGTATTCGGGGATTCCCCATTACATCATCTCTTGCATCATCTCCAATCAAATTGCAGGATTCGATCACGTGGACAATCATGAGCACGTGCTCTCTCAGTGCTGCGCATGCGCAGAGTTAAATTTGAAATCGTTGGAATGGCGTTAACATCAGTTCAACATCATCATTTCAAACCTACGGTAATACTGTTGAAGTTACTCGATCCATACTTGTAGAGAATACTCATAAAACTACAGTGAACATTTGGAGATCCATTTCAACGGCAAATTGAGGCCTGTTTATAAAATTTGTTTTCGAACGTGCTAATATGATAGGGCATCTTTGGGAAATCTCCCCCCCCCTGATTCGAAGCGATATTAGAAAATTTTGAATCCGCCATTTTTGTTTTTCGATTTGGACCAATCAGAGGTGTATGTCATCTACTCAATACAGGTTTACATTATAAGCGTATGTCATCTTTGAACTCTGGGGTTAATCCCCCTCTTTTTTGACGTCTTAAAATTTCTGCTGATTTCATGACAAACTCTTTCAGCTGTTTCTTCGGAACATTCAGTCAAATTATTTGTATATTTGACTAAAAATACAATATTAGACTAACCTGACCTCTATCTAAAATTGTGTGAAATCTAATGCATAACTTCCTTGTCATTGAGTCGACATTGTACTGTGGTGGCTATATTATCTTGAGTTTTTCAACGCATGGACATTTTCATTTCAATACAATAGTTATTTTGACAAGGGTAGAACAACCCTCGATAGCAGCTATTTTTAAAGTACCCAGTGCGAAAGCCAATAAGTCAAGTTCATTTATTTGAAATAATCTGTTTAACATGACAAATAGATATGGACTGTACAATGCCTGACCATACATATGGTCCTTGATTAACTTATCGCGTCATGTAATGTTATGTAATGTTCAGGAGCACAGTTCTAATAATAGTAAGTGAGGTTGATAAACACAAGCATAGAACACTATTGAACATCAACATGTCTTCGAACACCAGCTCAGATGAGCCCGTTGCTAACTATACAACGCCCGTGGTGGAGCTACCGACAGTTCGGCAACTTAGGGAGATATCAGAAGAGCTTGGCTTCAACCTAACCGAGGATCAACTTGAACAACATCGAGGTATTGTAAAACATGCTCAAGGGAATATGCTATCAAACAAAGGCAATTGATCCCAATCACCCCTGACCTAAATGCAAACAACTATTCTGTAACTTGCAACATCCATAGGCTTTGGTATCAACATGAATTTCTGAAAATAAAATACATTTTTAAAGCAAATAAAGAGTGAACTTCTCGAACAGGGGACTTTCAAGATGAAAGATCCCTTGATTAAACACATGAGAAATTTCAACGTTGTATTTAATTTTTGTAATCAAAATTCCCAAGAAATCTTTATACTCCAATACAAAAGTAATAGCAAAATAGTGCGAAAACTCAAATTGCGGCCTTTTTGCTCTTTAATATGTATATATCTATGTGCATTGTTCAAAATACAAGATCATATTGTCAGATCAATTAATAATTCGTTTTTATTAATACTATTTCGAAGATTACTTGAAGGGGTTTTGCGAGGCTTATCAAAAGTTGGAAGAACTGGTTGAGCCAACACTTGAAGTTAAATTTCCTCGCACATCGGGACACAAACCAACAAAGGAAGAAAACCCCTACAATGCCTGGTAAATATTGTAAATATTATTAACTGATATAAATCTTGTGTTTAACAGTCTGTTAGGTTCAGTGTAACAGAAACACAGAGTTGAGAACTGTTCATTTATTTAATAAGTCTACCCTAACACATTTTAAACAAAACAAGGCGATACCATGATAAAATGTCGCCAGCTGGTAATATTGGAAATTGTAAGAATTTGTTACAGACACCAAACGCCGACCGCCCAACGTTGACCGCCGAACAAAGTCCACAAGAAAATGAGAGACTTTATATAAAACAATAGTCTCTACTTCTGACCATAATGCTGGCATAAAAACAACACTTAAATTTCGCCTCAAACGCTTTGAACAAGGTGCAAATGTTCAATAAATATCACAGAAATATTTTTCACCAAATTAAAAGTAGCCATGCATGTATTTTCACAGTTCAAATATTAAACATTATCACAAATCTGTCAAACATTAAACCATACTTTTCAGGGCCTGGTGTACGGACATCAAAGGCGCTGCAGAAGGCAAGCTAACGGGTAAAACTATAGCTGTGAAAGACAACATTGCCGTTGCAGGCGTTCCACTGAGCAATGGTAGTAAAACAATGGAGGGATATGTGCCTGAGTTCGATGCAACCGTAGTCACCAGGGTCTTAGAGGCAGGTATGTCAATTAGTTGAATTAACCATCGACACGACGTACTGCAACCGTCTTTTGGAGGATCATAGAAGCTTAATGCGAATTCAACTGTCTCAACAGTTAATAGTAAAATTTTGAAATGAATGTCATCCAACAGTAGTCACAATAAACAATGTGACAGGTAAGTGTGTAAATGAGTATGATGCAACAGTAGTCACAATAAACAGTGTGACGGGCACGTATGTAAATGAGTGTGATACAATAGTAGTCACAATTAACAGTGTGACGGGCACGTATGTAAATGAGTGTGATACAATAGTAGTCACAATTAACAATGTGACAGGCAAGTATGTAAATGAGTGTGATAACACTGTAGTCACAATTAACAGTGTGACAGGCAAGTATGTAAATGAGTGTGATACAACAGTAGTCACAATTAACAGTGTGACAGGCAAGTATGTAAATGAGTGTGATACAACAGTAGTCACAATTAACAGTGTGACAGGCAAGTATGTAAATGAGTGTGATAACACTGTAGTCACGATTAATAGTATACCAGGCAACGCAAGTGTGTAAATTAGTGTAAACACACTAGTAACAATTTTATGACATTTCAGGCAAGTAAGTAAATCACTGTGATACAACTGTAATCGATCGTTATCTCTTAGAATCATTCAAAATAGTCAACTTTAAACTGTCTTAGTATATTCGAGGTTTTGCTAACAGGAGGACGAATAACCGGAAAAGCAGTTTGTGAGGACCTGTGTTTTTCGGGAAACAGTTTCACGGCGAACAGTGGCCCAGTAACTAATCCAGTGGATACATCAAGGACCACAGGGGGTTCCAGTTCCGGATCAGCTGCTCTTGTAAATATATCCGTTTTATTAATGAAAAAGTTAAGAATTGCTAATTTCAAAAACCAATTGGCGTAACCATGGAAATTATGACGGCACGGCAATAGAACAAGTTTCTGTTAATGACGACCGACATCAGATGAATTGAATAGACGTCGCCTCTTTTTATGTCCCCACCACATAGTGTGGGGCCATATTGTCGGCCTAGGCGCGTCCGTCCGTCTGTCTGTCCGTCTGTCCGTCCATACGTCTGGCAGTTTTCTCAAAAACCGCTACAGATATCACCTTCAAATTTTCAGGGATAACTTATGAGTGCATCTAGATGTGGATGAAAAAAATTAACTCGATACCTACTTCCTGTCGGCCATTTTGAAGTCAAATGCTAAAATCCTTGTCTGCAAACGGCTTCACAGTTGCTTTTAAAACGTTAACATCTTGTTCAGCTCACTTCATTCTAGATCTGATTAGGTTTTGGAACTGTTAGCTCAGTCATGTCAGCCATTTTGAATGTTTTAAGAAAAGTTAGCGCACGATAATACTTTGTATCATATTGAATGGTGTTTTTCAGTTTTCATACTTTAACTATTTAGTAGCTTTATAAATAATTTCAGGTGTACTTTGTTGTAAAAGCCTTTGTTATTGTTAACAGTAGTTATATGTGATAATTTTGTAAAAAGAAATCAGCAAAAACTCATAATCACTTTTTTATTGTCGGCCATTTTGGATTTTTCCGTCCTAAAATCTTGTCTGTAAAGTCTTGTCTACGCGTTTTTTCAGGTGAACCGTTTGGTAGATCAATTTCAAATTTTCAGGGATGATTCTCAGTATGAAAATCTAGATCTGATTAATTTTTTGGCATTCTGGATAAATGTCAAGGCAGCCATTTTGGATTTTCTGTCCTCAAATCTTGTCTGTAAAGTCTTGTTTACATGCTTTCTGGTTAACTGTGTGACGGATCAATTTCAAATTTTCAGGGGTGGTTTTTAGTATGAAAATCTAGAACTGACTAATTTTTTTGGCATTCTGGGTAAATTTTAAGGTGGCCATTTTGGATTTTCCGTCCTCAAATTGTGTCGGTAAAGTCTTGTCTACTCATTTTTAGGATAACCATTTGACGGGATCACCCATAGGTGGGGACATTTTGTACACATTTGTGTTCTTGTTTATTCCTACAAGCATTTGACATTGTATACATTATAGGTGGCTGGTGGTAAAGTTGATCTCGCTATAGGTGGCGATCAAGGAGGTTCAATCAGGATTCCTGCAAGCTGGTGTGGAATAGTAGGTCTGAAGCCCACTCATGGGCTAGTGCCTTACAGTGGGGCATTCTCTTTAGAAAGCTCTATTGACCATTTAGGCCCGATGGCAAAAACGGTTGACGATTGTGCCTTGTTGCTGGAGGTGTTGGCAGGTTCTGATGGGTTCGACTCAAGGCAAAGGGTTCGAGATGTTCCTAGTTTTACGACACAAGTGAGTTCGTTATTGCCGTTTGGCTGAAATGACTTTGAAATTAGCAACCTCGCAATGTTGCGATGTAAACGATTAAAATGTCCAGATACAGTATTATCTTATTTTTACCATATGTATCTTACTTGGCAATGTTTTTTTGTTTTATTTAATGCATTTTCAACTGTTTACAGTATTGTCTTGTTGAAATTACTTTTGTTTTTTTTAGATAGACGGAGGCGTTGCTGGACTAAAAATAGGGTTTGTAGATGAAGGATTTACCACGTGCGAGGCTGATGTCATAAAGGTCGTCAAGGCAACCATTGATATATTTAAAAAAGCCGGGGCCAATGTTGAAGAAACGTCCATTCCTTTACATAAATATGGCAAGTATAAAACCAGCCACTTAATCATTATCTGAACCTATTTTTTGAAGTTCAAGATTAGAAGTATGGATTGCCACCTTGTCATGTACGTATGTATCATTTAAAAATTGAAATTTAACATCTTATTACAATATAGGTCAAGTCATTTGGAGTCCACCTACTCTCGAAGGAGCGTATCTTCAAGGAATCGTGGGTAAGTTAATATCTTTATTTTGTTTATCACAGAATTGCATACCTTAAATCGAGACTTTATTTAACTACGTGGATCAAACCGTCCATATTGTTTATTGTCTGATAATGCATGGACTATTTTAAGTCTCTTTACAGGGGTCGCAGCAATCAGTTATACGATTAGTTCCAAAATGACATAATGATATTTGTTACATTTCTTATCCAGAATCATCTAAAATGTATCACGCTACATTAGAATTAATTCCTGCATCTCCTATCCAGCAAAAATATTCTTAAATGCCATACATTTTATATAAAAAAGTTATCTCAAAAATAAAACATGTGTTTTGGCCCACCCTGTACGTCTACAAATTTCTATATTTCCACCTACCGCGAATTCAAACTACAGGGTGTCCGTAGAAAGTGAACCTAACCTCAAAGGCAGATTACTTGAAAATCATATGCAATATATCTGAAAAACAAAAGTAGCAGTAAAAAAGCCTAAGTTTAAAATCCATCAAATGGCACCCTTAGATCATTATGGAACTGGCACGAAGCACCCTTTTCTTATCTTATCATTATATGTCTAATTTGGTTATAAATATATCTATGTATAAATACATTACTAGTTATTTATATCTAAATATTTGTATATTATATTTTTTACCAAGGTGCTAATATCGGCAACAAGGGATTCTATCCGAATTCAATGATGGAACATTTTAAAAAATCATTGAAAGCGAGACCACATGACCTCCCTATGACGTTTCAATTGGTGTCTATGTGGGGAGAATATACAAAACGCTTCTACCAGTCAAAACACTACGGGAAGGCGCAGAACTTGAACCTTGCTTTAACCGCTGCATATGATAAATCATTGGAAACGTATGACGTCATAGTTATGCCAACATTACCATTTAAAGCCCCAAGACTCCCAAATGCAGATACAGACTTAAAAGGTATTTGTATTGTAATCTGCACATAATGCTTGATATACTCTCTTCCCGTTAAATTTAATTTTATCGGGTACAATTATCCTGACAACACAAGAGAGTTTGGGCCCCAAAATTTATGATTAGTTTCGTATTAAAAGTGTTATATGTTGCAAAAGATAATTGACTGTCTTTAATACTTTGAGAAGCTTTTGTCAACGAGTTCACTTCTCTTGTATTTTTAAGGAAGTATTTAATTCCCAAGTATTACCCAATAAAATGTTGAATGGAGTTCAATCGTTGTCCTTTTATCAGATAGGTTCTAAACCTATTGATTCTTCCGTTGCTAATGATAGAGTATTATATTGCAGGTCTACTTACTGAAGCTCTCAACATGGTGTACAATACCTGTCCCTTTGATATTACTGGACATCCTGCGATATCTTTAAATGCTGGCTCTTCTGAGGGTTTACCGATAGGTATCATGATAGTCGGTCGCCATAACGATGACGCCACTGTTTTGAGAGTAGCCAAGGCATTGGAGAGTAGATTGAAACTTTGAAATGTTAAATACGACTTTTAATATGTGTACACCAAGTAACTTACCCATTTTGACCATTTATTAAGGATATGTTGATTTTTGTGGTTTGGGGGAAAAAATCACTTAATATGAAAACCTGATGCTTGTGTGTGAAATATATGTTTATATGTACCATCAATAAGAATTGTTTGCAGTATATCGCCATTTTGGAATTTTTGGACATCTGCAATGCACGAGGAATATATAAGCACAAATGCCAAAGGGAAGGGTGACTAAAAACTTTAAAGAAACCCAACAAGAAAAGCAAACTGTAAGGAGATGCACAGTCGTGTAACTTAATGAGTGACTATTTTTAGATTTGTTGAAATTGATAACCCTCATCAATTTCATAATTTCAAGCTGGCAATTGAGTTGAAACCCATAATTAGTCTCTTCAGGAATAGCAAGGTATGTGCTTATGCAGGTCAAAATGTCGAAAGCTCAAACCTTACAAAACCCTTGCAAAAATTTTCCTTTCAAAAATACAATACAAAAATACAATACAAATTCTTTTGAAATGAGTTAAACAAATTTCCGAACTATGGATGGTTTAAAACACTCATGTCTTAAATCACAGACTTCGAATTTGGGCTGCCGGACTCATTAAAAGTCTCGATACAAGACACCTAAACATAATACAAAAAGATGGACATATACAAGGAATACTTTTTGCACCCTCTTCGTTTACGTTCTATGCTCCAAATGTTTTGGCTTCCTCCTTTCATATTTATTTTCGAATAGCTGCCATATCCATTGAAGTGGCTTCGGTTTTCAGTCAACGCAATTTTGAGATCTACATTGAAATGAGACCATTGAATCAGAATCAAAAGTTTTGAAGCATCAGTGAAATTTGATAAATGAAAATATGTATGGTTAAGTTTCAAATTGATTAAAAAGGTGTAAATACCACGCGGGTGTTTAACTAAAGCAGACAATGTTTCAATGTTAGATCAATGCAAAAATGTGTTAATTATAACGTTATTGCTCATGTCTAAAAATTCTGTTATCTTTGGAACTTTATGCTTTGAAATAAAGCTATTGTTAAGTCATTAATAATGATTTCAGCCATGAAACAGCTTTAATCTAAAAATTAAACGATTTTTCTTTTTGAAGCTGTGACACGCCATTGTATATATATTGAATATGCACCACCTTGCTTTATTATGCGAACGCCAAAATGAAATGAAAGAGTTTGTTATAAAAAAAACATGTAAACATTTGAAATACAGGGAAATAATTAAGTACACAAATAAAGAGAAAAATAAAAAGTCTGTTAAGTTTTTAGTGTAAAAACATATTACCAGGGCTCACCGTTGAAATTGCATACTTAACTATGTTTCGATGTGTGGGAAACCTTCGTCTGACGAGGTTAGGATCACAATGTCAACGGAAATGCTTCTTTGTTATACTTTCCATATGTATAATTATACTTTTCGCAGGTAGGTTGATTCGGAATATATAATGATAATTCAGATATAAGTATCACATTACGCAGTCTTTTCTGTTCATTGCTATTAATATCTTCACCTTATACCACGAACGTATTTTACTATAAATAATGATTCTTTTCTCAGTTTTTCAGAGTTCTACCAATCACACCATCGCTCAAAATGAAGCAAAGATGCAATATAATAGACAATTCATCAATAGCAACCAATCCGATAGACCTAAGGATTGCCTTCCACTGCACTTTTCTCCGGTGGCGTTACCACACATTGCCCTTGTGAGTGTACCAGGGAGTGGAAACACATGGGTCAGACATCTCATTCAACAAGCAACGGGTAAATGGCATTACTCGAAAATCATCTTATAGGGAATTTGCGTTGGAATATGTATAATTAAAAACTGGAAGTCCGGGGTTCAATGATTTGTGTATGGTTTTAAGCACAGTGTTCTTTTAGGCTAAAAACGAGGGTAAACGTTCACAGAAAACGAGTGCTTAAAATTACCAACATGTACTTAATGCTTGTCAAATCAAAAGAAATTACAAAATGCTTTCGCGTTGAGCTTCATTCTTTCTAAGATGTTGCGATATATTTGCGATGTGTGACACAAAGGAGGAGGGAAAGTATCGCAACAAAGACGCCGGATAGTCATATGTTGAATTTTGGCTACTTTCTGAGGATTTAATCAGGTGCATATGTTAAGCCAATGCATTAATTACACGAAAAGCACTCATAAAGATGAAAAAATAATTTCGACTTTGAGACAGGGAAGGTGCAAACAACCCACCCACATGTTTTTTCTGAAATGTCCTGATTTTCAACCCCTTCCACTCCAGCTTTTTAAATTTTTGTTGCATCAATATGTTGTGTTTTGGAATTTTTAATTTTTTTAAAATTTGACAAGCATTGCTTTACCTACAGGGTGGTACATGACCTAATTATTCACTTATTTACAACGCACAAGGTCAATGCTTCCAAAATGATATTTCGAATACAAGACGTGACAAACCATTCAAACTAATGAACTATGTGTTCATCTTTTGACAGGTTTATATTCGGGTAGCATGTATAGAGATCAAAAGATGGACCCTTTGATTTTTCCTAACGACCCCAGGAACAATTCGGTCATTGTCACAAAGAGACACAACAAATGGTCTGAATCAAGTCCGAAGATTGTTAAAGCTATATTACTAGTTCGTAACCCATTTGATGCAATACTAGCAGAGTTTAACAGAGAGGTTACTAAGGATAAGACTATGACTGCCTCTAAAGATCATTTTCAAACCAAAGGTAAATGCCCTATGTTTCATTATACAATGGTATGTATTAATGCCGTTCAAAAAATCTTCAAAGATATAACTAATTTTGCTTCTCAGCATCTTCAGGAGGAGAATTATTTATAGGCTCATAGAATACACCGGGTCAAAATAGTTTATATATTTGTTTATATGATGCTATACTCTAAATCTTTTCCTTAGAATGGACCAAGATTTTAGAATGCAGTGGCTCAAAATAGTTACATAATGTTGTACTCTTTTCCTTGTAGAATGGACAAAAATTGTAAAATACAATGGCTTAAAATTGTTATTTAATATTTTACTCTCTCCCTTTGTAGAAAGGACCAAGATTTTAGAATGCAGTGGCTCAAAATAGTTACATAATGTTGTACTCTTTTCCTTGTAGAATGGACAGAAATTGTAAAATACAATGGCTTAAAATTGTTATTTAATATTTTACTCTCTCCCTTTGTAGAAAGGACCAAGATTTTAGAATGCAGTGGCTCAAAATAGTTTTTTTAATGTGATGCAATTTCCCTCGAATAATGTACCAAGATTGTAGAAAACAGTGGATGGCTGAAAATGGTTATATAATGTTTAACTCTCTTGTTTTGTATAATGGATCTAGATTGAATACAGTACATAATACAGTGGCTCAAAATTGTTATATGTGTATAATGCCATTCTCTTTTCCTTGTAGAATGGACCAAGTTTGTAGAATACAGTTGCCAAAATTTGTTATATAATATAAAATATGTTATATACTATTTTACTCTTCGTGTAGAATACCGTGGCTCAAAATAGTTATTTATGTTATTCAATTTCCTTTGTAATGACCAAAAATGTAGAATACAGTGACTCGAAATGGTAACATACTGTTAAACTCCCTTCCTATGTAGAATGGACCAAGACAGTAGAATACAATGGTTCAAAATCGGTATTTAATGTTTTACCGTCTTCCTTTGTAGAATGGACCGAGATTTTAGAATACAGTGGCTCAAAATTGTTATACAATGTTATACTTTCTTCCTTTGTAGGATGGATTGTAGAATACAATCATTGGCTCAAATGGTTATATAATGCTGTAATCTTTTCTTTCGTAGATTGGACCAAGATTAATGTAGAATACAGTGGCTCAAAATGGCTATATAGTGTTATATTCTCTTCCTTTGTAGAATGGACCAAGATTGTAGAATAGTGTTGCTAAACATGGTTATATAATATTATATTCTCTTCCTTTGTAGAATGGACCAAGATTGTAGAATACAGTGGTTCAAAATGGTTATATAATGTAATGGTTTGGCTAGTGTACCCATTTGGACCTGTGCATGTAGTTAGGTATGAAGACTTAAAAAGTAATTTGAAGGTACGTTATCATTTGCAGTCTCACAATCGACGTCAATGTACTAGATGCGGATGATTTAAATTTAGATTTGAACATAACGTTGCTAGTTAACAATAATTCTAAACGGACAGAATATTTATGTTCCATTAAGTGAACCGTTTGAAATAGATTTTGATATTTATTAAAAATAGTCCCGTCGGCGCTTGTGATCTGTCACATTATGTGGGCTATAGTTAGAAGGCTATTGTGCCGCAAGGGAGCATTTCTAGTTTTTGAAAATCATTTAATTTTATTTCTGCCATTAAACTGCAGTTAAACTGATTTACCGGATTGGCCTTTTATTTTGTAAGGATTTATTTGTCAATTTTAGGATGAAATGAGAAAGATTTGTATTTTTCTTGGTCACCCGGCTTCGGAGGAGACACTGGATTGTGTCGTACGGAATTCTGAAGGTGCATATAGAAGAAACAGAACGGAAACAGATAGAACGCTATTCCCTTTGCGAATACGACAGAAGCTAGAGTCAGATATGCTACTATTTGATCGCTTCTTAGAAGAATATAGATAACATTGCAACAAATTAGATGTGCATCGTAGCCTGCTTGTAGTTTCTTAGTCATGTAGTCAAATTCATCCGACAATTCATCTGACATGTATGTAGCACTTATACATACTCGTATACGATACAGGATCACCAGGAGCCCATGAGCGTGTATTTATGAAACCGTTCAATTGAAAATATACCAATGGGTGCTTCCATATATGAAGAGATGGTGATTGCGCATAATTTGAAGTGTGCCATTTAGATTTCGACATATTACGACATTTTTGTGGCATGACATATGGCAAGTGTAAATAACGTGTTCCAGATTCTAAGTTGTGAGACGTTGCCATAATTTATTAACACATATTTCAAATTTCATATTTATTTATTGGCACGGCCACTGCTTATCAGGGCATGACTTCAATTTTTTATAACAATAATATGAATAAAATTAACAGAGAATATACATAAATGTATAAAGAAGTACAGTCATGCATTATACATTTGAACAGTGTTTATTAATATATATTTTAATCTTAACTAATGTATGTAACTACTGATGTTACTAATCAAGGTTAGGTTGGAGGAGTTGCGTTTTCTTAGTTTAAATTAGGTCCAATAATAACATTTCTCCTAGATTTATAGAGTGTATTAATATTGTTAAAATTTCATATGTATGTGTTTTGTACGACATCGAGTATAAGAATTTTTCTTTTCTGGAGGTAGCCCATTACATTTTTTATTTTGAGATAGATATTTTATCAAATGGAACTTTCCTTTGATTTTTATGGTAATTAAAAATTCTGAGTAAGTGAAACTCATCCTCAATCTGATTGGTTTGATTTTCACATTATTTACATAAGGTTTTATACCACGAGACCTACCTGTTTCAATTTCTAGTTTGTGATTTGATAGCCGTAACTCAGTAAAACAGTTTCTTTTCTCAATATTTTGATGTAATAAATAATTTTCAAAAACATTAGACTTTTTGAATGTAATATAAGTTTGCATTTTGTTATTATACAAGGGTTGTTCAAAACGTTTTGCACAAATATATCTAATTATAAAAATAATGAACCAATCTTGTTCATTGTTAGTAGGTACATGTATGTGCCCCCGTCTTATTCCCTTATACTGTCAAGGTTTCATATAGGTCTTCTACTTAACATTCTATGGTTTCTATAGTAACCAAGGCGATGACGCAATGGTCCATATCATTTTGTAAAAAGAAAACTAGTAATATATAAATAACAATATTACTAACCATGCTAAATTTACTGACATAAACTGTCAACTTAGATTTAAACAATATCTTGTTTTGTTCTCATGACAAAACTGAATCTTATATCAATATTTTCCCATCTTCTTTTCTTTAATCATGCCAAATAATGACCGTAAATATATTCTTCAAACATCTTGAAAAAATCACCTGATTTTATGACGATATCAAAGTTCTCATGATTCATGAAATACTGGAGAGTATGGCTCGAAATAATAAAGTTGAAGCAGAAAACATTGATAGAATACATGATAAAGAATGGGGAAACAGTAACACAACTTTATACATTCATGCATTAATATATATTGCATATAATGACTCCAATAGGCATTGCAAAGTATTCCAAGATGGAATTAGAAGGGAAGGTAAAATTTACTGAGGGTAGCTGTAGGTGTACACGTATTAAAAGTCGTATTGATCATTTCAGAGTTATGAAAAGGCTCAACATCCTATACATGTAGGTGGGGTGGTTCAGACATTTACTTAATAATGGACTGGGCATAATGCTACAAGTATAATGCATTACTAAAAAAGAAAGACTACAGTTTAAGTACTCTATGTTTAGATTAAATATAAATTAGTTATAACATAACCTGACCAACAGCTGAAAGAACAAAGATTGGCCGTACTATTTCAGGCTATCAAGGCATTCACAAAATTAATTCAATTTAATGATGCATATGGACCGTTGGCCCATTGGTTCAAATTTTAAAGTCAATGTATCTCAGGAAGTGCATTGCTTATGGTCCTGAAATTTCATATATGCTATTAAGGAAGGGTGGGTTTTGACCAGACGATATTTTGGTTTTCCATATTTTATTGTATTGTTCGGTGAACTTCGTTTGGATCATTTTAGTGAATTTTTGTTTATAAGTTGGATTTGATATTTTAGTCGTTTTGATGTCTATATTAATAGTTGCAAGGGATTTCTTAATATATTTGAACTTCATGGAAAGACTTATTATGCTGCCGTTGAGTTTTATAGCTATTTAATTTGTTCATCATCTCCGGGTTGACAGTAAATCCTGTGTGGGTACTGTTTTAACACACCGTATTTATTTTATATCAAGAGTACATACACTCCCCTCCATAAGTTTGGCAGCCTTTTTTCCCCCATTGAACTACGTGTTAAAGCCTCTTTACATTTGAATTTTTATTTACTTAACCTGCGATGAAAATACTTAAACTATTAATGGAAACGTAACTGGTCTTTAATTCCAATACCTCAAAATTTTCTCAATTTTTTTCCTCAATTACAATAGGTTGAAAATTGATGATAAATTTGATGATTTTTTGAAAATCGACATTCCCATGTAAACCAATGGGAAATGGTAGGTTTGCAGCAAGTCATATGACAGAATATCCATCCATCCGAGTCCTTGCAAAAAATACGACCTAGGCAGGCAATTGAATTTGCTAAATTTATTTAACAAAAAATTGATATGTTTCTTCAGGTTCAACAAAGTTACAGGGCTTTAAAGTCAAAATTGTTTTTAAAAAAACCTCTCCCATTGAAATACAGGAGGCGAAAAATTATTTTCAAAAATGACTTTGAAGCGCTGTAACTTTAATATTCATCAAATAAACTAAACACTTAGTGTTCAAAAAAGTTAGACAATTCAATTTTCTATATAAAATATTTTTTGCGGAATCTTTTACTGAAAAGATATCATGATTTCTGATTTGCCCCGAACCCTCCATTTTCCATTGGATTACATGGGAATGACGATTTTCAAAAATTCATCAAATTTATCATCAATTTTCGACCTATTGTAATTGAGGAAAAAAATTGAGAAAATTTGGAGGTATTGGAAATAAAGTCAAGTTACGTTTCCATCAATAAAATAAGTTGTTTCATTGACGGTTAAGTAAATAAAAATTCAAACATAAAGAGGCTTTAACACGTAGTTCAATGGGGGGAAAAGGTTGCCAAACTTATGGAGGGGAGTGTATGTATGTTATATTTAAACTATTTGACTTGGTGTATTTAATACTGTTATCCTTCTTTTCGATATTAACCCGTATATATTATATAGAGGATATCCTATGATTTGTGGGTGGTATATTTTTTACTACAACTGAAAAAGTAATAGAGCGATTTTGTTCATATTTGCTATGCTGTGAATAATCATTAGGATGGCACACTGTCCAATGACATTAGTACTTTGGCTAGTAGGCGGTCATTTAAAAAAATATGGCCGCCATTTACATGTACGTGTGATCTATTTTATTGAAAGTATTGGTATCGATATGGTGAATTGAATTCAACCTTGTTTTTCTTTTAAACCAATTATTGAAAATATTCTGTAAAAAACACTTTCCTTCATGTAATGGTCACAATTTATTTAATTAACAATTTATTATATATATTCTATATAACTGCTTTTGATAACATTCTTTGCTTTTTGCGCAATTGTTTTTTAGTTCCTTTCTACCAATCCTTGAGAATGAAATGAAACATCTATCCCAACCTCATTCGAACAAAATGACATGAATACAACGTGTTTAGGTCTCTCAATGTTGTAATTATACAAAGGAAAGTTTGGTCTATCTAATTGGCATCTGGTATGATCACAAAATTTTCAATAGCTGGAATTACAGATAAAAGAAATGTTTTCCGAAAAAATCAGCAAAATTGTACATAAGATAATTGATAAATTATGATGCAATCATCAGCTCCAATTGACAAAATCGGAAAAGGCTAGCACTATTTCTACCATACTGTTGTCTTTAGAATAAAATCACGCAATCTTACATCATCAACGTTGTTAAAATTATTACACCAAGTTGTAGAGAATTGAATGAAGTATATTTTAGGAAAGTTTGAACATCCCAGCTTTACGAATTTGTTATTAATTTATTATGATGTAATTACATCATCAATCTTACACCATGGTTATTAAAGTTTTTACACAAAGTTGTAGTAAATCGAATGAAGTATATTTGGGGAAAGTTTGAACATTTTACCTCTACTAATAAAAACATTACAAGGAGTGCAATTTTGAACCAAAATTTCACGTTATGTACATGTCTAAGATGGGATAGATGTTTCATTTCATTCCGAACATATGATACCAAGAACAAAAAAAGTGTCTGACGTGTTTTCTAAAACAATATAGAGACAAATATAAAGATATATTTCAAATCAAATTGTTACTATTCAAAAGATGATCATTAAATTGACAATGTGTAACTGTAAGGTATTATGATGTATATAGTGTGCGATGTTAGGACTTACTTTCATAATTAGATTGTTTTTAGACTGAGTGAGTGAATGGATTATTCAGTAGTGCATGAATGGGTTGACTGAGTTGAGTTTAGTATGAAAGTATTAGTGGAGTGAAAGACATGTATGCATATAGTAGAGCAGAGTGTTGTATTTTAGAGAACATTTTACCAATTGAGTTTTAGACTTTTAAGATGAGATGAGATGTGAATATTGAAGTGCAATAAAGATGAGAACATTGACTGTCAACTACAACGAACTATCTATTTATTTTATTTTATTGTTTCACATGGTGGCAGCGGTGGGATGACATGGGAGGACTTACTTTCATAATTAGATTGTTTTTAGACTGAGTGAGTGAATGGATTATTCAGTAGTGCATGAATGGGTTGACTGAGTTGAGTTTAGTATGAAAGTATTAGTGGAGTGAAAGACATGTATGCATATAGTAGAGCAGAGTGTTGTATTTTAGAGAACATTTTACCAATTGAGTTTTAGACTTTTAAGATGAGATGAGATGTGAATATTGAAGTGCAATAAAGATGAGAACATTGACTGTCAACTACAACGAACTATCTATTTATTTTATTTTATTATTTCACAGTAACATTTTAAGAATTTTTCGATAACTTGTTTAAGAGAAACATCATGTGTTCAATTCAGTTCGCCATACCGATACCAATCCTTTATATGTGGATACTTAGAAGCATATTTCATTTTCTAATGACAATGTGGCTAGCTGGTGTCCATTTTCATGTGCGTTATTTCACGATTTTTGCGATAACTGAAAAAGTAGCCGAAGGATTTTGTAAAAATCGCAGCCATGGTTGTTTGATGGGATTTGCTTACGCATTGGCGTCGCTGTTATCTAATTTCTGTTGTTCGTACCTCAACTGATATCCTTGATACTGATTGGTTGATTAGCGGTCAGAATATTGCTAACGTGGTTTCGGAGAAAAGGTTGTGAAATGAAGCCATATGCCTATTGATGATTGTCGTCTATATGTGTATTATTAGTTTCTTCGGACTAACAAAACAATTGTAGACGTCTTCATTCAATCAGCCGTCAAGATATACCTCGACTGTAAACCTTGAAACTACTGTTGACCTCGACCTTCGGTCTCTGTAAATAGTAGTTTCTCGGTTTACAGTCTTGGTAAACAATTTTGCCGGTTGACCTCTGGAGAGGCCAACAATTGTATATTGTATTGGTTGAACATTACTGTAAACTGCCTTGCTGACAAACGAGCAAATCACGTTTGGCACTGATATTTTGTGTTGTTTTGGGGCTCTTTTATAAACAGAACGGTGCCGAATACACGTATTAGAAATTCTGTAATAGAAACGGCGCCAATTTGCAGTGTAATAAAATTCACATACGAGTCAAAGCGCATGGAGTATATAATCGTCACTTTCCATAGGGCATCTAGTTATTCAGATATTTACTACAGAAACCAAGTTATTATAAACTTTGTGAACTGCAATTTTGATTAGACAGAATCCAAAATACGATTATGGTTCCCAATAAAATCAATGTTTGGTTTTGTACTCCTGAAAACCAATTAAAAGCCCAATTAAACAATCGTTAAAATATAATATCGGTTAGGTCATTTTAAATTAATACAGTTTTAAACATGTTGAGTTGAATCATTCTTTTGACACAATTTAACACAATCGATTATTTTAGGTTCGGATTATAGGTTACTTCATTTTTATCGTTTCAAAACTTATATCATTTTGGTAAATGGAAAGATGATAAAGCAATATTTTACGACTCTGCATAACATGGAACAATAATTACAATGGCTTAAACATTTGCCATCAAGTAATACATTCATAATGTCGAAAAGAAAGGAGTCTTAAAATACACACATATTGTAGACAATGGATATTTTAGCCCATGCTTTTCTCAGAGATAAACTTGAAATGTTTTAATTTAGATATGATTGTATTACACATGGGGATAATAATGCTACATGATTTGTATTGGAACCAAAAATAACCTAATCTGTGGAATAAAAATTGACACATGTATAGGTGTGAAATTTTTGGCAGATATAAGTTGAGGAACATTGATAGCATCACGAGTTTGCCAGGATGTCAATCACAAAAAGCCAAAATTGGTAAACAATACAAGGTTTGACTAATTTATGGCCAATGGACAAGCAAAAACATATGAAAGTCAGTCTTAAGGAGAGGTCAAATACTATTTGGAAAATTGCACAGTTTGTGCTTGCTCATGATATGACAGCTTTTAAGATTGTCATAACCATTATGGCACTGGCGTTATTAGCGGCTTCGATAACAGGTAAGACCACTTATATAGACCTATTCAACTGTACATCCCAAAGCCTTTTTGTCATTTCCCAACCTTCTCTGAGAAAAATAAAATGTCGAACATAAGCATGGTCTAATTGGCTATTCAATGGTCATCGTTGCAATAGGGGAGATATGGTAGTAAATTGAATAGCATTATTCTCCTATACTAGTCACTCCGGATACACTCTCTGCATTGCACTATACATGCTTAAAAATCAGTATTGATTACATACCTTCATATTTCAAGCCTTTACAGAACTTTCGAAAGGTTCTATCCTCATTACCAAAAGTGCACAAAACACAGAGCCACAATTAATTGGAGGTAAAGAGGACATTGACAAAGGTGAAATACTGATCAAATCTGGAAGACCCAAGGATTGCACCCCGCTGCACTTCTCTCCGGTGGCTTTACCACACATTGCTCTTGTGAGTGTACCAGGGAGTGGAAACACATGGGTCAGACACCTCATTCAACAAGCAACGGGTAAGATTTAACTCGAACTGAAGCAAACTTCAATGTACCTGTTCTATGTATATCTTAACTTAGATACAAGTATATAATTTGGTATACAATCTCAATTTTTAATTTTACTTTAACAACAATCTAGAAATACTTGAACTCATATATAAACTTATTCTTTTGAACATTTTCATAAGTTTTGATTACGGAGTATTTGTTTTAAGATATATAAATATACGTTAGCTACCCACCTAGCTAGCTAGTTAACTATACTACCTAGCGTTTTTCCTAACTATCAATCTATTGCAGGCATATACACTGGCTCTATATACAATGAGACAAAACTCGATCAAGAGATATTTCCAAATGATCCTAAAAATAATTCAGTCATTGTGACGAAACGACACACAAGATGGTCTGAAAAGAATGGCATTACAAAGGCCATTCTATTGGTTCGTACTCCATTTGATGCGATTGTTGCAGCTTTTAACAGGATTGATACAAAGAACAAAACTGAGACAGCGCCCAAAAAACGATTTCTGTCCAAAGGTTCGTGATTTTATATGACATATATTGTGACAATATAACAAGCAAGTGACATATGTCCAAAAGTTCGTGATTTTATTATATGGCATATATTGTGATATTATAACAAACACGTGACATTTGTCCAAAGGTTGGTGGTTATCCTTTTTAAATCAACCAGTACAAGTTTGGTAAAAGGTCAGAGTCAAACAAATTGTTGACTTCATTCTTACCTAAAGCCCTTCTACATATGTCCGATGGAGTATAATATGCCAAATGTTGCAGTTCCATGAAAAAATATTGTAGCATGAATTACTTTAATTTCCAATTTCCAAGAGCCTTGAAATATAAATAAACTAACACTTAATTTCATACCATGTTATATTGATATTAATGTGTATATTTGTTATATTCCTGCATGATTCGTACACTATTACGTTTTTTAGAATTTTCTCTGTTGTCCCCCCCAAATGACAATTGCGCTTTTTATTTATAGACTGGGAGAGATTTGTGAGTTTACGGAGCTCGTATTGGTTATACCATGGTGTCACTTGGTTAGCATTTCCTTTTGGCCCCATACACATTGTCAGATATGAAGAGCTGAAAGTAAATCTTAAGGTAAGGATGATATTATATATTTGATTCGATTTGAAAGCTACTTATTCTGGGTAGCTCTATCAATACAAACCTGGTCTTCCTAGAGGACCAATACTTAAATTCTGATCACAAAAGGTCAATTAGTACAGTTTATATATCAAAGTATAGATTTAGATTCATGAGTACTTATTCATATACATATATAAGGATATTAATGCATTATTAGTTCCATGTGACAATTAACGATTGTGTAATTATCAACTAATTGAAAATTGAAACACGTTTAGGTCAATTGATGAATCTATATGTTACGACATTTCAGGATGAGTTGAGAAAGATTTGTATTTTCCTTGGTCATCCAGTTTCTGAAAAGACACTCGACTGTGTAGTTCAAAATGCTGAAGGTGCATACAAACGAAAAAGAACCATAACCGATAGAAGTATTTTCCCTCCAAAGATTCAGAAACGATTAGAGGCCGATCAAATATATTTTGATTATATTGCTAAAGGTTACAACGTTTTGTATCGTGCTGATACATTTGAATAAAAATGAATCACAATACTGATACCTTTGTTTCATCTCTTATTTAAAAAGTAAGCAATATCTTCGCCAAAAAGTTTACATAATTTAATGCAGACCATAACTATAAATATATCATTAAAAACCATTTAAATGCTAAGGAAAAATGAGTGGTCAGATATTGTTCGTTTACATTTGCTTTCGATTGTTTTTAATTATGACTGGTCGCATTTCCGAAAAGGTTTATTAGCTGGAGACAAGTATTTTAAACACAAGAATCAAGTTAGCAATCCTGAAGTTTATTAACACAAATGCCAAGTTATGTAACGGTAATATTTTCCCGACGTTGTGTCTTGATGAATTCGTACGACAAGATCAACATGTACATTAGATGGCTGAAATAGAGCAAAAGATCTCATTGAAAGGTAACAATGAGAGATCAATCGAGAGGTGTTGGTCAGCGGTTAATGCTTCACAAACATTATAGCTAATAGACAGACCAGGATGGATCCTTAAGTATGAAATATTATTCACTGGGGTTCTTAACCTCCTTTCGGAGAATCATGTGTATATTCTGAGCCAAAATTTTATAAATGACTTTGGGAAGTGATGGTGTCATACAAAGAATAGAAATGAAACAATTAAAAAAATAAACAATGTTTAAAGTAACCATCTAAAACACTCTCTAAAAGTTCTCTTTCCAACATGCTTGTTTAACATTTTTGGTCTACACTAAGCACACACATATTACCATGTCAAGTTCAATCAAATTACAGCCCAACAACAGAGGCAAGATACGGTCTGGCCGTAAATTATTGAAATATATCTCATTGTTATCTCTTTCAATACACGATCATCAAATTAAATAGCTGTCATTCTATTCTTGGTGTTTTTCATTTGAAGTTGGTTGTATTTCATTGTTCAGAACAGTAATTGTTTTGAAGTCATTTAGGGCTATTGATCAATCGTAAATTTTAATTGAATATATATTTCATTTGATTTTAAACCGTGCCCGGTATGTTACATTGCTTCTGTAGTTGAATAATCATTTTGGCTTTTTTCTTTCGAGACTTCACGTGACGTGAAAAGCAATGATAAACGGATGGTTAATCGGATATTATGTCTTCCATTGTTTGCGTGTGGATTTATAAGACGCAACAATACAATATCTGGTTTGTGTAGAATGGATATAAACCCAAAGTAATAAATCTGACAGGGGATAAACTATATATTTTGCCGAATGTGGAACAAATCTGTACGCCAGCGTGTCATAGAATGAGGAATATTATCAGAGGTTTCATTGCTGCCCTTCCCACAATAGCTCTGTTTGTAATGGTTGTGTCATTGGCAGGTCAGTCACTTATTAGCATATCCTAATCACTGGTTAACATAATTACATTGTTTACCAGGACATGCCAAACCTGGTGACAATGAAATTAACATTTGAGATTTTTTTAATTTCATCATTTTCAACAAGGTGGTCAACTTGTATCCAATTATTTACTAATGGTTACCTTAAATTACGGATCAGCCAACCACGAAAAAATAAATTATTCTGACTCCCGTTTATCAGAAAAAGCCGATTAAAATCCTTGACCAAAGTAATCAATTAATATGGAGTTGCCATAACAAAGTTCACTAAAATCATTAAACTGGTGTTTTCAGGTCTTCTAAACAAGCCGTATATAGTAAAAGCAAGACACGAACTCAATGAACAATCATCTCATAATTTCGAAGACATAAATGAAGAAGATTATGAAGAAATTTATAATGAAGACGAAGACGATGATATTGGTGAAATAAGCGAGCCACCAAGGAATTGTCTTCCACTGCACTTCTCGCCGGTGGCGTTACCACACATTGCTCTTGTGAGTGTACCAGGGAGTGGAAATACATGGGCCAGACATCTTATTCAACAAGCAACAGGTAAGACGTTTACACATTATAAGTATTGACGAATACGACAGATATCTTCTTTTGAATTCTTCAAAATATTTGCAACTTGGAAAAACATCAACGGCAAACCATCGTTTCTTTTCAGTGGAAATACACCTCTACGTCATATCGTTAACATAATATGCATATTCATCCATACTTTGATAGTGTGATATTGATAAAAAATCATGTCAAAATAAAAGGACACTTTGTCACTAGTGGGGAAATGTAATAGTTTTAGGAAATGTTCACTGAACTATCGCATAACGGCTTTTAAACAATCACATACGGTACTCGAATATCGAAGAGATTTTGTTCGACTTGAAACTAAAACTTGAAATGTAACTACGTATTTGAAAGCGGACATAAAACGCCAAAATGCGATTTGCCAACAGCGTATGATGATGGCATGAGAATATATTGTAATGAAATAAACCTATTGTTTAATAAAAAGACTAATTAACTGAATATTGAATTATAGGTATTTATACTGGGAGCATGTACAAAGAGACAAACATAGACAAGACTATATTTCCAAACCGTCCGTTCAATAACTCTGTGATAGTAATGAAGCGCCACACAAGGTGGTCAGTAGGAACCCCTATCGTTAAATCCATTTTGCTAGTAAGGAACCCAATGGACGCCTTTGTTGCAGCTTACAATAGAATAAAATCAAACAAGACGGGACACGCACCTAAAAGTCTGTTCCATTCCGAAGGTTTGTTGTTATATGTAAAGTGCATGGTCTTCATTTGTATTTTATTAAGTGCCCATTTGCATTAATTTCTTAAGTAACACAATCTGGAATTACCTAGATATTATGCAAAGGAGTGTCAATACTAAACCGTTTAGAACTCATACTAAACAAACCTGTGACATGGTACGCTTGTTGGTGCGATGCTTCTCTTGCTGTTAACATTATATTGGTATTGCAGACTGGCGTACATTTGTCACTGACAGAGGATCGAAGTGGCTCTTACACGGAGTTAATTGGCTGGCATTTCCATATGGACCTGTACACGTTGTAAAATTCGAAAATTTGCAGTCAAATCTAAAGGTAAAAACGAAAACGTGATATTAATAGGTTAAAGACTAATAAAACGATTAGTTCAAATTTTTAAAAATTACTCTTCAACTTTCATACATTTAATGCGATAGAACATCTATCATGTATTGTGTGATCCTGATTAATACAAACCTTGCATTTTCTTGAACCACCAGGGTTCTCATTGCCAAGTTATGCACGATCAGATTTCCCCGTGTGTAATGAATATCTTGCATTTTATTGCGTTTATCTGGATCATGGATTTATCCGCTATTATCCAATATAGGATTTTCTTTGATTTGGACACCTTTCACGCGGTGTTTTATGTTTTGCTTTGCACTTCGCATTTTTAATAGATATTTCTCACTTAAGAGGTACATTGCATGTGTGCTTTATTGTATACTATCTCATTTATCTTTGCTTTCCAGGAAGAGTTGAGGAAGATTTGTATTTTCCTTGATCATCCAGCTTCGGAGGAGACACTGAATTGTGCAGTTCGAAATGCAGAAGGTGCATACAAAAGAAACAGAACAGAGACCGACAGAAGTATCTTCCCTGAAAGACTTTTAAAGAAACTTGAATCTGACATTTTGTTTTTCGATTATATTACAGAAGGATACGAAAAACTAAATCGTGAAAAGTATCATATTGACAATCCCAAACGGGTTGATTATAAAGAGATACACATGAAAAGAAATTCTTGAATTCATGAAACGAAAATCACTCACACACAATATAGTATAGTTTAGGACTGTATTTATCATGCCCCTGGTGCTAGTGAAATGCGTAATATTTTTAAGTATCACAAAAAGAACAATAAGCAAAGCAGTGCAACTTACATGCTCATGTGTTTTCGAAATAAAAAAATGTATCCAAGCGCACCTACACTCACGTAATTCTTTTGAAAGATACCAAAGTTTATTGTAGTGGACCTCCTGCGGTGCACTAGCAACGAGCAGACGTGGTTGACACACGCGAGCAGCCGACAGGGTTGCCACAGCGCAATTGGCGGTGAAAGTGCGCTTGGATGAACTGCTTTTGTTTAAAACGCCTGAGCATATAATTTGCAACGCAATGGCTCATTGTTCTTTTTCATGCTATCTAGGGGGAAACTAATTAAATATTATGCAATATACTTGCACCATGGGCAGTTCAAAAACGCAGTCTAGCACACTGCTTTTGTAAAATACAATGACATTAAAACTGTATGACATGCAGTCTTAAAATATTTTCATTTCCAAGAAACTTATTAGAGTACGTGGTATCAGTAAATAAGACATGTCTTTAAATGAAAGCTTAAATTTCTGAAAATGTTCTCTAATGATCGTTCTGCTCAGACATAACAAGGGTTTTGGTTGATCAATCAACTGAAACAACATATTATGTAAAACCTTATTAGAACAATCGACCATAGCAAGACTCTCTCGACTGACATTCACATATTGTAATGCAAGAAACATCGACGCTTTAGTATTATTTGTTTCTAAGGCAACATCTAAAATCGACCTGCCATCTATCGTTTTGCTATTAACATCAGCGCCATGAGATAACAAAGATATCAACACTTTAACATCTTGATAAAATTTAGCGACACATAAATGAGCTGGCCCAAGACCGTTTTGATTCAATAAAGACATGTCAGGGTCATTGTCTAAAAGAAGTTCGACAAGGGTTGAGTGTTCTCCAAGTATTGCACAATGCAATGGTGTGTTACCATCTGCATTCTGAGCATTAATGTCACAACCCAAATTAATCAAAGTTTGAACAAGATTATCTGGATCTTTACAATAGCTAAGAAGATGAAGAGGATTATTCCTATTGTTGTCTGTACTTGTTACATCTATACCCGTCTCTGATACCTCGCTTATTAGAAACTGCACAATGTCAACATTTCCGGAAGTAATAGCGTAACTGAGCGCAGTTTCGCCACTTTCATCCTGATCGTTCAGATCAACGCCGTACTCAACCAACAATTTCACCATTTCTAGATTGCTTTGCACTATTGCAACATGTATCAGAGTGGAATTTCGGTTCCGATTGGTGCTCCACGCGGAGATATTCGTAGAGATACTTCGCGTGTCACTGAGCTTGTCTGGAAGGTGGTGTAAATCTGCACCACCATCAAGAAGTGCCCGGGCTACTTCGATATGTCCACCGAGACATGCTTTATACAAGGGTGTCTGATTTATGGTGTTTGTTATATTTGCACTCGCCCCAGAACGTAGAAAGAACTTTGTCAGTTGAACATGATTTAGTCGAACGGCAATATGGAGCGCTGTTTCGTTACCAAGTTGAGTCTGTAAGTCAAGGTCACAGGAAGTGACGCATGTCCTTCCAGATCTTACCATTTGATTACAAGCATGCGACGCATTATCATGATCTCGGAGGCTAAGATCACTCAATTGAGCCTCAAACGCTATCTTTCCCGTGGATGCCAAAACCATGTTCTTAATTGCGGCCACGTTCCCCAAGTCAGTTGCTAGATGCAAAGGAGCTTTGTCGTTCATGTTGAATATGTTCAAATTGCAGCCCTGCTTCAGCAGCATTCGTAAAATTTTAATATAGTTGTAGGTGACAGCCAGGTGAACGGGAGTGTTGCCATATCCATCACATTGGTTAACATCACAGCCTTGACGAAAATAAAAACATTAAAGAACCATGGTTTACATGCTCAACCTAAAGTAACACCTGTCTATGATTGTACCCCATTGTTTTTAAAGAACAGAACAAGAAAATCATATAGCACTCAAAATGTTTTCATTATTCGTCAACTTACCTGACCTAACCAGCAACTTAACTGCGTTGAAGTTGCCCAATTTTATAGCTAGGCACAGAGGTGCCATTTTCGTATTCGGATCAACTACATTGACTCTGCAGCCTCCCTTCACCAAGACTGCCATCATGTCCATATGTCCCTTCTTCAGGGCTAGACATAGAGGAGGTACCCCATCTTGGCCTGGAGTATTTATGTCGCAGTCCTTTTGTATCAGATACTGAGCGACCTGGATCTGGTTTGATACGACAGCGGTTATCAACGCAGTACCCTTGCCCTCAAGTACAAAGTTGATGTCTGCCCCAAAGTTAATATAATCGTCTACCTTTTCTATCTGTCCTTCAATGATGTAATCGTGCAGTTGTTTGTAGATGCTAATATCTGGTAGCATTTTGAAACCAGTATCACGTTTGGTCATGGATTTAGTCTTAAAAAACTCCATCTTGACACTGTAGACTCTCTCCTCGCTGTACTCGGAGACTCTTAGTATAGTCCACCCAGACGTTTGATGTAAAAATTTCTTTGAAAACACTTAAATTATCATAAATTCTACGTAAACTTGTAGGCTACGTCATTAATATATTTTCACCCGAAACCAAAACATTTCTTTGATGATTTACATTGTGGATACCGGATATCAACATGTATAAGTTGTAATACTTGAAGATCAATCAAACTTTTTCAACCACCTGGTGGTAGCAGAGCTTGATCGATATGGACGACCAATTAGAGAATACAAACTAGCGTTATTTCAAAAGAGCCTCTAATTAAAGAAAAAGTGAAGCAAGGTCATATTGCATTATTCTCGGAAAATAATAGCATAAGCGAATACTACTTTAAAACATCCTCCATTTCTTTGAGTTACATGATGAGTTATTTGTTTTGTGGTCTTTATTACTAATTTTTTTCAACACATGCAAGAGTGGAATAAATAGAGGTTATTTAATGGGAGGGATGGAATATGGATTTTATTCCGAGGGAAAATATGATATTGGCCAAGGAAAAATATCATATTGACCGAGGGCGATAGCCCGAGTGTCAATATGATATTTTCTGAGGCCAATATCATATTTTCTCAAGGAATAAATCCATATTCCATCACGACCATCAATAACCTATTTATTTCATAATATATTTTTTTCAATTTTTGTATGTCATCATCCAATGATTGTGACATAAAATTATACAATTTATCATATAACATTTTCAACTTTTATTATCAAGTTTTACTTAAAAATATAAATAATTTATAACAATAAAATGGCTCATAATATGGCAAAATAAACACAATATCATGAAACGTCTTAATGACCTTTGTCACAGTAATAGACGTAAACTAGATTATAATAATTTCAATAATTTCAATTTTCCAAACGATTTTTTTACTTCCTGTAGAGATGTGCTAGACGAAAAGCGTAAAACTCAAGAGAAATTACCGGGAATATTTCTGATACGGGATCTGATACGGGATTTTTGCTGATACGGGATCCAATACGGGATCTGATACGGGATTTTGGCTGATACGGGATCTGATACGGGATTTTTCAAATAACACTTTTATTCCCTGTTATTTTCCCAGGGAAAACATGTTATTATGGAATAATACGTATTATTACCACCTTGCCGGGCCAGTTCTTGGGGTTTTAGTGCTAGTTTAGAAGGCATTCGTTCTACTATATCGACCTGAGCAATATGTGACGTCATAGCGGCGGTCAATATTGCTGGTCAAGATTGCAATTAATGACCGGCAATTTTCCCCGGAAATTTGAGTGCGTAAGATTTTCTTGCTGTTCCAGTCCTAGTCATTAACGGTGGTAATGATACCAATAACGTCATTTTTGCGGGCAATGTAGTGAAATATCGGATCTTGGGCCTTTCACTATATTGCCCTTCGAAATGACGTTATTGTACTATTAACCATAAACTATATAAACAGAACTGTTTTTGTCAAAATCCTCATTAGAGCTGATTTAAAGAAAAAAATGAAATATTCTTCATATGATAACCAGCTACGTTGTCATCAAAATAGCTCACATTAGAAGTCGTTGATATCGAAGACACATTACATTTCGCAGGCTTAATTATAATTCTAGAAACAGAATTTGAATATATCAGGTATCGTAAATACACTTGAAATTGGAAATAAGCGAATCGCATTTTGCTCAAAAACTACTTAGTATTTTTGATATACATGCACAATATAGAATATAACTTAAAATAATAAATCAAATTCCATTTCTATCACATGCCTTGGTTACGTACGTTATTGTACAAAATACGATACATCCTAAAGGACAAGCTATGGCACGTAATCGTCATCTGTTCTCTTACAACGTGACTTCAACTAATGTACACCTGCAAGCGAATCGTGTTGCAGCCAACAGCCAACCTATCACAAGTGATAAAATACTCAAGATTCAAGAAGTATTATAAATGAATCCCTCCTATTATGACAGGTATTGTTTGGCTGTCAAAATCTTAATAGCTTCCTAACAGAAAATACCGTATGCAATACTATATATAATGTTAATTCAGAATTCTTAGTACGCGAAACAAAGTGAATGGAACTATAAAATATACTTCGAAGATGATTTAATTAACACCAAAGCTGCTATGATGAATCGATGCTCCGGTTAAATCAATTTACCATTCATTGACATGATTATAAACCAAACAACTCATAAAGAAGTAGACAAAGTATCATACAAACTGAAATTTGCAATTTATTATAATGATAATGAAAATATTTATATTATATGATAAAAATGACCTTACATAGTTCGTATTCCTGAGTTGCGTCATCGTATTTAACAATGATCAAATTATCAAATGTACCTCGATACAACTTTCACTATCAGACATGTTTGCATGATATATTGATAATATTTGACAATACAATAATATGACAGGTTTGTTTGAAATACATAAAGTATATACATAATATATATGATTTGTTAAACTTTAAAGCTATGTATTTCAATATATTCCTTAGGAATTGAAACAAAGAAAATTATATAACACAAAAAGAAGAAATGTCTAAAAGGTTAGATGTTAATTCCCTTCATGTGGAGGCAGTGTGATTTGAAATTCATTTAACAATCTTTCATTTTCAAACTTGCACCAGTACATACATCGTTTATGTTTGCTGTGTGTTTTCAACAAAAATAGCTTATCCAAGCGCACCTACACTCACATAATTATTTTGAAAGATACCACGGTATATTGCAGTGGAACTCTTGTGGTGCACTAGCTACGAGCAGACGCGGTTGACACACGCGAGCAGCCGACAAGGTTGCCACAGCGTAATTAGCTGTTTGAGTGCGCTTGGATGAACTGCTTTAATTTGTTGAACACGTGTGAGCATGTAATTTCCAATGCATGGACTCATTGTTCTTTTTCGTGATACCCAGGGGGAATATTTTGCAATGCACTATCCCGCGGGGAGTTCAAAAATGCAGTCCAAGTCTCATACCTTGCAAATAGGATTTCCCGCTTTAAATCTTGCGAAGGAAATTAAAGCCGCTTTTTGTTTTTCAAATAAAATTAGAAATGAAACGTCATTTAAGATTAAATAGTAATACCAATAGAGATACGTTTAGCTGTAAAGCAAACTATTGAATCGAGCAAAGTGAACTCAGTACAGCTAAGGCTACGATTCCGTGAATGCATGCGGTTTTATAAATGTTAGACATCTTTAGTTGCATCACTGTTAGCAAATCCTCTACTTCCCTTTCGATGCTTTCTTGGAAAGTTTAAAGCATGCGCAACCAGATGGGACCTCGTGATAATTCCAGCTTACTCCACCGTTGCAAAAAACAGGTAACCAGTTTTTAACGTATTGCTGTACACAGTAAGAATGGCTATTCTTGTTGCAACCTTTACACCTTAACATCGGTGCCCTGAAATATCAGTACAATTTTAGTACAGTCTCATATCGAAGTAAAAAAGTAACAGTCAATACGCTTCTACCTACTGAAAGTCCATACCCATGATAGATACAAACACACTTAATACGTCACAGAAAGGTGTGTTATTGATCAATGTTTTTGATAACACCATGATGCATGAACGATTGTTAATTTACAGAATCAACCTTCATAAATTGAAAAAGTCTTAGTAAGCAAAATGTTTAGATACAAATGAATGGAGATATTAAGCTTGCATATAATATCAAAACGCCAACCTGTACGTATGAAATCGCCCTATGCAAATATATGCATTTTTTACATAAATAATCGTTCGGTTACAGTGTTTTCTTAGTCCGTTACTTAGACAACACCGCAGCGTGTAATATACCATTAAAAGTTATATTGCTGGTTTTCTATGATACATATTTTAAAGAAGCTCGTTTCGTAAGATATTAGGAGCTAACGTATGTAGGTCAAACATCATCTTCTTCAGAAATAATTCTACTGTGTATGAAATCAAAATTACCAGCATAGTATTCAATAGATTCCCGTTGACACCAACGTGAAATTGCACATTTCCCATTTAAACACGAAACAAGCTGATCGGTATTTGAAGTAGACTAATAAACGCTTGTTTTGTATGCGCGCTATATACATTACCGTAGCGATTCATGGACTTTGCGTTCGCGGTTACGTTGTGAAAAGTCTCCAATATTAAACCATGACTAAGTAGTAAGTAACACAACTATAAAAGAAAAACATACGAGAAGTGGAGCCACGATTCCCCGTCAAACAAGCAGAGTGTATTCAACATGAAAAGATAGCGCAACAGCGTTTACTGTTAAACACACATCGACTGTTTCAAACACGAACATGACATCGCAAACACACTGTGAATTACTTGCGAGATAGACGTCCTTGGTTGTACAGCGCCGTGTATTACGATTCAGACAACGTGACTTACATGCATCCGATCTGTTGGACTGTTTACTTTAAAAAATTACAGCGTCGTGTATTACGATTTAGACAACGTGACTTACATGCATCCAATCTGTTGGACTGTGTACAACGCCGTGTATTACGATTTAGACAACGTGACGTACTTGATCCTAATCTGTTTGACTGTGTACATCGCCATGTATCACGGTCTAGACAACGTGACTTACTTGCATCCGAACTGTTGGACTATGTACAGCGCCGTGTATTACGATTTAGACAACGTGACTAACTTGAACCTGATCTATTGGACTGCATACAGCGCCGTTTATTACGATTTAGACAGCGTGACTTACTTGAGCCTGATCTGTTGGACTGTGTACAGCGCCGTGAAATACGATTTAGACAACGTGACTTACTTGCATCTGATCTGTTGGACTGTGTATAGCGCCGTGCATTGTTCAGAATTATTCACATTTGGATTATAAGCCGATACCTCAGTGGCGCAGGACTCCTCTCCGTCAGTTTTCAGATTCTCCAAAAGCTCATTAAACTCGCCTACCCTAAAACCAAGACAATAAAAGTATGGCCATACCGTAAAATTGAAACATGTCCTATTTTATATATCTGAAGGACATTTCCCGGTTAAATCATTTGTTGATGCAATATCTAACCCTTATTAAATTATATATAACTCCCTCTAAAAATACTAATTTTGAGATAGAGCGCTCTTAATCAAAATTACCAGTTACCAGTTACCTACTATTCAATGTAACTTACTGTTGTGGCATGTTCCAAGGCTCATGCATTAATTAATCATTTTCTGACTCCAGTCGTTTGATATTATAATACTGTTCTGTTGACTAAATCAATAATTATAAACTGACATTGTTCGTTTCTGTGATGTGCCCCACGCAAGGGCGAACGTTTTACCCAGAACGTGCCTCTCGCAAATTCGATGTATTTGGAGCTCGACTATTTACCGTAATCAGTTCTACCAACCAATAAAATATCTTCTAAGGGGCACACAACTTATTGATCCTTCCGCAGATAAGATGGCATTTTAAAAACAAGAATATAGTCCAATTATTGTAATTATATTAGCATCACCAGTGGTTGGATTTTGTTAAGTACATTAATGAAAAAGTGTATGAACATGTGGGACCAACTCAAAAACATGATTTGATGTGATTGAGGTGCATTTTCTTTAAGAAATTTGACCTTTTTGACCTGTCTACATTTGTTAAAATCAGAGTGACATTTTCTATAGATGTTGTATTTGACAGGTGAGATCTTTTGATTTCCGTGTGGAATTTTGGTTCAAACTTTTTTTGACTGACAGAGCACATCCTGGGGTATGGCAAGATAGCAAAACATGACCACACATCTTAGTTTTCTCTGAAAGACGAATCATTTAGATGGGAATACGCATGTTATATCATTTGGTTGTGTTAGCCCTAGTATTGTAAGGACCATGAGAAGCCCCGGATATCGCATCATTTCATTTCGTTTGGTACAAATACGAAGCCCCGGGTATTAAATAAACTCGTGCCCTATTGGGCCAATAGACTTTTAAATAATTAAGTTTTTTCCTCCCCGAGCAATACCAATTATTTATGCGTTAAGGTTACCGTTTAAATAACAAATTAAAGGTGAAATAGCGGTAAATCGGGAATAGTTTTCAAAAAAATCCAAAAAGTAATGCCAGCAGACAGTGACTAGAAAGAGGTGTTCATTTATCCGAATATGTAAAATCCCTTTCGTGGTACATAACGCAGATCAAAATAGTCCATATGGGCCAAGGATAATGTTGGTGAAAAACTTACGGTGGCCCCTGTATGTCGTCTGATAGTCCGTCACGTAGATGGAATATGGGAGGCGGTCCTGCAACGTTTCCACATTTGCAAAGACTTGTCAACTGGACGAAAATAAGGAAAACAACCTGCATTCAAAAGATCAAGCATTATACACAATTCTAATGGCAGGAATCATGAAACAGTATTTAGAAAACATCAAACCAAAATACAAGTTAATAAAAGACCCAATTCATGATTTAACGAAAAAACAAAAATGTCTAAAAAACGCCGAAGAAGAATATTTAAATAATCATTGCAAAAAGAAAGAATATAGTTAGTCACAAGGAAACAAGTCTAGAACATTATGAACGATTAAAAAATATACAAAGATATAGTTTCGCCTATATACTCATATAGAATCGAGAGGAAATGATGTAAGACTCACCAAATATATCATCATATCACGTAAAAATGTGCAGTTTTATTACTGTAATTAATGATCCAAGCGTTTCTCTTGTATGTGTGCGTATATGTAAGGTACGAACGTTTGAATCGCCCTACTGATCATAAATCTAACATGTTTTAGAATTCCTTACAGCTTCCACACTTCATTTTACATTGATAATTCACCTAGTTACCTATGTTCAAATATACTATAACACGTATTTAACCTCTTCGATTTCTTTTATAGTCTAGATTAAATTATTTTCTTAATCTTAATGAAATTACTTAAAATAGAAAAATAAAACTCCATAAAATCTTAAGATTTCTTGGTCTTAAACTGTTTACTTGTATAAGTTATGATTTTCTAGCAAAACATAGCATTTTATTTCAGAACACGACTGTCAAAACATCACTAAAAAGACATCATATTAACATATCTCCTGATTGAAACTTCAAGTTCTATCAAATAGCCATTCCGATTGCTTTGGAATGGAAATTAGAACTACCATGCAAGACTTTGATCGGAAGATATTATGTTGTAGAAATTATATTCACATTCTATACTTTGTTCATGCAAGGTAACACTTTGCTATTTTTACATATATGCAACCGTGTCTTATGTCAACATAAGAATACACTTAAGTAGAATGACAGAGAACATTTCTCAGAGGTTGGTTATTCATTTTGCCAATAAATATCAAATTTATTTTTTAATGTTATTATACATTTAGTACACTAAGTGTAGGATAATATATTTGTTAAAACTCTTTTGAAATACATATCGCAAATATTTACAATACTACATTGGGCAATGGAAACTAGAAAAACACTCAGACTTTTATACCGAAAGTAAATCTGTTGTCTCCTTCGCCCATGGTAAATTCAATTCCAATGAATGATAAAGCCCATGACATGATTATGAAAAATTTGTATCCTATTATCGCGCAGCAATATTTGAACCGAATTGACCCGTGAATGTTGATATTTGATATCTGCTAGGCAATAAAATAATATTTCTGGAAATGATCTGCTGTTGGGTTTATCACACGAATAGAATAAAAAAATTCCCGAAATTTATATTCATTTATTGTACGGATATGCTGCTGATAGATGGGTTCCTGAATTCGAAAAATATCACATGGATCTCCAAAATATCAGAAACATCATAGACTAGGTGTTTATTGTATATTGATACAGTAACACAATAACAAGGCGATGAATGATAACTTAGACTTATCTCACAAGCCTGACTCCAAGTTTAAAGAAATTGACCAAGTGAGACAATGAGGATTGGCTCCCAGGAACGCCCCTCGATATTTTCCAACAGTGAAAATGTCAGAATGTCGTTATTTTCTAAAATTCTAACTGACTATTACTTCTTTTGTGTTTTGGAATTTTTTGTTTGGAAATATTAAAACCAAAGCTAGCGATTTAAATTCGGGAGTGAAGAATGTGGTGGATGTTTGAATTCTAATTTTATATATGGCAGAATATCGAGATTGCATCCTCCTCGAAGTGGGGTTTGTTACAAATAAAAATTATTTACTATGTTATTAAACCTCCCCTTTCAATTCCCGATTTATTTTTAGTGCGTATCCCATTTTTTCAATCAAAACCCCTATTTAATTATATACTCATCATATTTTCACTAAAAACTCCAAATTCCGTATTTATAGATTTTTTTGTAAAACCTGATGCTTCTCCCAATTTATTTAGCCCGATTTTTTGGAATTGTCAATCTAGTTTTTGTAACCCCGATTTTTCGCCTGATTTCATAAGAATCCCAATTTTCTCTCGATTTTTCAGAATGAAGAAATGAGCCATATTTTTCCAATTTTTACAAAATTCTTTTTTTTCGATTTTTTCATTTTGTTTTACAACCCCAAGGGTATTTTTCCCCTGAATTTTCTAGAAGCCTCGGGGTATGCGATATTGTTACTGGCATCTTCTAAATCATAGATTAGGATGCATGATTGTTATTTATGTACTGGATCCTTAAAGACTCGACCATATTTACCCTTCTTTCAAAACATCAGTATTGTTAAATTCCCTTATATACGTTTGGCAAGTTGAAGTTTTTATTTGATAGCAAGTCAAATCCTGTAGATTTGTGATTGTATTTTTGTTCCCTGGTTACAATAATTTCGGAATTAAATTTGATGAATTCTTTAGAATTGATGTTTTGATGTTTTGATAAAGGATCCAAATTGGAACTTCTGGTAGTCAAACCTATGGAAGGAAGTCTTTACGTATAATTGCATGTATTAAACTTTTTAAAGAGAATTTTAAGACCGTGATGCAAAATTTTGTTAAGAGCATCTCATTTTCCAAATTGTCGTGTTCGTGTATTGTTAATCACTAGTAAATATAAATAAATATATGAAATATATAACGGGGAACAAAAGAATAATGTATTCTTTGGAAATGTATTTTCCCATTAAATAGTGCCATTATAATATAGGCTCGGGTCTAACATTGTCATCACTGACAAAATCCATCACACAAATCCTTTGGCCCGCAATTATTTTCCACTCTGTCGCTAGTGTATGTTACTTTGCAGCACACGAATCCTGCCTCGCCACAAAACTGATCACCTGGACACTCAGATTTTTCAACCACTTCGCTAAAAAAATGATAAATATGGATTTCATTTTATTGTATACATTTTTTATTTTGGAAGTACTAATTGATTGAAGTAATTTGAATAAATATGTATTTTGTATATGTGTACATCAGTTTATTTTTAAAAGAAAAAAATCTTTATACACGTCGCACGAAACTAGGGACAATTAGCGTAACATTATGGCGTCAAAATACCAAAACAAAACAATGAGCAATATAAGGTGCAAAAAGGCTTATAACGTCAAAAACGACAAGCATTACATTTTTCATGTTTAGTCAACCTAAAAATAAAATATTTTATCCAATGCCAAGTAGAGTTTTAGGGAGATAAGTTGGTAAGATATATCCCGTATCCTGATTTTGAGGTTTCCATATCCTGAACCTCCATATCTCCCGCTCCAGGGCATATCTTCCCGCTTCGAAAATAAAATTGAAAAAATAAAAAAAAATTGAAAAAAGGAAAAAAATAGAAAAAAATTATAAAAATGTGAAAAAAAGTTGAAAAAATAAAAAAATTGAAAAGTAATTTGAAAAAGAAAATTAGAAAACTCTACGGTCCCTCAAGTAGATATGCATATCTCCCTCTGGATAAACCCCATATCAAAAACCTCCCAGTATATAACCCTTATTTATACTGATTCAATCACAGGGATCTCGAAGACAGTATTTCTAAAATGTTTTTGAATTTAAAAAGCGGTCAGGCAATCTACTTGATGCGTTAGTAATAATTGATATGTATGGAATTTGTGGTGATTTATGCGTTACATTTTTCAAGTCTCGAAAATCAGCTCTTTTTTAAAAATTATTTGTAAAATCAACAAACCAGTTATTGTTTTGTTAACTTCGTCTGAAAAACATTGTGCAGTTAATTTCTTTCCAAATCAGACCTAATTTAAAATGTTAAATAAAGTAAAAAAATTTGCTCGTCCTATTCGGCTTCAAAACCTTACACGCTTTTGAAAATGTTAAAAGCGTCCATTTAAGAAAAATCTAACTGTATCCGTTACGCAATTGTGACGTCATTAATGTGCATGTTCCATTGAATAAAATGTTAAATTTTAGTGGGATTCTGATCGTTATTTCAAGAGTTACCCCAATTTCAACGAACCGTGCAAGGGTAAAGAGTTACGTCTTACAGCTTATTTGACGATGTCGGGGTATGTTTAACTTTAAAAATATGGTAGATCACATCAAACTTTTCAAGAAAAAATAATTTAGTTTAAATGCGAATAAAGAATACTTCAAAATGATATATAAAACACATAGTTAGCTTTTTTATAAGGTAAAGATTGACGCTTAAAACTGACATTAGCCCGCTTTTTCTGAAATTTTCCCGAATTGTCCCCATGTCCATGCACGTAATATTAAGAGTTTATAAATATAGCAAGAATTGAAGTGAAACCTATCATTGTGCATATCCAGTGAATTAAAATAACAGCAAAGAATAGAATGGAATAGAATTGAAATCTTCAAAAGGAGTGCCAACATTTTACCGGCATCTACATTTTTAATATCTGATAAAATATGGACGATATGGACGATATTGAAAAGTTAAGCTGCAGAAATCCACATATTGAAAAATGTAACATCCAGTGATCAAAGCAGTATCAAAATATTAAGACTAAACTGCTGTTCTTGTTAGAAAGTAGGCACGGTAAAATGTGAGGTGTTTTTATGCATATTACCTCTTATCGCAAATGGCATTTGCATCATTTACAGCAATGATTGCAGCCACTACACAGACAACAAGCATCAGCTTACAATACCTCATGGTTAAGCTGAAACGTATCATATTTTGTTAATGAAAACACAGAATGAAATCCTGTGCTAAGAGGATTTCATTCTGTATAATTTATAATATAATAATACACTCCCCTCCATAAGTTTGGCAACCTTTTTCCCCCATTGAACTACGTGTTAGAGCCTCTTTACGTTTGAATTTTTATTTACTTAACCAGCGATGAAATAACTTATATTATTATATCACTATCTAGCTAGCGACAGTATGATTGGTCAAAACCGGGTCACATGTCGTGAGATATCTGGCGATATTCAATGGCAATGCTAATCAGATAAGACAACCGTGAGATATCTAGCGATATCCCACGCTCCCGGGAATTTTCAAAGAATTTGTTTTCGTTCAGTGTAAATAATTTAGTTCAGTGTAAGTCAAAATGGCAGACGAACAGAGATTCGTAAAAATATCTGAAGACGAAAAGTTGATGTTATTAGAGAGTGTACATGCAGACAATACAAAAAGGTCGACTAAAAGATCTATTAAAGTGTTTCATGATTGGATGAAGGCATCTGATATTCATATGGACTTAGAAAACGTGCCAAAATCTGAACTCAATTCAAAATTGGAACAATTTTTTTGTGAAATTCGGACTCAAGATGGTGAACAGTACAAGGCAAACTCACTATCAAATATTCGTCATGGGATTAATAGGCATTTGCAGTCATTGCGCCAAGACATTGATATTATTCACGGACTTGAATTCAAAAGCAGTGGCAGAGTGTTTACAGCCATGATGAAAAAACTAAAAGCCATTGGCAAGGCAGATACAGTTCATCATGAACCTCTCAGTTCTTCAGATGTAAAAAGGGCTTATGATTATTTCAGACGAAATATTAACAATGCTGTGATATTACAGTATAAAGTATTCTTTGATATATTGTTATGGTTCGGACGCAGAGGCAGGGAAAATCTCGAAAACCTGACAAAAGATCATTTTGAGATAAAAACTGACACAGGTTAGTATCCTAATTTCTTTCTACTCTGGTTCATTAAATTCCATAAAAACATTACTTTTGCAACTATATTATATGCAGTTTGTTTTCTAATGAGGCAAGAAATCTTACTTTTGGCCTGTATTTTTCAGATGGGGCAAGATACATCTGTCAAATAAAAGTAGAGAGCACAAAAAACCACCAGGCTGACAGCGAAACAAGTAACCAAGGGAGAATGTACGAATCTATTGGCGATATAGGGGATCCTGTTCAAACATTTGAAAAATATGTATCGAAATTGAGTAAACTAAATAACTATTTATTCCAACGACCAAAAGATCCAAAAGACTACACATTGGACGATGATGTATGGTACTGTGACCGAAAAATTGGATTAAACACAATTAGTCAGTTCATGGTGAAGATAAGCGTCGCAGCTGATTTATCTGAGAGATATACCAATCATTCACTGAGGGCAACTTGTGTCACAGTATTGGATAAAGCAGAATTTGCGAGCAGGCATATTCAGACTGTGAGTGGCCATAAGAGCGAAACGTCGATAAAGCATTATGCAAGATTCACACCTGCGTCAACTAAACGCAAAATGTCTGAGGCAATATCAGCAGAACTGGGCATAAATGCAAAACAGCCTTGCTGTAGCTCCACTACACAAGATTCTAAAATACACAAAGTTGATCAATGTAATACTGAACAAAACGAACTCATGAATAATGAGATTGACTTTGAACCTCTAACTTCATCACAAGAAAAAGAAATCATGAATCTTGATTTCGACCTACAGCCTCCAACAGCGTCACAAGAGAAAGATTTATTCAATATTTGTGATCGTGAGTTACATTCACCTGCACCAGCTGTTACTAGTAATGACAAAAGTGTATCCAGTTCTTACAATACAGCTCAGAATGGATATTTGAGGAATATTGCAAATACCATGGTGCCATTCTCATTGTCCAACTGTAATGTAACCATAAACTACAATGTAAACATGAAATCTTAAAAGACAACCATTCAAAGTTTGACATTTATTGTACTTTATTTTTCAAATTTGAAATATATGTATTTCAATGTTAACCTATGACTTAATAATATTAGGGATGTTTAGCTAGACAGTGATATAATAAAACAAATATTTCACTCTATTTTCGGTGAATACCTGTAGCACTTTCACAAGGTGATATTCCACTTGCCCTTCGGGCTTCGTGGAATATCACTTGTGAAAGATGTACAGGTATTCACCTCAATAGAGTGAAATATTTGTTCAATATTGATGGAAACGTAACTTGACTTTATTTCCAATACTTCCAAATTTTCTCAATTTTTTTCCTCAATTACAATAGGTCGAAAATTGATGATAAATTTGATGAATTTTTGAAAATCGTCATTCCCAAGTAATCCAATGGGAAATGGAGGGCTCGGGGCAAATCAGAAATCAGTATATCTTTTCAGTAAAAGATTCAGCAAAAAAATATTTTTATATAGAAAATTGAATTGTCTTACTTTTTTGAACACTGTGTGTTTAGTTTATTTGATGAATATTAAAGTTACAGCGCTTCAAAGTCATTTTTGAAAATAATTTTTCGGCTCCTGTGTTATTTCAATGGGAGAGATTTCTTGAAAAACAATTTTGACTTTAAAGCCCTATAACTTTGTTGAACCTGAAGAAACATATCAATTTTTTGTTGAATAAAGTTACCAAATTCAATTACCTGCCTAACTCTTATTTTTTGCAAGGACTCGGATGGATGGATATTCTGTCATATGACTTGCGGCAAACCTACCATTTCCCATTGGTTAACATGGGAATGTCGATTTTCAAAAATTCATCAAATTTATCATCAATTTTCGACCTATTGTAATTGAGGAAAAAAATTGTGAAAATTTGGAGGTATTGGAATTAAAGTCAAATTACGTTTCCATCAATAGTATAAGTATTTTCATCGCAGGTTAAGTAAATAAAAATTCAAAGGTAAAGAGGCTTTAACACATAGTTCAATGGGGGAAAAAAGGTTGCCAAACTTATGGAGGGGAGTGTATAATATAATTTGCATCATTTACAGAAATGATTGCAGCCACTACACAGACAACAAGCATCAGCTTACAATACATCATGGTTCAGCTGAAACGTATCATACATAGCACAATGCAACCAGATGATAAGTTGTGCATATGTTGTATTTTAGCATCTAGTAGTACGTTATACTTACACGTACAGGGGTTATTTACTGAGAGGGATGTCTAATAGGACCCAATTTTCTTGAATATACACGTGTCAATTTTGCCGCTACTTTTTCAAAAAATCTTTCCGTTGAAGCTTTGGGGAACATGTTGATTACTATACACAGTTTGTACTATTAAATAGAATTGTGTTGACAAGGTGTAATTACTAAAATTGCTTGTTACCGAATACCCAAAATAATATATAAAAGTAGGGAAGAAGGTGAGCGATTGCATAACCCACAAAGCTATTCGAGGGGAAAATCATTTTTCCACATTCTAATAAAATCAATAGAAAAACCAACAAACTGCAAATTGAACGAATTATTTCAAAACGGGGTTCCGAGATCGAACTTGTAATTCAGGGGGAAAGGGGTCATATCAAACTTTGACTTATTAATACATTAACATCGAACGCTGCATTTATAAACTTTACCGCCAACAATCAACATTAGGACGAACTATGCTCAGTAAAATGTTGGTGAATTTTACAATTATTCCAATTTTGGACCACACTGTATAGTAGTTTTGATCATTTACGAATTTTTCTATATCAATACCACTATTGGATATTGACAATACTCAGTTGATAATTTCCTAATTTCCCGCGTTATGCTTTTTTCTAAGGTTTACTAAATGACAGCAATAAAGGAAAGACATTAGCTTTAAGTAACTGACATACATGTTGACATAGCCTTGGAAATATTCCTTCCTTTTATTGGATGCCCATTTTAGCATTTAAAATGTTTCAGAAGTTATGTCAAAACTCAACTAATTTCTTATTTATGCGCTAGTCTGGAAAGTGAATTCATAAAAGGTTTAAGCTTCTGATAAGCGATGAAACCTCTTGTTTTTCAAAAAGAAAATTTAGTAAGCATTCAAAATTCAAAACTTTAGTATTCCTGAAAGGTATGAATGAAACTCTTACCTTTTTAGTATCGGTTCACGAGCGCCTAATCTAGCATATGCCTAGAATTCGGATGTCTCACTTTTAAATAACCTTTTCACTCTGATAAACATCAACATTATTAGTTATTTCAATAAACTATACGTAATTATTTAAAATATCTACAATTTAGAATTGCTAATTCTATTAAAGGATATGCAGGTACCGATATACTTTTTGTATCAAATTGCTGTTAGAAGTCAGAAAAAGATACAATCGTAACATACATCAATTCTATTTTCACCTCTAATAAGTCTGCAATTGTGATATCCCGAGTTTCGATTTTATAATACTTTTGAGCATATAGATAAACAAATGTACAACTGTTTATAAATGACATATTCCTTGGTGTTATGGTTTCGGATTATGATATTGGTACTTGAATGGTTGGAAGGGGAAATTAGACACTGCTTCTTCTTGTGATTTGGGATAATCGGGGTTTAATTTCTGACATCCCAATGCAATAAAAACCTAGCTACATACATGTACATGTGTTGCATACAAGTGGGCCATATAAATGTCCAAATTTATTTATTTTACAGGGCTTCCTAAGATGGTATACAGCCATACACATATACAGTCGAAGAATTGCAAACGTTCTCAAACCATTTTAAATTAATTACCGAACCTTTCTCTGTAAACTAAAAATTATGCATAAAACTTCATATTAGTTTTTAGTTTGACAATATTATTACTTGCAACCTAGTCCAACTTTACTATTGTACTATTGTATAAATTATATGTATATGAAATAAATGATTATTAAAAAATAATAAACGTTCCCTTTATGTTTTGGTTCTTATTGAATTAGCGAGGTTGTGCTAGGGAAAATGTTTTAAAAAAAGTTTAATCATTCAAATATTACTTTCATGATTTGAAAACTCATTTGAGATTTAAAAAACAAATTAACGTAGAACATCTTATAATTATCGAACATTTGAATAACCCGCCATTTTGATATCAAAAGCTAGATATCTAATTTAGCAAATACAACATTTAACACTGTAAAATAAATCATTTTCTCTACTCCATTGAATAGATAAAACAGAATTATATTTCACCCATTCAATCGATGATTTAATTGTTTATATAAAGGTTTACGTGTGATGTCATTCTGGTGCTTTTTCATGTATTATGTTTTGTTGTATCTATACTGCTCTTTGGTCCTTACGACAAACTAATTGTTGTTTACACTGTCATGAAATTTAGAGAGTCCAAAATGTTATGTAGCTCGACTTCCTTGCGCAACGTCAGACGCTGTGAAATGTGAATATCCATCTCTTTGGGATAATCGGGGTTTAAATTCTGACATCCCAATGCAATAAAAACCTAGCTACATACATGTACATGTGTTGCATTTGACCCTTTGAAATGCCTATGGACTTGGAGACTGGATTTTATCTATCCCACATCATTTAAGACTGAATGCTCTATCTTGTATGAGTACGTTATATCTACAACAATTTTTTGAGGTTATGAGTATTGGCTATCAATTGGCTATCAATTTCTAATTTTTTCTTCAACATGTATTGTAATGACTTCAGTATGAATGAAATGGCCCTTGGTCTTCTGGTCTTGGATTGTGATATTGATTCTTGAATGGTGGGGGAAAGGGGGTATTAGACATTGTTTCTTTTCACGTTAGATCATGGTTTTGGGCTATATGGGGTTTGTTTTTCTTGACTGGTATGCACTTAGAGTTTGCTTTTTCTTGCTAAGTTCCATTACAACTTTTAGTCCTTTCCTTTTGGCACTAGTGCTTATATATCTTCATTGTCCATAGAATCAAAATTCGTTTAAGAGAATGAGCAATTGAAAAAGCCTACGTGCAACGGAGATGGAGGTATTTTTCATGATAGCATACATATTTGAATTTTAGTAAAATTACCCTCTACTTTCCTGGAATAAAATTAACTTTTATTGGCTACGATAAGAACAGTTTTAGTATGCATTTTGCAAATTCTATTCTAAACGTTGAATACGATGTGCAATTACGTATATCTTTATGTATTTTATGTGAATAACACACGTATAACCACACGTATGCATTTCGTTAATGTTAAAAGTGGTTTTAATGATCCTGCTTTACAAAACTTGGATGTGTGTATTGTATTGTATTGTATTGTGCTGTGTTGTATTGTATTGTGCTGTATTGTATTTTATGTATTGTATTGTATTGTATTGTATTGTATTGTATTGTATCTTGGTTAATATCATATTTGGCGAGTAATACCCCATTGGTATATTCCGTATTTTACATATTTACACACTCAAACACAGATCCAGAAACCCTTCCTTGGAAGAGCCCTATGTTCTTTTATTTGCACCGGTATACAGACATACAGATATACACCACAGCCTTTTATACGAGCTGTTGACCACTCAATGAAACACCGAGAATTACACAGCGCATAAACAAACCTTTCTGTATGGAATTTTTTCTGCATCTTTATTCGATTTTCACTCTTTTGTATTTGATTACAACCATTCGATATTCCACTCTATTAAAATGATTCGAAACACGTAATAAATTTGTTTGTTTTTACACATTTACATTTGATTTATGTCCCTATATATGCGGTAAATGCACTTGTATATGCGGTTTATGTTATTCAGTGTTTGGTAAAATATCACATATTTGAGTCCATGTACACACACGAACAAAGACGGTTGACACATATATTTAGAACACGCATCAAATACAAATACAATTTAGAACCAAACAATGTTCATTTACCGAACAATCATAAAGTACAAAATAGCACGAACATATAGTGACTTACCCACATAATTAATGACATGTACTTTCGCATAAAATTATGTTGGGTAAGTCACGTGACTTACCCCACATAAATGACACTTGCTGCATGTAGCATAAAACCATTCGGTAAATCACGTGATCAGTGACGTAGAAATTATTTCAAAATGGATGAAACAAGCGAAGAAAAAGAATTTAAATACGATTCATATTCACAATTCAGAGAGGAAATTGAGAAGTTATTAGATCATTACAACAGGCATAAGGCTACAAGCGATCCTTTTTTAATAGAAGATACGTTTTCGCGATTGGAGAATCACACCAGAGCTCTTTGAATATATAGATGGCGCAAGTCACATTGTCGAAGTCACGTGACTTACCCCACATCAAAACAGTGAACATTGGTTTATATAAAAGCATTCGGTAAGTCACGTGACTTACCCCACAAATGAATATGTTTACCCAATACGAATGGTACTTGGCATCGCACATATTTAAAATACTTATCAAATTTATATTTGATCGGGTCGAATACAGTTTGGAAGCATTTTACATATTTGTTGTGTAAGACAGTCAATTATATGTGGAATAGTAGGTACCATTTGTTGTAACTGGTTTTGTTTATGTTCGGTTTAACTTACTCCGTGTGGTAAAAACCGAAGATATTAATGTTACGAATATTGATGCAATAAATACACTATATTTCTGAACCTGATGAGCTGTTTTGCTCTGTTTTAACAACGCAACTTTCGTTTATTTACCGATGTTTTGTTTGGATTTGACTTTGGATTTGCTATCTTAAATTGGGTGCATTTTATATAATCATATGGCAAAATTAGATTGTGTATTTTTATCAAAGTTCTTGTAAATTCAAAGTATAAATTCAGATATTGACAGGCATGGTATGGTATTAATGAAAACTGGTCGTCATAGTAAGTGTTAAAGGAACATTTTACGGGCACTCGGTATAACTTAGTACTAGCCGATTGAGTTGGAAATGGAGGATAATTCTAGCAGTTATTGAATTTGAGTGCTAGCTCACGTACTGGCTTATGTACATGAATTCCTACTCATGTATTTTGTCTATTTCACATCATTTGTTAGTTAAAATAAATGGAATACTAAAATGATAAAGATAATGTAATTTATTAATTTAAGATATGTTGTGCAATCCAATGTCCTTCTGTTCCTAACCCCTGATATTTCGATTTCTCGTTCTAATCTCTTTGTGTAGCTGATGAAATGTATCTCTCGAACAGAAAGTAAATATCAGAGACGCCATAGAAGGTCAGAATTTAAAAAACAATTTCTAAATTAAGCTTGTGTCAAACATCACAAAAGATTCAATTCAAGTTTTCATTAATATTTGATATGATATTTGAATTGGTGACGTGTCAAAGTAAAACATGGGATCCGGACATACTGTATGTCTATCAGCAGCATGACAATGAATATTGTTCCCAGCAAGTATCCGAGTTAGACACAACTGGTTAAAATCTAACACGTCCTTTCCCTTATCACTTCAATCGATCATGAAGATGTCCGATAAATTTTTATCTCTGGATAAAGAGATATTTTTCAATTCTTAAAAACATCCTTCATTAAGTGTATTATAAGGAATCTTCAATTGAAAAAAGCATGTCCGAATTGTTATAGTAGATACCAATAATAGAGATAAGGGCAATCCGTTACCACTCGTATTTATGAACAGTCCCGTAAACGGCATCCCTTATTCTGCCTTCTTTATCGACAATTACGCTTTTGTCTTCTTTTTTGGACAAATTATCACATAGCCAATTGCCATTTTCATCAACGATACTGATGTAAACCACGTTCCTTTTACCATGCGTATTTGGATGAAACGCTCTGAACTCATCGGTGGGGATTTGGATAAATTCAGAATTTTTCCACTCTTGGACAGTTCCACTGCAATCACCTCCGCGAGCTCCGTCTTGGCTCTGTCCGGTGTCTACTTTTCTCTTCGTAGAATCGACCCTAGCAAAAACGGTCTTACTGTAATGGTTGGCTACATGTGTTGCTGTATAGGTACGTCCCTTTATAACACCAATTATATTCCCCATGATATAACTCTGCGAACAAAAAATATCGAGATGTAAAACTATACTTCAATTTTCAAAATTTAAAACATTGTATATTTATAGGCCTACAATCACTCAACATGCAAAATACATATGTAAGCACAATAAAATATTGGTAAAAATTACCTTTCAAGTGTCACACCGCCCACTATAAAATTTATGATACCACTGAAGTTATTCTATAATATTCTGCCCGAAAAGGACTGTATTTCACGACGCGCTAGCAGAGGGAAATACAGACTTTCAAGGGAAGAATACTTTCTATATTTCACGAGAAAACATTGACTTTTTATTCCATGATTTTGTTCCATTTCATTGGCTTGACCTAAGAAACAGACCAACAAGGTAAACCGTGCACGCGAGGTGTCCCATTCGAACTTTCCCTTCACTGAGCTACTCCGTAGCAATGTGCCTGTAGGATAGACCACATTAGCCGCGCCCCAATATGCAATCTTGGACAACTCGTGCTGCGTTATGTGTTCCATCCGTTAAATGTTTCTTACTTTCGCGCTTCGTTCGTGTAACATGCCTTTAGCATATATTCTTTTACGTCATACTAACACTGAGTTAGTCCTTACCAGGCCTCATTCATTCAATCTTTCGGGAACGGCGTATCCCATCGTTCGCGGAGCATCGTTCCGAAACTGCTTGCTCTCAAAGACTTTTCTGTGTACATTTTTGGAAGCAGGCGTAAGAGGGTTCCGGACGTATCGAGTGTAGAAGAATGGCCCATTTTAATGCCACCCGATATATTACGAACGTAATGGAGATGAAATATATACCAAAGTTCAAAACAAATTTCTTATACTTATTTTCTTATGATTTCGCAAACGACTCACTACGGGTAAAACAATTTCAACAATAATTATATATCATTTAATTTAAATAGCAAAAGTTAAATGTAGGCCTTATTTAGTATCTTTTAGGATGATATTTGTTGTTAAAATGTAGAACAACAACTAAAATATGATTTATTATCTAATCTGATGATTACAACATTTGATAACCAATATTTTAATTTTACCATACCTCTCAACGCGAGTTGAGAGTAAGTATGAATATAGCCCACATTAGTTTATATTTTGTTTATATAAGTGTGTACATATTCCGAGTCCTTTTGTTTGATTAGTTTTAGTTACCTAATAGAATGCTGAATGCTGAAACTTATGGAGGAGAGTGTATATTTACCCGAGGTTGTGCCATATTTAGAACATAAAAACTCAACAAAAGACGGGCAGGCACCATTGTAAAAAATGTGACTAGTGGTGACTGAAGTCTATGCAACATGGATGAAAATGAAATACCACATTTTGTTGGTCCATTTCCCATTTCAGAGGAAAACCAGGAGAAACAGTTCACCACGTGTGACCCAAAGGGCATCACGAATCTATCCAACTTTGTCGAGTTCATTTCTGAAACGTCTGAGATACGAACTAGTGGTAGGTACACCGAGTCTGAAGTGAAAGAACATACTCAATATGTGGAAGATTTTGTTCGCGACATTTCGATTAATGTCGGAAAAGTCAAGTCGATATTTAAAACAAAAATGCACATCAGACGGGGCAGTCACTATGAGAAAACAAAGGTGGCAAGAATGGACGAAATGGACTTCTTGTCCGTCCTTAAACTATCGGATGGTGAGACAGTAGCAGTGAAGGATATTGATGATCAAGAGTGTAACTATCGTGGGTCAGAGTATGGTTCTATCGATCTCGCCCCGAATGCCTTTCCCGACGAAGAACTTGAAAAGACGGTAAAAGAAAAAAAGCTCTCGGTAAATATCATTCTTGAACTAAAGAAGGCAGTTGAAACCGTGTTAAAGCGTTCGACGCTTTACAATTACAAAGAAGAGGACATTGACCCGAATGATGAATTGACTAAGTACCCCGTTGGAAGCTGTAGCATGAGTAGTGAACTGCATGGCCCGTGTATTATGCTAACATTGGTAACTCCACACGCTATAACAGATATCGATATGTGTTTCTGCGTAGAAAAGAGGAATTCCAAGTTGGGCCGATGTGTAATGATTCCAAATATGAAAGATTCTTGCGATTGTTCCCTAAACAATTGCCATTGGATCGAATCAGTTGTTGACCCGGAAAATCCCAATCACATCCTGAGTCGGAGCCACAAAATGTTGTATCTGTGTCTGAAAAGTGTGATGATGTTAATAGAAACGAGTAGGATTCACCCTCCATCTATAACGTCTTACATTCTGAAAATGCATGTTCTACATCACCAGCAGAATTGTCAAACCGCCGCAATCGGAGAATGCTTCGAAGCAGTTGTGCATCAGCTGTTGCTTTTGTCAACAAGTCAACATGGTAAATCCTAAACATGTTTTGATTATTTTGATAATAAAAACCTTTAAACGCAAACCTAAAAAAAACATGGTGAACAAGGAAATACTTTTTATCTTTTGAGTTTTGGAATCTTGTTTTGATAATTCTTAATGTAACTTTTTTATTTTGTACATTTTAGGAACTGCTAAAAGAAGGAATCTGTTTCAAAGCAATTCAACAGAAGGATCACCGTTCATTACTTCTAAGGAATGGCGCTGTCATGATTCGCCTAAACACGACGGACATGAAGAAGATGATCATACCCATCCTATTGGTCAGTTTATTTTTTGATGTAGCATTCTTACTCTTTATGGTAGCGTATATTAAAACCAGTTGATCATATAATGGTGTAATGACCCGAGGGCGTAATATTGCATACTTCAAAGTGTGAAAAAATATTCTGATTCTGGACTTGACATGATTTTGTTCAATGAAATTCCATCCCCGAGTTTTATTTGCTAATTTGAGCGTGAGCCTGGCCTAATGATACATTTAGATATAAAAATAAACAAAACCTTATTTGAGAGTTGATATATGAATTGCATTTATAATTTAAGGCAAATCCTAAAATACTTTTTAAATGCGTTTTTATAAAATCACATCCAAGTGAGGACGGTCTTATTTAAATGCAAATCTTATGTTTTATTTTCACGCTTAATTTGGTACACCCTGTTGTCTTTACAGATTTACAGTAATACAGGGCGTTCAGTAAGTAAAGCTAATTTTGCTCTCAAACTTTTATTTCTTGTCTATCATCGTTCAAATTTTCAGTGGAGAAGCATCAGCCACTTTTCTAACTATCCTGAAAAAATGATTAAGATATAATGAATAACAGCAAAATGGTGGTTGTCATAGTAATGCGAATACGGGTTCTGCGGAGCAATTTTATAAGTTCACAGCCTAGTAGATTTTGTTAACGTTAGTTTCTGTCCTGTCTATATTTCAACCATAGTTCTGTGGCTACTCCACATTTCTACTTTCAAGTTAGCATTCTATTTCATGTTCAAAGTAGTTTCCCTTAGCTTTCACACACAGCTGATGTCGTTCTATCCACTTCTGATATATCCTGTGGAAGCCATCTGGAAAGTTCTTTGTGAGCGAACGTTGAACGGCATTCTGAAGCTCATGGATATTTGCGTGGATCTTATCATCACTTGTTGTTTTTCTCCCCTTTTGGAATTTCTGATACCATTTGTAGATTGTGTACTTAGGCACACTGTCCCCATATGCTTTTTGGATATCCCTAATGGTATCCTGCTTGGATTTCCGTAGCAACACATTGTATCTGATGCTACTTCTCAATTGTTGTTTCATTTCATTGTTCATTTTGTTTCCATTGGCAATCCTGGCAGCCATGATTTTGATGATGTCATGGAGCAGTGTCTGATGGATCATTCTGGATCATTCCATCTGTTGTATCATCTGTCTGTGATGTCATAGACTACTGTTGCCATGGTATCATATTTGTGTATGTTGTTGTTATGTTTGTCGTGACTTTCAGCCATAGCAAACAAAGACATATGCAGCATTAATCTTAATCAATTCCATTGCATTATAACATTTTTATTAAAGTAAGAAATTGCTCCGCAGAACCCGTATTCACGTTACTATGACAACCATTGTTTTGCTCTTATTCATCATATCTTATTTAATTTTTCAGGGTAGTTAGAAAAATGTCAAATGCTTCTTCACTGAAAATTTGAAAGATAAATGACAAAAAATAAAAGTTTGAGAGCAAAATTAGCTTTACTTACTGAACGCCCTGTATAATAATGAATTGTATGTAGAATTGTAAATTGTGAAACTTCGAGAATCTCGGTTGAAAATCTGATCATGATTGATGAGAACCAATGTGCAGCACCTCAAAGGCCCGTATACTGAGACAATATGATGTCCAGATGTTGATTATGTAACTTTTAGCAAAATTTAAATGCATATAATACTGAGTATTAAACGCTTTCGAAAATTCACTATAGCTGCGAAATAAACAATTGTAACCAAAACCACGAAAACAATATTTTCGAATATTAAGTGGTATTTCCCGTCCTGCAGTAATGTTTTTATACCTTAAGTGGGTAAAATGACAACAATCAACCGATCGTTTGAATATGGATTCAATGGTGTGAAAACTTTCCTAGTTCTCTTCGCGTATTTTTCCAATATCCCAGATGCGAGTAGAAATAACCTTGATTTACGTCATTCAAAATTCACAATTCAGTCAAACTGATGTCATATTTGGAATCTACATGTAAAATTACATTTAGAAATGTGGTTTTGAAAAGAGTTGATCAACTTTGAAAATTTAATTTTCTTTGAAAATGTGATTTCTAGGTCGGGGAGATTCCCCATAGACCCCATGTTGTAAAACCACAAAAAGTGAAATATCTTTTCTTGTGTTGGGCAGATAATATTTTCTTTTACTGGACATATTTTAATTTGTATAACTATAAGATACATAAGGGTAATATAAAAAGTGAACCATTAAAACTGATGCATATTCAAGTTTAAGGGTATTTTGTAATACCCTGCCATGTTAATTCCCCCGAATCAGCCACCTGGTGGCGAAACTGGTTACTACCTACTCGCATCTGAGTAATTGTTACTGAATAGTGTGGGAGCAAAAGTCCAAATAAGAGGTTCCGTGTCCTTTTTAGAGGCGAGCTAAGCGACATATGTTTTCATGAACTATACGTGATACTGATCAAGAAAAATGATGTTGGCAATTCTGAATCCGCGACGGCGTTGCTATGGTAACCAAGTAAATATGCCACGCCCACTTTTAGGGGCTCTTTTCAGTGTATGGCCCCTATCTCTGTCATTATTGCTCAGATTTAGATGAAATTCACACCAAATTGAAGGTAATAGATAAAGCAATCAGGAAACATTAAGTTGGCAATTCTGAATCCGATATGGCGTTGCTATGGTAACAAAGTAAATATCCCACACCCACTTTTAGGGGCTCTTTTCAGTGGTTGGTCCCTATCTTCGTCAATATTGCTCAGATTTAGGTGAAATTTGTACCAAATGAAAGGTGATGGAAAGAGCAATCAAACAGTTTATAAAATATGCAAATAAGGTGATTTGCATATTAATTATGACGTCATAACCATTTGTTCTTGCACATTTAATTTTAATCATGATGTATAAATCTGGGAAATTATCATCATTAAAATGGTCAGTAATGCTTTATTTTCGTTGAGTTTATTAGATTATGTCATTCATACATGTATGGTCATAAAAAATTGAAAAAATGTTATGAAAATATCCAATTCAAGTTGTTGCTATGGTAACGGCTTGTTGCAAAACTATCTGCTGTAAAAATAATTCTTTAGGAAATGTTACATTTTGACCAGTTGACTGACATGTATTCATTCGAAAATTTGATGGCAGATAATAACCTAATAACGATAGAAACTTATCTAATTTAAATTGTGTTATATTATGATGTCACAATGGCAATTATTAATCAGGGGCGCAGCCAGCTTTCAATCAGGGGCGCAGCCAGCTTTCAATCAGGGTGGGGGGGGGGGGGGTGCGATCTCGGCATAAGCAACTCAAAAAATGTTTAATTTGTCTTAAATTTTACAAAAATTCCTTCAAAATTGAGCTAGAAGCTTCAAGTCAAAAGCATTTTAAATCTCTTCTTCTCTCTAATGGTTCTATTTTTATTGGTTAATGGGAGGGGGTGGGGGTGCCCCCATCACACCCCCTGGCTATGCCTATGTTTGCTATGGTATTCAGGTGAATATGCCGTCCCCAATTTCAGGTCTTTTCAAGTTTTGATTCTATCAGTTGTCATGATGATAGCTCTGGTGTATATGAAATTTTCATCAAATGGAAACTAAAGAATCAGACAATGCATGGGGAATGTAGATTGACAGACTGGCATACCTGTTATGGTATGACTGTCATAGCTGTTTTCGTGATTATTTTCTTGAAATAAGGTAAAATTGCTCATGATGATTCCAAATTGGTACCTTTGGTCTGTTGACATTCACCATAAAAGTAGGTCAAAGCTGAAAACTATGATTGATTTTCATTCTATTTATTTACATGTATAAAGTATGATCAAGAAATATTATGGGCAATAATTCTGAATCTGCGATGCCGTTGCTATGGTAACCAAGTAAATATGCCATGCCCATTTTTAGGGGCTCTTTTCAGTGTTTGGCCCCCATCTCCACCATTATAGTTGCTCAGATTTTGATGAAATTCAGACCAAATTGAAGGTAATAGATAATGCAATCAGGAGATATTAAGTTGACAATTCTGAATCAACAATGGCGTTGCTATGGTAACAAAGTGAATATGCCCCACCCACTTTTAGGGGCTCTTTTCAGTTTTTCGCCCTTATCTTCTTCATTATTGCTCAGATTTAGATGAAATTTGCACCAAATTAAAGGTAATAGATAGAGTAATCAGACAGTTAGTAAACTTTGCAAATAAGATGATTTGCATATTGATTATGACGTCATAACTGTTTGTTCTTGCATATTTTATCTTAATCATGATGTTATAATCTGTGAAATTATTGTCTTTAAAATAGTCAGTAATGCTTCTAACTAGTTAATTTATTTATTTCTTTTAGTTGAGTTTATAATTTTATTTCATTCATACTTGCATGGTCATAAAAACTGAATAAATCTAAAAATATAATGAAAATCTCCAATTTATGCTGTTGCTATGGTTACAGCACGTAGCAAAACTATCTGATGTAAAAAGAATTCTTTAGGAAATTTTACATTTTGACGAGTTGACTGACACATGTATTCTTTTTAAAATATGATGACAGAAAATTATCTTATAACTATAGAAAATTATTCAATTTAAATTGTGTTATATTATGATGCCATAATGGCAATTGTTAATCAGGGGTGCAGCCAGCATTCAGTTAGGAGAGGGGGGATTGCAATTGAAGCATAAGCAACCCAAAAATGTTTTTAAGATTTGTTTTGAATTTTACAAAAATTGATGCAACTTCCTTCAAAACTGAGCTAGAATCTTCAAGTCAAAATGATTTTAAAGTTCTTCTTCTATTTAATGGTTATATTTTTTTGTTCATAGGGGCACACCCATCGCACCCCCTGGCAATGCCTGTTAATCCAATATGATGTTGCTATGGTAACTAGGTGAATATGCCATCCCCGCTGTTCAGGGCTTTTCCAAAGTTTTGCTTCTATCTTTGTCATGATTACAGCTTGAGCGTATATGAAATATTCACCAAACTGAAGCTAAAGATTCAGACAATGCATGGATTATGTCAATTGACTGACTGGCATACCCATTGTCGCATTAATAGCTGCTAATGGTTTTGAAATCCGAAAAATATGTTCAATGTCAATTTACATAAAAAATAATATCATTTTATGGTATAGGTCAATACTTTAGCCTATTTCATCTTTTAGGTCATGTATACATAACTGTACCAATTTTGAACCGAATGGTCGGATGTCGGATTTCAAAACCAACAGCATATCTGAAATTAGGGGCTTCCATACTTCATACTTGATACTTAAGGTTCCAATTTGGAACCATTTTGAGCAATTTTACCTTATTTCAAGAGATAATCACAGAAAGCAGCTATGAAACCATAACAGGTACTGTACTGCTGGTATTTTTCGCCTGCTATTTAGTTTCGTGCTTGGTAAAATCGCAAAAATTAATCTTAGCGAAATTGTCAATTAAATCCCGGGGATTTGTGAAATTTATTATGACATTTCGTGTTTTGTAAAATGTTTGTCAAGTGTTTTTAGGCGATTAATGGAATAGTTAGTACCAATGTCTATTACAGTGGAATCATTTTGAGCAATTTTACTTTATTTCAAGAAAATAATCACAAAAAGGAGCTATGATACCATAGCAGGTACTTAGTATGTCAGTCAGCCAATCTACATTATTCATGTATTGTCTGATTCACCTAGCATATTCACCTAATGGTTACCATAGCAACATCATATTGGATTAACATAGGGAGTGCTTAGAGGAATGGGGGTGCGCTGGGTTCACTCACCCCCTAATAACCAATAAAAATAGAACCATTAGATAAAAGAAGACTTTCAACTTGAAGCTTTTTGCTAATTTTGAAGGAAGTTGCATCAATCTTTGTAATATTCAAAACCTATCTTATAAATACTTTTGGGTTGCCTGTGCCACAATCGCAGGCCCCCTTCTGACCGAAAGCTGGCTGCGCCCCTTATTAAAAATTGCCATTATGACATCATAATATAACACAATCCAAATTTGATAACTATGGTTATTAGATTATTTTCTGTCACCAAATTATAAAAAGAATACATGTCAGTCAACTGGTCAAAATGTAACATAGTTTTGTTACATGCTGTCACCAAAGCAACAGTGTGAATTGGACACGTTCATTATATTTATTCAATTTTTATAAAATACATGTATGAATGATATAAACTAATAAAGTCAACTAAAAGAAATAAACTAAACTAATTAAAAGCATTATACTGACCATTTTAAAGACAATGATCACCATATTTAAAAGATTGTTTGATTGCTCTATCTATTACCTTTAATTTGGTGCAAATTTCATCTAAATCTGAGCAATAATGACAAAGTTAGGGGCCAAACACTGAAAATAGCTCCGAAAAGTGGGCGTGGCATATTTACTTTGTTACCATAGCAACGCCATATCGGATTCAGAATTGCCAACTCAATATTTCTTGATTGCATTATCCATTACCTTCCATTTGGTGTGAATTTCATCTAAATCTGAGCAATAATGGCAGAGATAGGGGCCATACACTGAAAAGAGACCCTAAAAGCGGGCGTGGCATATTTACTTGGTTAACATAGCAACCCCGTCGCGGATTCAGAATTGCCAACATAATTTTTCTTGGTAAGTATCACGTATAGTTCATGAAAACATATGTCGCTTAGCGCGCCTCTAAAAAGGAAACGGAATGACCTTTGCTCCCATACTAAAAAGCTTTAAACAGCCGATCAAGTTGATGAGGGCATTTCTCAATGAGTAAGGAACCATTTCGCAATATTATCTGTCATTTGGATTGAATGTCCTATTTTTATTCTAGGGGATGACCAAAACACAATTTACGCTAGAATATTCAAAGATCGTGTCCTTGTCAGAATGACTGATCTCCTTGTCCCGGCAAAGAAACTAAGGTATACCCTGGAATTATCGGATGTGACCGTGTTTTTAGCGATTTTGCAAATGGTTAAATACAACGCAAATGAGTGGTGGCGATTGTGGCCTGGCACCATGCTCTGCAGTGAAACTTGTTCAAGATTTACTATCTACTACAGTTGGTTATTCGTTCATAAAAAAACGGAAATAGTTTTGTTCCATGATGGTGAACTAAAAACAAAGATTCTGGTCAGTATGTCTCCCGGAAATAACAACCAAAGTGTGGCCTACTTAACCATGGATCAAATGTCAGCTCTCAATGGCATCTGCAACAAGAACAACTGTTTTTCTGTGTTCCGATTTTTTGCACTGTTTCTATTTCACAAGATCCGACAATCCTAGTAGCTAGTTTTTACTGACTAAATTGTAGGCCAAAATATCAAACTTGAGTAGTCTGGTATCTTATTGTACATTTTGCTTAAATCTTACCTCAAATGTTTGTATTTTGACGTTCCATTGCTTTTTCTCATGGATATATTTAAGATTCATATTGATTGAAAATATGACCTACCCCATTATATTGGAAAAGTGAAAATCTACAAAATTTGCGTTATTTGCATGATTTTCCATGTAAAACTTAGATTTAGATAAAGTCGACATGAGTGTGGTGAGAGTAGATTAGAATCTAACAATATTGCTTAGCGATTGTTTCTATAACATAACAAGAAGTGACAAATGTACTGAATTAAAGCTGGATGTGTCAGGGGTGTACCAGAGATTGAACCACATGACTTTTGGACAAAATAGTGTAAGTTGCAATATTTCCCTGATTGTTTGAAATCAAAAATGGACGGAAACATTGAATTGTTATTGACACATGAAATAAGGTATTTTAAATGATGATAGAATCCCCCGAATTACTTGGTATGAAATTTTGCACAAGAATCGCAATATGATTTATGTAATACTGTTAGAACTTGTAACACCAAAACTAACGCATATTATATTCAATATTTTTGCTGATCTGAGAAATGGTACAAAATTGAAAATGAAATAGGGTCAGCACTCAAAACTAGAAAATTAAGACCATCGAGATAAAAATGATAAAAAGCATCAAGAAAAAGACAATTGAATTGATAGATGATGAGTGAACAAGATTTCTAGTACCCCGATATATTTTGAAGAGGGAAAAATTTAACAAGCGTCATCAGGCAAGATATTTACGTCAGTTATGGATGCTAAAAAATATTTTTTATGTTATGCAAAAGATGTTATGCAAAAGTAAAAAAATGTAAAGGGCGACCGATTCTGATCATATAAAAATTCCAAGAAGTTCACAAAGGCTATACGAATTTTATGCATGCTCATTTGATACATGGCGAGTTATTATGCAATCTTTATAAAGTTTTTATGAGTACAAGATCAAGGTGAACAGTGGACATACTGAATTTTTTCTACGTGATATACAAACAAAACAAGGTTGTTTTTTAATTCCATTTCTTATATCTAAATGACTGGTCAACAGCAAGTATCATCTAACATGGTGTACAAAAACTGTTATATGGATTCTATAGTGATTAACCTTTGACTGACCTTAACCAAGTAAAATATAGATCCCAAATATTTTGTCAATTAGCTAGCTTCATTAACCCTTGAGTTCCTAAGGGGCACAATAAGAGTTTTTAGAAAAACTTTGAAGCTAGCATTCGTTTTACCTGATTCTTCATGTAGCTTCTCCTGAGATATAGTATAGGAATAATTTAGTGCAAAAATTATATATGACCCCCTACTAATTACTTTTTTATCATTATCAATTAGGAAAATCAAGTACCCTGCACGTTATTTCAATGCATGATCTGAAGTTCTTTATCTCTAGCACAGTAAAGAGTGCAGTTATTGATTAATTCATTGGAAAATAATTAAACAATTATTTGATGTCATTAAGTATGTGATAAGTCAATGTCACCCATGAAGATTTGAACTCAAATTATTTTTCATACGAGGATATGGCAAACCTAAATATGCTTCCAATGAGGGAAGAGGTCTCTTGTTATGGTCACATGATAGCATTGAAGATAGATTATGACATGTCCAAAATTGCTCGGTAGTGGTTACAGCTCATTATATTTCCACTGTTTACCATCTATGTCAGCAGATACAACCAGACTTTACTTTGATTCTTTAAAGTTAAATATTTTTCAAGTGCTATTGTTTCCAACAGATGGTGTAATCTTAAATGGAGACTTTAATGCCAGAAATAAAATTTGGTATGACAACAATATTGATAATTTAGCTGGCTCGGAATTAAATAATATTCCGTTTGACCTAGGACAACAGCATTTAGTCAATGAACCCACAGGGATTACGAATGTTTCTAAATCATGCATTGACCTATTAATAACTGACTCTGATCATCCTTTATCTTTTATTATTATATACCTCAAATGTATTCTAGATGCTCATTGGCTTATTCATGGTCACATGACATGGAATAGATGAACTAATTCCCTGGAAAGTCCTAAATCCCTGCTTTCAGGGGAGATGAATTGTACTAATCACCAGTTAGGTCATGTGACCAGTCAATAGTACATTTTATCTTCCCCCAAATCTGAGATTATAGGAGTTGAAAGGTAAAATGCCTTTAAATGCCAATAAGAACCTGTGAACATTTGATATTGAAATGAAAAGACTTCTCATTTTGTTTTTGTTTACAGAGTACTTATCAGGTATATAATAAAACAAATAGTGACTTCCACATTTTCGGGAAATAGTGTAAAAATTTTCCTCTCGGGAATATCCTGTCCACTGACTTGTTCCCTCGGCCTGCAGCCTCGGGAACATGTCAGTGGACAGGATATTCCCTTGAGGAAAATATTTTGCACTATTTCCCTCAATGGCAGTCACTATTTGTACACTGTTGACCCGCAAATTTGTAACTCCGATCACTGTACAATTATTAGTAAAGTTTGGGTAAAAAATCCAAGATTACCCTCAGTTAAGAAAACATAATGGCACTTCAAAACAAAAGACTCGCGCGAATCAAAAAAAACTCAGAAACTAACTCGGACTCTATCTCGAACAACACTGTAAATAATGCCTCGGAGCTCTTTGTTAGAACTTTTCTAGACATAATTAAAACAAATGTATGTTATAAAACTATTTCAACCAGGTATGATGATCAACCTTGGTTTTCCAATAATATCAAAAAGGAAATCTACAAAAGAAACAAACTTCACCATAAATACAATTCCACGAACATGTTGATCTATCAAACGTATTTCAAAATCAATAATATTTCAAAGTGAACAAATCTGAGAACACTCAATAATACACTCATCTTTGGCCACTTTTACCTTGCGGATCAAACTATGTACGTTGAAAACTGTTAATTTGAATTTTAGATGTTTAAAAATCAATGATTGTAATGAGTCTCATACTGCCAATTTTTCTTCAAAGTTGTTCCACACAAAGCAAAACAACTTGGGACCCAAACTCCGCTGAAAGTAGGGACTTTACATAACAGAATAATGTGCCAACAGAAAGTCATTTTTGTTTTGCTTTGTACGGAGCAAGTTTGACGAAAAACGGCACAGTACGAGACTAACAATCCTTGATTTTCACATAGCTGGTAGGACTAAAATTGAAATTAACGCTTTTTTGAACGTGCATATTTGGACATGCGTGATGAAGGCTATGACATTTGTTGCTCAAAATAAAACGAAAGTACAATTCTATACTATAGAAAGAGAGTGTTATGCTCATATTAAAAATGATTTACGTGTCTGCTTGTCATCTTACAGCTTACTTTGACTTTTATCTTACGGCAATTATAAAGAAAAGAAACACGTCATTATCATTTGTAATGTCAATTCGAGTGTCGTAACTTTTATCAATTGTTTTTATGTTACGAATTTATGACGCTGTTGACATGGACTGAAATTTATTTTGATTTATACTACATGTATATTGCACTTTACTTTAAATTTATTAAAATATGCAATTTTTTGTTTTGTTTTGTGAAGGCGTGACTGGTGATATGCACTTCCATTTTGTTTAAATTACATTTAGTGCCATTTGGTACGGTTCTTTCTCGAAATAGACATTTACCATTTTGAATTATAGGCAATTTAACAGTCGTTACATTCTCTTGATAGTGACAAGTCTTGCTTTTCATTCCTTCAAAATTTGGAATGCTAACACACCAAACTAGTTCTTACCCGTTTTTGCCAGTCATACGAAAATGTCGTAAAACGGGCTCAATCTGGCTGTGGTCGGGAAATATGTCTAAAATAATAAGCCACTTCGTTCATAAATAGTCTTCAATACGTCCATCTCATTCGCAGTTCGTTCAGGTCGCACCACGTCGGTGAACAACGTCGTATAACGCGTCCCTTAGTCTAGAAGGTCATCATGACCTGATTACAGAACGGTATGGTCGCCATCGAATTTCGAATCGATTCAAAATCCTAAATCACATTCCCCGTCCGGGAAAGTCCATGAAGTTCGTAAACAGACCGTAGAACGTTGTAGCTACAGGGTGTCCCAGAAGTAATGATAATTATGCTCTTAAATTTGTATTTGACAAGGAAACAATATGAAATTCATACAAATTAAAGTTTAAGATATAAGCTTCATTTTGCTATATTACATTTATGAATTTATACAAAAATATTCCATGTATAGTTGCCATAGCAACATGTATGCGTGTTCTGCGGAGCAGTTTCCGTATATTATAAATGTTCAAACTAAGTTTAGAAAAGCAATTATTCTGTGATAATGTTTCAAGCTTTTAAATCATTGTTATGGTAATTGTATACAATTGCATGATGTCATAGTGGTTTAATATTATGTAATTTATCTCATTGTGACAGGATTATCACTTTAATCTGATATTATGACATCACATGATGATGTCATATAGGGTTTCACAAAAGGAAAACTCTTAGGAACACAACCTAGGAATTTCCAGGGAGGTTTACATTATGCTACCAACGTTGAGCAAAGATGAAAAATTAGAGCAGAGAGCAGTCATAAAATTCCTTCAGAAGACAGGGGGTAAACCCAGTGACACTATAAAGGAGTTTAAACAAGCATATGGTGAGAGAAGACTGTCCAACCCCACTGTGTATAGGTGGCATAAACACGAGAGCGAGGCACAATTGCGCCACTCGGTTCAGTAGGCTCTGTAGGATATGTCCAACAGTGGTTTTGATCATGTCTTCCAATCCTGGCTGGAAAGGCACAGACAAATTTTTCCAGCAAAGGACAGTATGTGGATAAGTGAATCAACAATGTACAATGCTCTTAAGGAATATCAGGAATGAAGTAGCAGCATTACAGTAGTGATGTGAACAGCAGGGAAACATATGAACATGAAATGTTTTTCAAAAATGTATGAAAAACACACAGCTGCTCCGCAGAACGCGCGTACATGTTGTTATGGCAACTATACATTGAATATATTTGTGTAAAGTAATAAATGTAATATAGTAAAATGAAGCTAACATCTTGGTCTTTAATTTGTGTGAATTTCATATTGTTTCCATATCAAATAAAAATTTTAGAGCATAATTATCATTACTTCTGGGACACCCTGTACGGTCATTCAGTTTTCACACAGTTTAAAACCAGTTTTGAAGAACGCAGTGGCTACTTGCTTGGTGCGATAGCTATATTTTTGCTAACTCGTTGATAATACGTTCTTAATCAGTTTTAACCCGTTTGCAATTAGTTCTACCTAGTTCTCAATACGTCCTCAGACAGTTCAACTCGTTGTAAAAACGTCCCTAGTAGGATTGAAGTACGACGGTTCCGTTCGTAGTACGTCCAACTTGTCGTTAGTAGGTTGTCACTCGTTCTAATTGTAGAACGAAACGACCACGAGAACATTTTGAGCATGTTCTAAGTTCTTGAGGACCTACCCGTCCGAGTACGTTTGATGAAGTTTGTAAATAGACCCTAAACGGTTCTAAGTACGTCCAGTCCGTTCGTACACAGTCGAAACCCGTTTTCGAGAACGTAGTGAGAACTAGTTTGGTGTGATCTAGGGTTACCGAGCTAAGTTTTTCAAACAATGTTTTGAGTACAATCCACGATGACATAAAACGGTATTTCGTAGCTATAAACTGAGGATTAATAAACAAAAAATCAAAACGTTCCAGACGAAATATATACCGTCTGTTTTACCTAGTTATTCATTCACATTGCAGGAAAATACACTCAGCATGGTAATAAGGTTATCGAGCTATTTCATTGAGAGCATGTTCAAATTCTCAAGGATAGCCAAAATATTGAAATACATGACATCTATTGTGTAAGGATACTAGGATAGCCAAAATATTGAAATATATGACATATATTGTGTAAGGATACTAGGATAGCCAAAATATTGAAATACATGACATCTATTGTGTAAGGATACTAGGATAGCCAAAATATTGAAATACATGACATCTATTGTGTAAGGATACTAGGATAGCCAAAATATTGAAATACATGACATCTATTGTGTAAGGATACTAGGATAGCCAAAATATTGAAATACATGACATCTATTGTGTTTAAACTGTATCAGGATTACGCTCATTTGATTTCTTTAAGAAATTGAATATAATTTAGAATAAGAGACTTGCATACTTTATGTTACTTCATTCAAAGTCAAACACATCTAACTGTTGCCCAGGGCTTACAGAAACAAAGGCCGACCAAATTGATAAGACCATTTCTCACCGACTTTTATCAATTTTATAAGTCATTTTATTTGAATGTTCTATTTTAGGATATGGTCAAAATATGCGCCAGAATATTTTAAGAGCGTGTCATTATAAAAAAATAACTGATCTTCTTGTCCTAGCAAATAGGCTATGGTATATTATGGATTATATGGGCGTGACCTGTCGTGTATAGGTAATTTCCCTCCAAAAAGTTTAATATGGTTAGCCGGAAGTTTTCATGTGATAGCCTATCAATGTTGGAATCCTAGTGATCCAGCTAATCCATGGATTTCAATTTAAAATTCAAAATCGAAAAAGATTTTGGAGCCTCGCATTTTGACAGAAAAATATTTTCAAAACGAACGTTACAAAAAATTAACCAATATGCGAACGGCGAGTGTGACGTAGAGGGTAGATGTGCTATATCTGCCTACTCGGAGCGGGACGTAAAGCTATATCTGCCAGCTGATGAAAATTTAAGTTTTTACAAACCGACTTAATGTACCTGTAACACGCCCAATTATGGTATAAATAAATATATTCCTCATGATAAACCCTATATCCTAAACTTCCCAGTGCATGAGCCTTATTTATACCATGGTCAGAGGTATATAAAAGCAAGTGTTAAATCACATATTTTGGACAGAAGTGATATCAGGGATGATATTGATATCGTCACGGGTAAAATCAAAAAGTTTACTTTTTTTCAAAATAAATTTTTTTCAAAATATTTCAATTTTTTTAGTATCATGTTTTTCTTTTTCCTTAAATTCTCGATGCGTCTCAGGTTGGGATAATATGTAACTTTGATACTCCTAAGAGTCAAACATTTTTCTCTCATTCAACAGAGGGCTTTAGGTAGATAATGCTCTTGACCATGGTATAAGGTCGTTATTCACCTGTCAGGATGATATGAGAAATATCCCTCGGATAATATCAATAATGACATCATCCTTGTGATATTCCCCATATCAAATCCTTCCTGGTGAATAACTTCTCTATACTAGTCGGAAACGATTCTAGTGGCGCATAATTATCTTACCCCCATATATATTCAGTACCCATGGAATAAATGTAATATTGTTTAGTGATCACAATAGTCTCCCCATCTGACTATATACAGCATACACACTGTTATCATACGCTTTCCGTGTGCATGATTTTCTTTATCGAAAACGATGTCACTCTGTTTAAAATTTCTTAAAATATAACACCATGTCATATTTGTAAACACACTTCAAGATCAAGTGTTTATAACTTTTTTCATTGTCCAATACTCAGTCCGGTTCAGCAACTAAGTCAACATTCAAAAAATAAAAATCTCAAAAATCGTAGAACCTTGATTTCAAAAATAGTTTGTGAGTTGGTTATTAAGATGATAATACACATTTTAACGTATTAATTTCGAGTACATCTCGAATCCATTCTCAACAAAAAGCGAAATAAGTATTCGAAATGTTTGAGTTCGAGGTGATAAAAGTACGTTAAAATATGCCGCTCCTTACCAAAATCCTTTGGGAACAAGCTATAGAATCAAAAGCATATTCTTCATATTTACTCACTGACGCATGCCAACGGATATGAAATAAGTAAATATCGCTGTTTTAAATATTTTTGTAAACGTTGTTATCTACAGGTAGGATTTTTATAATCGAACAACAAAAGAAACATTTTGCATTTGTGATACTCCCTAGAACTGCTTGTTGTCTATTTAACAAAAAGTATTCGTGTTGTATGTAGATAATATTATAATCTTTATTCCTAAACACAAGTTGGATCTTTAAAACTGTGGGTGGAGGTGGGGAATTGGTGGAAATTGTCCACAGTATGAGTACTTATATAGTACTTAAACAGTGTCCATGTGTATTGGGTAGGCAAACTTCATGTGCCTTCATAGTATAAAACCTCAAAAAGTTATAGATATGACTGTATGTTGTATAAAAAGAGATTTAAAAAAATATTGTGGCCGAGTGATAAATAAAAAAAATCGTGGGCACGACCGGGATTTGAACCACCAAAAGCTGGTGCAGAAGTTTAGAGCCTTTTTTCCATTAGGCCACAGGAACAAGTTAAACAAAGCATGTAATTTTTAAGCTCTGTCATGAATCACTGCACAAGATTAATAAAAAATCAATAATCATGCTAATAATATTTAAACACATTAGGTAAATATTTCTAAGCCGAAATCGGGAATAATGATCTAAATCCAGTTTTTATTTAGATAATCTATTTCCTGTTATGACTGTAAAAAAACAAAGCCTCCTAAAGCATTTGAAAGTCAGTTTAAGTGACATTAACTTTAAATTTAGATATACACTTTGCAACTATGTAACTTACTCAAAATTCTAAATTCATATTAAAACTATCGGCATACATGAGCTGAGAACCAGGATGTTATCATTATTAGTATCATCGTTAGAATAGGATTGATCCTGAATATTACAATAAATAAATGTAACAAAGCAAAATAGTTTGATACTTTATAAAACTTTTGAAAGTGCAAGTCGGCCATCTTGGAAAAACGGCATGCTCTCAAATTTGCTTTTCTGAATTCTTTTAGAAATTGACTCGTTTTTTACATAAATAAAGGCCCACTTTGCGAATTTTCAATGTTTTTGGACAAAATAAAGACTTTTATCTGAATTCTATAGAATGTCTTATGTATTGATAAGAACCCTATATTTCATTTGACACCAACAACAGCTCAGACGGACCACATCAAAGCTTACAATAATTGATCAAAATTATTTCTTATCTGCCAAGCATGATATATCAAGTTTTTATCAATGCCATTGAAAGATGGCGAAGTTGTTTGAATTACATGATACATTCATTTTTATAGAAGTGTCGCCATCTTTTAAATCAAAAGTAATTAAAACATGCACTTTGTTTAGCATGTGCATGCATGTCTAATGATCTCTGAACTTCAGATGTTTTTTCTATGTGAGTTATTTTTTTCTTGGTTCAATATTAAAGCAAATCAAACTGTGTGTCACATTTGAGCGAGTGTGTGAGTAATATGTTTCAATGATATTTTTTTCTTTGTTCTTCTAAATTAAGTATAGTGGGACTTTAAACCTAGGTTAAGGTAGAAAGACCCTTAGTCAGGTATTTAGCTAGATGTGTAAAAGACATGAAAGATCGATGTGGCTATCAGGCTATAGTGTACAGTAAAAATATGTGTCCAAAGACATGCATTTCATTTATTCGTACAATCTTGTCATTTTTGTAAGTCATACATCTAAATTGGTACTCTTTTTATTTTTGTATGTTCCAGGTTTTTTTATGGTAATATGCAATAAAGATAGAAAACAAAGACCATTCTCCGTTGGTTACATAAACACAAAACACTATTTCACATTTTAAGTTGAATTACTATATATTGGAATAATATATTGTATAATATCTTAGACACAAGACCATTCTAGATTGTGCCAGAACATTTTTGATTTTGGCAAACATAATTTTACGTACTTATAAAAACATGAGATAAAAGCATAAGAAAAAGAAAATAGTGCCAATGCACACGTTAAAACAATATTTGTAATAATGGGTCTTGATTGATTGGCAAATATGTTACTCCACCAGCTTGAAAAATAAGCGCATGTGTTGGAATTAATACTACCATACCAGGATGTAAAGAAGTGTTTTGATTTTAGGGGATGACGAAAACACAATTTACGTCAGAATATTCGAGGATCGTGTTGAAGTCAAAATGACCGATCTACTTGTTCCAGCTAAGGCGCTTAGATATACCCTGGAATTGTCAGATGTGTACGTGTTTTTAGTGACTCTGCAAATGATTAAATACAATGCAACTGAATGGTAGGGGGTGTGGCCTCAGACAATGCACTGCAGTAGCACGTTTTCAAGATATGCAACCTACTACCTTGGTTTCATGGTTCATAACAAAACAGAACTAGTTTTGTTCCATGATAATGAACTCAAAACAAAGATTCTGGTCAGTATGTCTCCCGGAAATAATCGTAAAAATGTATCGCACGTGATCATTGATCATTTATCTGCTCTAAACGACATCTGCAGGACAAACAGCTCCTTCTCTTTGTTAAAGTTTTGTTCTGTGTGTCTATTTCACAAAGTCCGACAATTGGTACGATCTTAAGTATATTTGCTTTGTACTACCTACCAAAAAGGCCAGAATTGTCAAGTCTGAGGAGGATGATGTTTGTATTTAATATATCATTTGACATGATTTATTAGAGAAAATGGATTACTTAAATCGTTGTACCACACGGTGATTTATACTAAAACACTTGAAGTTAAATGTAATTAAATTGAGGGTTTGAATAACATTTTGTATAGTATGATACGTGAAAATATGTTTAAACGAAAGATATCTAAAAATATAGAATAGTGAATCTGTTACAGGGTGACCGTAAAAATGAGACCATTGAAGTAGGCAATATCTCCAAAAACTAGACAAGTAACATCATTGAAATTTTACACACACCGGAATTCCCCTTAGCCCATTCAACCTTTGTTATGGCATTACATTGAGCAGTACATGGTTGCCGTCTTTAGGTAAGCAATTGTCTGAGGATTGTCTTGGTATACATTGTCTTTCATATAGCCTTACAAAGAAAATCAGGTTCGGGGTATACTAAGATGAAGAGACATCTGTCCTAATGTGTGCAAAATGTCACTGATGCTACTTGTCTTGTTTAGGAGATATTGCCTACTTCAATGGTCTCCCTTTTTCCGGTCACCATGTATAAATATATAAAATTTATTTTTATTGCCAAATTCGTATTGTTCCTTTGCCATAACATGGAGCCAAGTATGTGATTATCTCTTCAAATAACATAATAGATTGTCCCCATTGATCACCTCCGTCGCAACAAAGAAAATATTGGTACGGAAGGAACAATCTCAGTAGTCTATTTTTGTATACGATGGATCATTTCTACAGGCTTAATTTCAGTCTGATGATATTGTGTTTTTTATTAGAGAAATCATATTTTCATAATTATAAACAAATCCACAAATAATATACAGTTGTAACAAAAGAAGAGTTAATCTTTTTTCTATTGGTTTTAAAGTTGACGTAGTTATGAATGTTTTTAAGCGTAAAATCAAAGCACAACCATATAATTAAAAAAACACGATGGGATTCCAACCCGAGATCACTGGCCGAGATGCACCAAAATGTTTTTTCTCAGCTAAAACTCAACCAATGTCCAAAATACTTAAAACAATTTATCATTGCCAGGAGTATTTTCAAGGATGTTGATTTTGCAAAATTATAATTTGGTCAGTATTCCAGGTCATAGACTGTTTTATCTCCCCCATTTTTCGATATTTTATTTCCTCAAATTTTCGTCCAAATTACTTATCTTAAGATCTAGGAAAGATATTTACCGACGGTATTTTGTGCTAAAACGGTAGATCTTATACACATGTATCACATGTATCACCCTTTCTGGGTAAAAAATACAATATATCGTTCTTTATTGAAAAATAAAAATACAATTCTGCCAATATCAAAATCGACTTAATGGTCCGCCATCTTAAATGTGAAGGTTATGGCCGTTACCTTCACTTGATACTGACCAGTGTACACGAATGCTCTATTATGATAAAAAATATTTGTCATGAAAGTATAGCATAAGTACACACAACTAGTTGTTGGATTCTTTGAATTGCTACATAATATTTTCGGATATGGTTCGCCTTTGTTATGGCACACTGTACAAACGTTACATTTGACTGCTTCAAAACTACGATTAAACAAAGGCTGGTTGATCACTTTATTCTAAAATGGTTTAATGATAATACATGTATAAAGTCCAAAATAATAAAAATATAGGTTGTAAAAATATTTTGGTGTAACAGTATTTCTTGAAAATATTGCGCGATAACTTGAGGACTTCAATTCAAAACAGATAATCACATCGCAGATAACCAGTTGAGTTGGGCAACTACAAAACTATGTTAGGGGTAATCAATTAGTCTTTGGTATAAGGAAAAATAATGGCGCGTAGCCCCGAGGTCGTTTTTTCTCCTAAGACGAATTGTTTATCTAATTTAAATCACACAATGGAAACAAACTCTTATGAAAGTTAAATGGCCAATGATCCAATTTTAGGAACATCCATTTATTTTGTATTTATCTAGTTTATTGAGAAATGAGTGAGTGTGATAAGGTCAGCCTAACTGCATTGTATTTAACATGACAAGTACAGTTTTACGTTTGATCAACTTTTGAACAGTGATTTGTGAAAGACAACACAAAATGATATGAGATTATAATTATATATATTATCTACAAGTTACCGAATTACAAATTATATATTAACTACAAGTTACCTAATTACAATATATGTTAAATAAACAAATACATTTGGCTACAACCCAGTCATTCGTTTGCCGCAAAACAACAGCCTTTACCAACATATGTAATGATACTTTAGAGTAAATTGGGAAATATAAGGCGTAAATGCTAGATGTCTAATAATTGTTATTCTAAATAGCATGAGAGGTGAGCGGCCAACCATGCGATGCCATAGATAGGTAGCTGCCTTGGGCACTGTACTCCCTGTACTAATGGCTTTTGGAAGAAATTTTCTAGACTTGGAAAGGGGTAGGTGCTCGAGGCACTGTACTCCCACGGGGTTATTTAAAAAGTTAGCTGCTCGAGGCACTGTACTACCTGGATGTTCAAGTACGAATATCATTTACCGTCGAACAATCAGATAAGGATGCCGTTCGTGGGCAACCTTGCGTATAACTGAATTCGTGTCTTGAAGATGTAAATACGATATAATTACATTTGTAAATGAACAGTGAATAGGTTACAAATAGTTCAGCTTTAGGGCGCTGCATGTGACCGTCAATGGTCTTTTTTGCCACACTTATTTTGGCTAGCCAATGTCAAGTATACATTATTTCAAAACAATAGAAAATAATACACCGCTCTTTGTTATTACTGGATATTCTTAAAAATAAAATACAGTCCATTATATTGGGTTGCTACCTAAGTGTGGTTTAATGTGAGATAAAATAGGACACATATACATGTAAACACGAACACGTAAAAACATTAAATATTATCGGTAATGAGAGGGAATATAATCCTATATCATTGTATTGGAAATTTAAAGGCACGTGGACATATACTAACCCGTACACATATGTTCTTTATTGCGATTCTAGCTTGATCCTTGTCAATAATGAAGTATATTATACAAACATTTATGTCTAGAAGACTTCGTATTTATCAATTTAAATATTAATATACATGCATGCAATAGGCACTGATTTATTAATATATAAAATTCAAACAAGTGTCAAGTGTTGGTACACGTGTTAGTTAGTACCGGCTGAAACTGACACACTTGTGATATGTCGTCACCTTTTTTTTCAGTGCCTATACCAAAAATTAAACATACGTACACTTATAAATTGAGGCACTGATATGTTCTATCCAGATTGGTTTAGTCAAACTTGGTATATTACAATAGAGTATTGCACTGAGCAATGTCAGGGGAATATTCTTGAAAACATTCTTCTTTAAATTAAATATATATTAACACATTGAAATTTGGCCAACTTTGTGGATTAGCGTATCGACAGTTACTGGTTCAGCAAGTTTAACCTTTTTGCTCATCAGTGATATGACTTTCCAGATTTGAACTTTTAACCTTTAGTCTCTGACGAAAGAAATCTCATATGGTAAAGGAACATCTAAACCGTTCCCTACACGGAACCCCAACTTGGGTTCTTTCCCCAGTGGTATTTTGATTGTAAATTTCTGAAGAATACCAACGAAGAACAAGAAGAGCTCCATTTTGGCTAGCGGTTCGCCCAAGCACTCACGTTTACCTAAAAAATGTTTGTAAACACTCTTAAAAATTATTACTTGGATTTCCTTATATTGAGAAATTGTATTACTCATTTTAAGTCAAATAATAATCTTGAACTACTGAATAATTTTTAAGTAATTCATTTATGGTGAATTTACTAATGCAAGGAGAAAAATTGAAATACTTACTGTAGTAATTGTAATACTCATTTACATAATTAAGCAATTAAAAAACTCAAAATGACAATATAAGTTAAACCTAAGTAAAATGAAGTAAAACTAAGTATTTAACTTTAAGTAATTTTTATACTTGGGAAATACTCAAGTAATTCATTTTTAAGAGTGAAGTAATTGATGCTAGTAATTCACAATGGGTAAAATCCCCCCAAAAACATCAAATACTAACAATAAGAGTGAGCATCTATATTTTCCTACATGTCGCATACAACAATTATTTGATATAAAACGACTATTTAAACATTACATGTTTATTATGACATTCATTCTTGATCTTCATCAAGCTTACCACTTCCAAATTGTAGCATGTGATTGTCCTTGATCACTTTTCCATTTGGTCCGATGAAGCGTTCAGGTTTAAATGTGTTTGGCTCATCCCATTCATCAGGATCAAAGTGTAGCGCATGGATATTTTCAACAATCAATGTTCTCGGTGGAAGTACAAAGTCCTGCATAATAAACAATATTGCAATGCCAATTTGTCACGAATACTAATATTCGAATAATTTTCAAGAATATATATTCTGTCCAATTTTACAGTATTGGACCTACTTTTTGAAGAGAGTTTATACAACCCGACAGATATAATTCATGAGTCTGGAATTCGTAAAATGTGTATTTCATTATTTACCTTAAACTCCACTGGCTCATCCGGAGTGTGCCTGCTTTGTAGCAATGGGATAACGGGGTGAAACCTCATGCATTCTATAACCGTAGCTTCTGTAAATGGCATTTTGGGTTTATCCTCCATTGATGGTAGTTTGTCATCTCCGATAGTGTCCATTATTTCTTCCTTAACTCGTTTCTGAATCTCCGGATTGGTAGCCATACGGAGGAATACCCATCTGTGAAAACGATCATTAGAAAGATATTACTTAAATAATGTATTATAATTCCAAAAAGGAAATACCAACAAAAATGAAGTATGTCTTCCTCACTAGGTTAAGTATATATCTACCTAAAATTTACAAGTCTTTGCAAACTAAACATGATATATTTTCCAATAGTAGTACATGGTTGTCCAAGCACTAAGGGGCACATTTCGGACGTTTTGGCAAACCTTGTAGTATTACGTTGTATGAATATGAGAGAGCTTTCGATTTAATTTGGCAGACAAAATTACACTGCCACGTTCACTTTTTTAAATAACTTAACACCACTGGGGAGGAAGGTTTCTCAAAGAAACCAGGAAAGCACATTTCATTAGAAAAATTGTCCTCGTTTTCTAATCGAAGGGATTGATTTGTGAATATCCCAGCAATGGCAGAATTAATTTCTAAGTTGAAATCACATTTAAGAAACCGGAACTTAGGAACTATATACTTGCCAAATAATTTGTTGTGATTTGAAGGACTAGAGCGCCATATCTTCGTTTCAAGAGTTCCTCTCCAGTGATATACCTGACTTGCACAAGTACAAGTTTGCGTATACGTATTCAAGATAACTAGTTCAAGATATAGAAAGCTCTCTATTAGCATAAAAACGAAAAATTGTATAGACGTGTCGCAAAAAGGTGGCGCATTTGTTTTTTAAGGGTATCGCGTGAATGTAACTTTGATTCCCCGGAATATAAGATAATATTCTAATTAAAGTTATATATCATTTTAAAGCTGTTTCGATGAAGATTTTAGATCAACTACACTCCGTTCAAATTTTTTGCGCGTTCGTTTTTAAAAAAGAGTTTTTTACCAAAACATCTGGCAAATATCCCATGTTGACACGTTACATTTTGAATTATTTTTCGTCTTTAAACGCTCATAACTCAAACAATATATGACTATTATACTTATTTTTCGTCTTGATAAAGGTAGATGGAAGTTTTATTTCAAAGGATGAATTTTAGTAAGCGTCCCATATTGTGACGTCATAGAGTCTGAAAAATAGAATCTGTTGACAGCGACCTTTTTTGCTCATTTTTTGGTACCTTCAACTTTTCAGGTGTACATTAAACAAAAAATACGAGATCAATTTTTAATAAATCATACATGATTATTTTGCTCCTAAACTCTAGTTTATTAATAATTAGTTGATTTTGTTCACAAAAGTATGTGTTTTCTGTTGTATGTGGAAAAGTGGAGGACGAAAGGTTTTCAAAATTCATTAAAATAGGGCTAATTTACGCCATTCGCCTATTTTCAAGCACAGCAACACGTATATTTATTTCACCTAAAATATCAATTGATTCGTGTTTTATGATGCTCCTAGCCCATTAACAATATATATATGATATCAGAGTTATTCGTCTAAAATGTTTTGAGATATAGAGGTAAATGTGGAGGACGAAAGGATTTTCATGTGTGTACATTTTTCTCAAAACGTCACATTCTATCATGTTAAAAGCGAGGATCCTCTGGATTACGCCACAAAATGTGTAACAATGCGTGCGCGAGCTTTTTGCGATCCGTCACAGTATTTGCAGTTTGTAAAGTCGAATATGTCAAATATGTATGACACTGCACACATATACAGTACCTAAGAGTTGCTGCTGAGCTATCCGTCCCAGCCCTAAAGAAATCGACAATGTTATCCATCAGTTGCCCTTCTGCAAATAACAATATACCCAGCGATAATAAAATACTATGAGGTTCAGACGAGGATTAAATATAGGTAAATATAGGATATATTCTCGTTCTACATAGCTGTTCTTATTTGCAAATAACTTCTGACACTTACCATTAAACCAATGTTCCTTTTCGATTCCTTCGTTTTCCTTCATTGTTTTAATGAAAGAATCAATATAGTCGTTGCATTCACCTGGAGTGTAGTTGGCCAAATGATCTCTGAGCTCTTTATGCAAAATCGCTTGTTCAATCTCTACATGTTTTGCCTTAAATTCTTTAATACGAAACATATCTCCTGGTAGTCGATCTCTAATGAATGCTGGCACGAGATATCCATAATTTACAACGCGGAAGCATTCAACCAAATCTTCTTCCATATTAAGGTATTTAACATAAGTTTCGTCATTGTATTCGAATCGATGTCCAAATACCAAGGTAGCTATGACGTTGGACACCATGTTTTTAAACAAAACCTCGGGGTTATACAGTCGTCCATTTGATTTGTCAAGTTCTGCTATGGCAACTTTGAGTTCCGTTTGAACGATCTCCTGTCCTCTGTTTTTTCCAAATCCTAAGTCTCTCAGAGTTAAAAGGGCAAATCGTCTCTGCTCTTTCCATCTCGGACCTTCAACTCCAACGATTCCAGGTAGGAGTAGGGACAACGGACCTTCCTTATTCACGTGGACGAATTGGTCGGATATTTGCTTTATATCTGTGTATTTATTGACAACAATAGCTCGCTTTGCGCCTAATTTAAAACTGATGATGTCACTGCCGTAATATTTGGTCAAGTCCCGTAAACGCTGAGCGCCTGAGTTATCCTCTTCACTTGGAGTGAGCAAAAACATGTTTCCAAATATCGGCCAAGGAATTGGCCCAGGTGGAAATTTGTAAACATTTCTAGCCTGAATGTACCACCATGTTATGAGGAATACCGCCACAAACACAAGAACGGACATCAAATCATTGCTTATGATCGACAGAACGAAAACAGCAACAGACATTTCGTATGGTCTGTAGAGCCCTCTTTTACAGAAAAAATCCTAAAATCAAATTTACTGTTAAGTATAGTTATGTGCCCCTTGGCTTAGATATTGTAATGTTATATGTTGTATAAGTTAATGTTTTGATGATTCAATTGCTTCTTATCTTTTATTATTGTCCACACGTCGCATTACTTAGTAATCAGTATGAGACTTTGAGTAATGCTATTTTAATCGCGACCTTTGATGTTAATCAATGCAAAGAAATTGATTACAAACTTGATATTTGACTCTCAACATATCCGTCAAAATCATAAAATGACAAGAATGGTGAACTTAAACAGAGTTAAATTTAAGACTCCAAATTTCTGAGTTAGTACTATTGATTTGATTAGATATTGAGCTTGAACTTTTATTTTCAAAACGTTGACAGTACTCATCATTTCTGCTACATTTAAGCTATTTACGCACCAAGAACAATTTTGAAAATTTTGACATTTAAAGGGTAGTAAAAGGTTAAACGGAATTTAGACTTAGATTCCGCTTTTAATTGCAGAATCTTCAGAAGATTTCTCATTGATTCGATACTAATATCACAAAAGTATTACGATTTCGTAAACGTTTTGAGAACTGCTCCATAGCTAGTAATGCTCGCTACTTATCCTCATCAAACTCCAGGCAGGCTCAGTATTCGAAAATAAAAATATGAAAAATCGTACATATCTTATTTTCCCAAAAAATGTAGGATGGTTATTAAAATTGTAATACACATTTTAGTAATGTGTAATACACATGACAGAAGTACCTTAATAGATACTGGTCCTCAACATTCCTTTGCGACCACGATGTAGACCAAAGGCATATTACTACTTACTCACCGACACATGCAAATGGATGTTCAATAAGGGAATGTTTCCTTTTTAAATTATTTTATTAACGCTCTTATTTTATTCCTTTTAATGAGATTTTTATATTTTTGATTCTAGAATTGTGAGTTCCGTCGAAGAAATAAAGCTACCCGCTATTATTTTGATTGCACAAGACGGAATTTCTATTCCCGGCAAGCATTTTGGTAACACTTTGAAGGATGATTCTTTGTTTCATGTATTTCTATTGTTTTATTTTAGCCTCATCAAAAAGCATAGACAAAATCCAATTCCATAATCATAAATCAAAATGAAAGATTAAACTCGCAAGGCTAGATGATAAACAGTTTCGAGAATTGATAGTTTTAGATAAACTCTGTGTAAGGCGGCATTTATTTGCCAGTTAAGATACAACTACGATGAAAACATTATTTGACCTAAATCGGACTTTCAATTTATAACTGATCTTTTCACAAAGTTTTGCTGGATTGAAAACTTTTTAAAATAAATTATTCCTCTAAACGTAACAAACAATTTAACTTCATGTTTCAGAAGATCCCTTCTTGAGCACATTGCAGGGTATAGGATTTTTCAAATTGATGACGTCAATTTAGGACTACTATGTGCGTAACCGATCAACTGAAGATAAAACAAGCAAGTCAGTTTTTCTTAACACTTCGATCACCATTTAATCCACGGGATCCACTTTAATCCACTGTAATCGGATGACACGTATCTAGCTTGCTGTTACAATATTACCAGAGGTTATCAACCGACATTTTGAGATAAATTAACCTGAAGACAACCACCCTTCAATCATCCTGATATCGTCAAATTAAGCGCGAGTTGCACGCGCAGGATAGGGTACAACACTAGGGTGAATTAATTCGAGCAAACTGATGTTTTCATCGTTTCAGATAATCTGGTCTAGTTTCTAGATATTTTTATATGAGAATGTCTGTAACAATATCCTAGAAAGTGAACTTGACCTTGATGTTCATAGTTAAACCTACACAAACTCCGAATGTAGTATACGGCAAACGTTGTCTATTAGTCAGGTTATATAATGGTTGATTCTGTATATCGTGTTTATACTCAAGTGAGTATATGATATATTCACGAGTGACCGAAGGGAACTATATCATAAACTCACGAGAGTATAGCGATATACAAAATCAACCATTATATGATCTTATTATCCCACCCTAATCTTTAATCAATAAAAGGTTAATCTAAATTCAGCAGTTGTATATCGAGTCAAAGAGTTGTATACGCTGCCCAGGAGCTGTATACGCTATCCAGGAGTTGTATATCGTTCTCAAGAGTTGTATACGATGAGTGTTGGTTTTATATTGCAGTTATACAATGCTATTATACAATCATATAAAGCACTTAGGGTGGGATAATAAGATCATATAATGGTTGATTCTGTATATCGTTATACGCTCGTGAGTATATGATATATTCACTCGTTCTAAAGTCACTCGTGAATATATCATTAATCACTTGAGTATAAACACGATATACGGAATCAACCATTATATAACCTCATATTACATGATATATACGATAAGCCCATCTAGCATAATCAATCATTTGACAATTTAAACCGATTTACGCCATGTTGTAAAATATGTATGCTATACATGTACTTTTGTTACTCTAATTTGTTATATGAACAAAAACAACCCAGTAAGGTGTGTATTAATAATTAACTTTCTTGTTATCTCAAATTGCTTGGAACTTTACACTCCCCTCCATAAGTTTGGCAACCTTTTTTCCCCATTGGACTACGTGTTAAAGCCTCTTTACGTTTGGATTTTTATTTACTTAACCGGCGATGAAATAATTTATAATATTGATGCAAACGTAACTTGACTTTATTTCCAATACCTCCAAATTTTCTCAATTTTTATCCTCAATTACAATAGGTCGACAGTTGATGATAAATCTCATGAATTTTTGAAAATCGTTATTCCCATGTAATTCAATGGGAAATGGAGGGTTCGGGGCAAATCAGAAATCAGGATATATTTTCAGTAAAAGATTCAGCAAAAAATTTTTTTATATAGAAAATTGAATCGTCTAACTTTTTTGAACACTAAGTGTTTAGTTTTTTTGATGAATATTAAAGTTACAACGCTTCAAAGTCATTTTTGAAAATAATTTTTCGCCTCTTGTGTTATTTCAATGGGAGAGGATTTTTGAAAACAAAATTTGACTTTAAAGCCCTATAACTTTGTTGAACCTGAAGAAACATATCAATTTTTTGTTAAATAAAGTTAGCAAATTCAATTGTCTGCCTAACTCGTATTTTTTGCAAGGACTCGGATGGATGGATATTCTGTCATATGACTTGCGGCAAACCTATCATTTCCCATTGGTTAACATGGGAATGTTGATTTTCAAAAAATCATCAAATTTATCATCAATTTTCGACCTATTGTAAGTGAAGAAAGAAATTGAGAAAATGTGGAGGTATTGGAATTAAAGTCAAATTACGTTTCCATCAATAGAATAAGTATTTTCATCGCAGGTTAAGTAAATGAAAATTCAAATGTAAAGAGGCTTTAACACGTAGTTCAATGGGGGGAAAAAAGGTTGCCAAACTTATGGAGGGGATTGTACAATTGGATCACTATGGGAAATTCCTTAAAGTGAAAATTCTAGGGATTAAGGATTTGGTACCATTTACACAATTTGAGAGATTATTGGCAAACATGAAACCAATTTAAAACAACACTTATATTATTCAAAAGCATTCGTAATCAATGAATCTGAGCCCTCTGAAATTTGAAAAATAAAAATACCCTGGGTTTTAATTCATTTATAATCCTTGAATTTTTGGGGAATATATGATGCAATCTTATAGTCAACGAAATTTTTTAGTGTGTATTGATGTTTTTAGACGAAAAGCACAAGGGAAATGCATGAAAAAACTCCACATATTCATTCCTCTAACAACTCGTACTTTCAAATAGGAACGGATATAAATTGAATTAAGGCTACATTGTCATCAATTAAACACCGGTGTGAAAGAAATTATGGTCCCCTGGGGATTATGGTCCCCTTTCTAAACGGCCCTTATTGGCCCTGATTGTGTATAAGATAATAAGAGAAAGGGTTGTATTTAGGTCACCATATAAATCAATGGAGAGTCGGACCATAATTTGAGAGGACCTCCTACCCTTTTACACCGGTATTATATATGATTTGCTCTTCATATATGTATTTTATTTTGAATTACATACAATAAGTCTTAAACAAACACGGTATACTGATATCTAGAATTTTATTTGTAGACATGTTATATATGATTTGTATTGCCTAACAGTATAACACACTGTTACTACCTAAGCTAAAACAATAACTTAATAATTAACATGAAGATAGAATCAGATCTACAATACTCTTCATCATAGCTAAATACTCATTCAATTGAAATATAGATATTAATTAAGCGTATTGCTATTAGAAAGGGGGACAAACTGGGATTCATGTTTACACATACTCATTCAATCTAAAATTTAGTTTTATTAGTTGGACATTCGTGATTTTTGATTGAATTTTGCTCCAAATATTTCTGATTCTATCTTTTAACAAGACGTACATGCATGAATATAGTTTGTGTCTTAATTCACTATATAATCATTTAACTATATTATAACTCAAACTAACAGCAAACAGTGAACTGACACTTCATCAGATTTTAATGAAAAATATTTTGTTGGTGACACTTATATACACACAATTTTTAACAACTGACCATAACAAATGGTTAACAACAATAATGAAAAGAGTCACGCAAATGGATAAAATGTTTGAGCTTCATGTAATTTTAAACGTATCTACAGTCCAATTAAAATGGATGTTTCGGGGGTTGATGTGAACGTTTACGAAATTTTAAGCCACATTTCGGGTAATGGGACTTATTTAGAAAATTAGCTGAACAATTCTTGATAAAAATATGTTGCTTTTAATTCGTAACCTCATATACCCGTATTTTACGTCTGGATAATTTTGTATCAAATGTCCCAAGGTCTATATATTTTACGTTATTGCAATGATTAGAGCTCGTCCCTTGTGTTTGAAATAGCACAATTGAAATCGTATCCACTCATGCTATACAAATAAACTGGTCATAGCATTCAATCACAAGTCCTTGTGTTTCTTAATTATTGCAATTATTGTCACATCATTATCTGAGCAATTATTTCACAATTAAATAGAAGATACACTGTTCTTACTCACTGGTCTTTTTGGGTGATTGGTTACATAAAAAACTCTGCTAGAGATGATATTTAGCAAAGCCACGCATATACATAATATATGTGATTAATACAAAATACGAAATGACAAGAGTAGAACATTGTAAAACAGGTAGTGTTACTTCAATTAATTAATGCCTTTTTCTTTGCTGAAACTGCAGCCTGTTTCTCATTCTGAAATTGCAAATAATACATAATTAAATCATCTCCATGGCAATATTAAGGTATAATGTTGGCTTATGATGACCATATAAAAATCAATCGACTAGTGTCGACACAGTAATTTCGACGTTAGCTGCCTTGACAAATGTATTGTAATACTACAAATTGCTTTCAAATTGTTTTGACATTATGAGTACCTAAATATGAGTCCTCTCGATACACAATAATACAACATTGCTACACGGTTAAGACTATAAGCTTATAAGGCCGTTGCTACATGGATATTACTATTAGGGTATAACCAAACAAAATATGTGGATGTTAATATAAGTCTAACTTTATCATATACATTATTTAAATGGGGATAAATAATGTACGAGGTAATACATATTTGTCATAGCTAATGGTAGCCATCTTGAATTCAAATTTGAGCCCAGTCTTTTTACAATGATTCGATACTATTTAACTAAAACAAACAGAGCAAATAGTGTTATGCATGCAACTTATTTGAATACACTAAGCACATGCTTGATAGCCTGTTGAAACAAACGTTTGACATGTTTGATAAAAGTAGCTGATGATGGGTTGTGTTATTTTCTTACCGTATTTGTAGATGGGGCTTATTTACCTGTTTCATTATATCTGCCTTAGATTTCATTTCTTCATAATGGTCACGTGCCATCCGTAGAGGTTCAACCATCACTCGCTCTATGACGTTGTAAAGCTACAAATATTGCCACACGATTTCAGTACGAACAACAAGCTCAAACTACGCTGAGTTTGGTGATTTACTAGAGCTGTGTAAATGCTCGAATTATACTGGTAAGCTGTGTGCCTTTGTGGATGACATTTGCTAATATGTTATTACCAATACGTGAGTCTAACATTACGTAACAATCATGCTGCTTAGTGACCAAGGTAAATTATATCGTTCTGAACACCGTACAATGATTCTAGACTTAAGCAATTGTACTTCAAAAGTAACAAATATCTCCCATTTTGACACACCGCAGATAAACTATGCAATCTAAAAAGATTCCATATTAACCAATTGGAAAAATAAAAAAAGCTTGGTATCATGTAAAGGACCATGTTCATGGCAAATGACTTTTAACAGTCACAATGAAGTGTTTTTCTTTCATTAAAAAAATGTTTTCTTTCAAGTGAAAGATCAATTCAACTCTCTGATTTTTTTACTAAAAACCCCACATTGGCACATTTAAAAAAATGGTTGAATTTCTAAAAAGAGGATCTTGTTTGTTCTTAATTTAAACATATCAAAAGTTCTTTCTACACTATATTAACATTTCCTGAAAAGGGGATGGCGTTTGAAAGTTAAAAACCTAATATAGGGAAAATTCAAGCTATCCATTGTTTTCAGCATAATTTTGGCCATCGAAAATTTATACCTTCAAACCTAGTCTTTCAAACCATTCTACTTTCGAAGAAGTTTTAATCCCGTCGAATAATATTTTCACGCAATAAACATCAGAAAAAGAAGATGAAGTGAATAGGTTCAACATTTTGGATTGTTGACACGTGGTCCATATTCATAATTTTTCGAATTGCTCCATTGATATTTTATCATCATAGGGACTGAACTTGAAAGAAATCGTATCGTTTGAGAAAAAACCACTGTATTTATGGCCAGAAAGTACTCATAGTGAAAGATATGACCGTTTAAAATCGCTTGCCATACTGCTCACGACCCTATATGGATATTTCTTATACATGTACTTAAAATGTACGATAATATATGTATCCAAATCAGGTCCATTGGTCCATGATTGAAGATTCGTAGTTGGAGGTAGAAAAGGAGCATGTTATTTGTAAAATGAAAGCAATTGTGCTGTTAGTGCAGTTGGCATGACAAGACATACATCTCTGATACCATGCACCATAACCAAAATATTTGATCAGGTTCTTACATCCAACATTGGTTAATTTGTTTATATTTTCTTCGAGCTTTTTATTGTACATGGAATGTAAGAACCTAGTTTTGATTTTAAGATACCTCTCTGAGCCGCAACATTATGTTTCTGCTTTCAATTGCTGGTAATGGTCATGCGATTGTTTTAAAGGATCGAGCATTACTTCCTTTAAAGGGGTGAATAGCTAGAATGTATGAGAAACATAAAATTCACGAGCATAGACATAGACATCTCTGACAAGGAGACAATAAATAGTAATGTTCAATAAACGATTATGGAGTCAATGATCTGTTAGTTGAGGACTATAGGATATTTCTGTCCAACGTCACTAAGAATTGGGATGAAAACACAACTATTATGAAAGCTAAATTGCTCGATATTGGATAAAAGAGTCACCCTTTCCAAGATTTTTAAAATCAGCTTATCTTTCAAGTTCGTGTCTTTGGAAAACAGTCGTGCACCAACACGCATGAAATAACAATATTGTTTTTGATACCATACAAAACATCGAACTATTAGATTCAATATAAAGATAAATTTTGAATTCTAATTCCAGAAGAGATATACGTATGTAATGGAACATGTGCACGTGAATGTCTCATACATGTCTTATTTGTCACGGTCTGACTTCATCCTGAATTGCTTACCGTAGTTCTATGCTTACCTTTGCCACTGTTTCGAACATTGGTATGAGAACAAATTTGATGAAACCAATCTGGGCCGTTGGCTTTGTCACTTTGTCTCTATCCATGAATGGTGCAACTGGAAGGCCTTCCATCTTTTCCCTGTCAGACTAAACACCAAGATATATTTAAAAATACAAAACATGTTGATAACATCATACTGCAATACAGTGTCTTTTAGAAGGTCCCGTTGTTCTTGTTAACGTTTTTTGTATGGTCTTTTTTACAAAAAATTAAGCATTGCATAAAGGGTGACGTAGTTGGGTCCCAATAATTGGTTGGAAAAGCGTACTCCTTTATTCCGTACCTGGTTAAAATACTCCTCCAGTAGGCAGTCAACCCAGGGTTCAGACACCTCCATAGGGCGAACTTCGTTTGAAATATCGCAACACTTTATGAGAACCATTTTTAGCTGAAAAGATACAGCGATATATTTTATCCAAGAGGAATGTTTTGTTTGAATTATCTATTCTAATGGTAAGAAACCAACTTAAACTAATCAATTGTCCTTAATAATATACAATTAATGATATAATGTAATAAACAATTTCAATCAGCAAGATTAAAGACCACGACTGTCAATCTTGTTAAAATATTGCCCAATTATTTCAATTTCTAATTTCAAATAACATTTGTCCATTCGGTTCGTACAATGTCGCTTTCTTTCATTTTTTCGTATTAAAACTGTTCTCCGTAGATAATAGCATAGCGTGTATTTTTATGTAGAAACGATTTCTACATTGATAGATATATGATGAAATAAGACCATGTGTATCTGTAAACAGAACTAGTCTATAAACATATTATACAGAGGTGGTCAAGAGACCCAATGTTTTTTTTTGTAAATATATGCAATGTCGATATGCTATAGATTCTATTATGCTAAGATGCTGTTTTTCGTAGGTGATGCAGAACTAACCATTTTATATGCTATAAGTATTTCTGAATAATTAATTTGAAAAGGCAATTTAGGTCTCAAATATAGGTCTCAAATGCAAATATTCAGTGAAAGGATAGTATTTGACTAAAGGGTAAAAATGACTCAACAGAAATAAAACAACATTGGCATGATTCATTCAAATACACGGCGAAATATAAAAATGCTACATGTTCAGCAGGTGAATATAGAATCTCAAAACTAAATGATTATTTAAAGACAGGGCTTCTTAAACGATTGTATAAAAATCGTGAAATCGTTGGCCCGCTACTAATATTGCAAACTAATTGCTAAATTCTAAATTGAAGTACTGATACGTGTGTAATCATGCAATTATATAAATAGACATATACGTAGAACATGGAACATTATAAAACCAGCATGAACATGTACAACATTCAAACATTTAAAATCTAGTTCATTCGTCTATTGCTACATAACTACACAACGTTTTGATATAAGCAAGGCTGAAAGTCAGAGTCAGTTCTTTAGGGAGTGACTTTACAATCTCAAATACAATACTCCCGAAAGATCTTGGATACATTATGAATCTGTTATTAAGGATTCAATGTGCACAAATTGGGAGAAAATGTTTAAATTGTCCGAAATTATAAAAATGGCAACTATTGCAACACGACCCAACATAGCAAGTTGCTACTACAGCTTAATCCTTAACGTTTATAGCTCAGTTTGTAAAACACTAATCTTTGGATATAAAGGTCATGGGTTTGAACTTGCCAGATCTGATTCTGCTTTTAACTAAATGACGCAAAATAATCCAAAAAACAAAGATCTTAAGAGTAAAAAATCATCTTGTACGATATTAGCAACAATGTCAAAACATGCAAAGACTAATAACGTAGTAATAAAAAAAACTGAACAATCATTCAGAAGCGTTGCTATACAAGCTGCTGTAATATAATATTACCGAATACACATGATCATCTTTTGAGAAATCAAACTCTGGGATCTTTGAATCAAATGACTCCAGAATTTCTTTGTGGCGTGCCATGTCAGTTGCTAAGATGAGCATGACGATTCCCTAAGAACATACAACACGGGGTTTTATACGTTAACATATTTTGTTGACAAACTAGTGAGGATATATACATTTGGGCTAGCTGCTACCATGGGTACACAGACATACAGAGAATGTATATTTAGGGTTTCCTGTCATTAAAATTGAATCAGTAGATTAACCCTAATTAAACAAATTCTCCATGCCATTACAATCAGAGTGTTACAGTTTGTGAAGAATCCATTTTGTAGTACATATTCACAAATACATGAATAGGGCATGCTTCATCACACAGATGACGTTTACCGTATCAAGATGTTCTTTAGATTTATAATCAAAACCATCACACTTTCCCTTAAAGCTCTCCATTATCTCACTATGCCGTGCCATGTCTGTGGCTAGGATGAGCATGGTAATACCCTAGAATATACAGTCAGATCAAGCAAATTTATCTCAGCTATATTGAGCATGTAACGTTGTTCGTAATCTGAGTTTGGTGCAAATTATAAGATGCTTATTATTTATTGCACCACATTAAAATAATTACCTGTTGGAATATTATAAGGAAAGTCGCTGACAAAAATAAATGTCCTCATGTTTTAATAGAACGTAACAATTCAATATATCAGTTCTCGTGAAAGGCTCATACATAATATGTAACCGTATAATATCACAATACATAACTCAACAAGCAATAGTGAATCGAAAATGACTTAATAATTCTACACAATTGAGGCAGTGTTACTCCTGAATGAACAATGGCATCCAACACAAATTGGTTGTTGCTCTTTGATTGTATTTATATTGCAATCTCAAGGAAGGCCTTGATTGTATGATATCGTGAATATAAAACTTAAAGATATCATAATGTATCAATTTCTTAAAGACCACAGTCGGTTTGTCCTATTGACCTAATAGATATAATTTAGTCATCATGTGAAGGAATAAAAACGATTTATCACTTTATATTGGTTTTAAACATTTATACATATATTTATACAGCACAGTACGTAAGACACACAGTCGGACCCATAATTCACGTTTAGGATAAAAATACTATATTCTGTAATAACAACATTTTCGAAAATGGTTCATTATTAACATATTACCAAACTGGAATTCCATCTATAGATTTTTAAACGTGGCTAAAGACTCACCGCTCTTATCCGTTTGAAAACTTCTGGTGCAACATTTGCAAATATGTTGGTTTCTGGGTTGGATAGAATCTGAAATGCTACGGCACAATGGTGGTTTTCTAGAGGAGAAATGTCATTATAGCGGATAGCAAGGTCAGTTTTGGCATTGATTTGATACCTAAAAATACAAAGAAAACATAATAGAAGAGTTTGAATTGCTAACAAAGAATGAAATGAATGTTAATGTAATTTGGTTGACATACCTAAGCCCAAAAAAAATCAACAAAGCCAACACTTCGAAATTTTCCATAACTTAATTGTCATAATAAGAACACATAAAATAAGAACATTGATTTAATGAAAATAGTCTCCAACTTTTAAATGTTATGAGACAATTGTGTTGGAACTCATGGAGCATATTGGTGCCTTTTCAGCTTAGAGTGGAACACATATTTATCGGATTCTCATTTTGAAAAAAATGTAAAATTGCTTATTTAAGTGATGAACATAATATGATGAAACGAAAACTTGATGTAACTTTATCCATGTTAATTTATACAGTCTGGATGTCCTATTGTATCCTGGTCGGTCATAACATCATACATAGTTACCATAAGTCCTTGGACATTCAGAATTATAAACATCACACTTTATGAAAATGATGCTCATAATAATAATCTATAAGGAAAATAATAATATCTTACGTGTTGTTGTAGCCCGGGTGGTCCAAATCGTGACATACGCAGGCAGTCAGTAATATCCCAAGGTCTTCTCTCGACATTTTCTCCCAAAGCTTACACAGTTGGATCATTCCGTACATCATTTGCGTAACACAGAAGCAATGACGAAAGTTGTGAAATGGATTGTTCCTGTAATTTTCTTGTACACACAGCTTAACGAAAAGAGAGAAATGTGTTGGCATAAAATTTTGCAACGATTCCTTTAATTTTTTTGATATTGAAATAATAGTATAGTAATAATTATAGTATATGATGAAAAATATGGTTGATTGTGCCAACTCAGCGAAAACACGGATTTCTATTAGCCTTAAACTGCTATAAAACATAGTTTACACACACTGACTATGAGTTGATTGAATAAAAAGTTACAATATAATATGTTCTTACCAACCAGCGTTTTAAAGTGACAGGATTGATGTTGAACTCATGCACCAGGCCAAGTTCATGATACATGTGTTCAAGCAAACTCAGCATCTAAAAGAACAATGCATTTCGCCATTTAACAGTAGAACATTCATCCTAATATGATACGATTACTCAATATTGTTAAAAAGCTTCAATAATCTTGCCCATACCTCGTTTGGTTCCCAGTGCCACATATCAAACGTTGGCTGCTTCAAGTAATCAATGGTCTCCTGGGATAGCGTGTACTGAAATAAAACGTATCATTGGACGTAGAATATAAAGTTTTGTATTAGGTTGGTGTTTAGAAAGTAAAGACCACTATTGTTTCTAATGAAATTGTATTTAAAGATAAATATTCATTTTAATTACCATTTAACAACACTGAAATATATATAACCATATACAGATATATTAATTTACTAATTTGTTATTTCGAAGAGGAAATGGAAGAAATTACATGCTTAAATCTTGTGACACTTGATTGATATTCCACACATAGATAGACATTCTATATCCTTCTGACCAATCAGAATACAGAATAGTCATTCTATGTTTTACAACAGATTCACGGTTAATAAATAAATAAAAGTGAAAAACATTGACCTTGTATGGGTATATCCAATCGGATTGCTTATTTACTGCAAATGAACAATCTGAATGGACGACTTTTTTGTGAATACCTGCACTGACATATCAGTCTATTGGGTGTTGCTTCTTTTCATGCTTTTAGATTTATTTACATTTTAGTTTTTCATTTCTATCCATTTTTCCCAAAATTTTCAGTCATGAGAGAGTTAATTTGAATAAGTAAATTGTGACGCCATTGCCAGGCCGGGTTGAACTCCTGTGACTGATTATATTGTCTTATGAACTGGGCATTCTCATTTCGTTCCTTATATTAATGAATCAGATGTGTCCCTTATAAGACAACAATCCAAATCCCCGGTTTCCATACCAACCATAATTCAACTATAATGAAACGGTGCTCACCCGTTGGGGCAGAAGTGTAATGATACCATTGCATTATATAATTATATAATATAATACCGTTTACAAGGTTTGAACATATCTGCAAATTTTAACGAACAATACATGTATTAATATATCATGAAATGCCATGCACCATGTATTTCAATACAATGAAAATGCAACTGTTGGAAAACAATCCGTCTTTACAGTTTTGATAACGGTTGTACCAGCCAAATGTCTAACAAGCACAACATTTATATAAGAAGGTTACCTTCTGGAATGTTAGAGTGGGAGGTGCACTCTTCAATTTTGGACTATTTGTATTTTTATCGTCTCTGCATAGAAAAGAGAAGCATCTATTCAATGACTATTTTGATTTCAAATGACGGTCGTAGTGTTACATAAACCGTGTGTGACTGTGTTTCAAACCATGCCATGCTACATTCATACATATTTCATTCATCCACTTTTAAATATTATAAATATAATAAATCAGTAAACATAATATATATCAAAATAGATAGATAAATAAAGTATTGTTAACTCAGAAGGTGGGTGTCGAGGAATACAGAATGTTTTAAGACAATGTTATACTTGTGTTTTACGGATTACTATGGCGTCGACTTTGCGGAAGGATGTTGCAACTTTGATACACTATGACTTCGAGATTTGAATCTGTCTGTCCTACTACATTTGAGATCAAATGCTCTATATATTGACCAAATGCTCTTTATATTATATTGTATTTAAGAATGTATTATTCTACATGCATTGTAATGCTTACGTACGAATGAAATGTTCCTTGGTAACTAATCATATTGGAAAAATTTGAAATTTGCAGAATCCATGTGAAACGGTTTGTTTTCCACCCTGCCCAAATTTGATGAAGAATGGTGCCATATTAAGAAAGTCATAGTATCTTTAACCTTATGCATTGGACACCATGTATATGCTCGTATACTGGCAGAATATGGACATTATTATTATTATTCGAGTATAGAAATTGGAAATTTATATTCACATACTAGAATTTTAGTAGACGACAATCCAATGCCACGTGTAATAGACAGCAGCAATTTTATGTTTTAATGCTGTTATTTGAGGGGAAGTTCACCCTTTATTACAGCTTCTGCATGCACTGACAAAACGTATGGTGATTCTGCATTACGAGATATGATAACACTTCATGTTGGTGCATATGTTTGCTAAAAACTATCAAGAAAGCATATCCAAGACGGATGCAATAATTTTATGGGGTTCATCCTTTACATTGCTATACAACGTTTGGTGAATCCTGATATTGTAGTCAACTTGTTCACACACACATTAACACAGCACGTTAACATATATTGGTATTTACTGCTTTCTTACATTTTGACATTGGCATTCACATTGGCGACGTTTGTTGACATTGTGAAACACAGTGATAAACAAGAAGAGCATAAAGTGCAATATATCACCATGGATATATTCAAACAACAATAATACCGGCATACATATTAGGTCACAATTTACTGAGACGGGAAGTACCACATAGTGAACCGGCATACCTTTGGGTAGGTCGGAACATCCCTCTTGAGCTGAATTTTCCCATCATCTGACAGTGAGCTATAAAAGGTTTTGGAACGTTTAAATCCGAACAACAAGGATATCTTAAAGTCGGAAGGAGTTGTATTCGAAGAATGGGCGTCATCTTTGTTCACTATAGACCTAATTCTATAAAGTGGGTCCTATACCAAGTCGGTACATACGTAGTTGAGTTAATATCTCTTCAATCTTAAATTTCCAAAACCACAATGTTATTTCTGCTGTCAAAATGTACATGTGGTAAGCATGGAACGTACTCATCGTGTGTCTCATTTTACTTTTACGGAAATTGATCCAAACATCTAACACCCTTATATAATGCCATTATAATTGAATAGTGATGCACTTCGTGACCTTTATGACAAATTTCTAACTACAGGATAAGAACAATAATGATAAAATGATAAGAATTCCATGACCTAGACACATTTGCATTACCTCACCTATGAGTATAATTATAGAATACAGTAAAACGTGTTTAAACTTCATAAAATGTACATACATGCATAAATTATTAAAATATATATAACATAAATCTCTACACAAATCTAGCAAAATGTGCAATTAGAAAAATGACTACCGTGCAAATTAAGTAATTAATTACACTTAAATATAATATGGGAATAAATAATATTGTGAGACAGCTATTAATTAGTTGTTTTTGTTGAACTAAATGGAAGCATTAGTGGTATAATACCTTCTGGTGATCCAATCACAATACGAATATATACTTAATTTATTATAACTATGTGGTACTCAAAGGTATATCATAAGCTAATATTGAGAAAGGAATATAATCGAGGAATTAATGTTCAATATCAAAGTTAATTAGGATCAGATTGCAAAGCTAAGTAATTCATAATGGTATACCGTAAATGGTTGTAGACAATAAACTTTTTCTGTGCGTCATATATTTGATCTTTTATCTGAACGATTTCCTTTTTGCATCTGTCTATTTCCACTAGTTTCATGTTTTCAACTGAAAAAGAAAAACATGTTATAGCAATAGGCAGTTTTTAACTTCTCATCGGAGAAGAGTTTGGTGTCACGTGAACCCCTTCTCAACAGAAACCAGCCAATGGGATCATAAGAAACGTTTTAGTATTACAAATCCCATTTAGCAGTCAAAACGTAGTCCAACTAAGTTCGAATGCCATGTTCCTTAATATCAAAACAATGAATAAGACCCATGTGGAAAAAATACTCACATTCCATCTTCTTTTCAAGATTATTCAACCTCTCGGAAAGATTTTTCTTCATTTCCTCTACTTTGAATGCCCTGCAATTAAAAATAGATGCTTTTCATAGTGTTAGTTGATGTGACACCCATGTACTACTTTAAATCGCGCTCATTGTAAATCCCGAGTTATCCCATACGTGTAATAAAACACTATTATTTATTTTTAAATATCACAGAGGTTACAGAATCAGAAGGATTCTTAAATTAAGAGAGTGTTTTAAATCAAGGACAGAAAACCCATATGTCGTCTATTGTTTGGTATTAACGATATAAACATAAGAAAGGGATAGTTTATCACTAACTATAGAATGCAATAATTGTAAAATCAGCTGACATATTCTGCTCCCTAATTCAAACGATTATAAACAAAAGTTCAACTTCAATCTTGTATTACGTATTTCACCGATATGCGGCATACATAAACGTTCTCATGTAATTAACTGATGGTTACTTTACCACTGGATCATCAAGCAATAATATTGGATAAATTGTCGCTAATGTGACATCGATCTCATGTTTAATGACAAGATGACCATGCGTCACATACTCTGCGGGTCAGAGCCTAATACAGAATATTGAATAGATTGATTGTTACTTATATGGTATCAATATAATGTTGAACTACGAGCTGACCATGCGTTACATACCTTGCAGGTCAGACCCTAATACATTAAGTGAATCACTTATATATAGTATCACACCAAACTGAATGGTGTGCTTTAAACTACCTGTTAAATTGTTCCGACACCTGATGTAGGACAAGCTGCAACATTTCATTTCCATCTGCAAGTAGACATGTTTTATTTGAAATGGAAAGAAAAGTACTTATAAAATGTTATTCTAATAGTAGCACTGTAAGGCAAGTTAGCAAAGTCCAATGCTTGTTTTTGTCTATAAGTACATACAAAACAGGCAGAAGTCAAATGGAAGTAACCTGCTTTAAAATGATTCTCTAATTAATATCAGAAGAAATTTTTTTCACAAATAATTCTTACTTGGCTGCTTCACGATTTCTTTGACGTAAACTTTGTAAGGTGTGCTGAAAAAGCAAATTAAATCTTTCTTATTTAGCTAAACCATATTCATTACGGCCCATGTGGCATATCTTAAGACTCGTTTATCCAACCTATTCTACCATGATTGGCAATGACATACCTATTAATGAGTTTCCTTCATACATAGGCTTGATGTTAAATTTAATAGCCGGCTTGATAAAATTGTAAATAAGGCTGAATTCCACGTTGAACTTTGGAATTTTGATGTGTAAGACGTACCTGTTTGTATTGACGGGCATTGTAGGTGCAACAGATACCAAGGCACCCTCTTTATCCTTCAGAGACACAGAGGCAATGCTAAAATTGAATACATGATTTCGAAACTCGTACGACACGATGATAGTTCGAGGTTAATATACAAAATTACATAAACTACGGATTTGATGCTTTGCTGATTCAAAAAATGATAGTTTGTATATTATTACAAAATAGTATTATATTACAAAGGATACCCTGGAAAGTAATGACACTGTGATGACACAAAACTAAAAACGGAGTTTTCATGTAATTTGGAATGCTTACTTTTCCTTCCCGATGGCCTGTGTCAATAAATGTTGAATGTCTAGAGAGCTGCAATTTGTTCCGAAACATATCTGAAATAGTAATGCGTTTCAATGATATCACATGCCCCACCCTGTGTTTATTTAAAGGTTTCATGCAAAGTTTGGAAATATGCTTTACCATTCATTTAATATTGTTCATGACTTTGAAATTTATTAAAGAAATTGTAAAAAGGCTCCATGCAAAGTTTGAAAACATGTTTTTATTATTCATTTTCTAATGTCCATGACTGAAATTAGAGATTGTAAAGTATTTTTCGAAAAAGTTGTGAGCTTTTTATTTGTCAAATATTCAAATTTCCCGCCATTTTTCAAATACATTTTGACATTTTCTAATTATCAAAATCCCAAAATTCAGTACGAAGCACACCATTGTTTTAACACCATTGTAAGGATTGCACAAATAACACACTACCTTAATAATAAAATGTCATAGTTGATATGCCGCGTGAATGTTTTAGCATATCAAAAAAACGTTTGCACCCTTAATTACATTATGGTGATGTCAATTAGGGTGCCAAATATTTTTTTATGCAAATCTTATCAAAATATCAACATCAACCCATGTTGCTTTTCTAATTTGGTTGAAAAGAAGACTATTTTACCTTTAAAATAATACTATTCCATTGCTTTCAATGCTATTTTTGTTCAATACCAATCTTCTCAATATGCTTAATTTTCCTTGAATGAATTCATTTCTATCACATTTATCAAACAATTTACTCATTGTTTTCAACAAAAAACACATAAGGCTGAATGATATGCATTGACGTGAACTAACGCTTATTAAAGATATGTTTGACCTCTAAAATGTAATTCTAAATAAATTCACAATTTTTGAGCTGCCATCACACCTGTGTACAAATTAATATTAACCTTCAGTTCGTAATTATTGTCAGGCTTCCCATGTTAACATTGAGATCTACAGTGATACGTCTTATCAGTCTTAGAATGTCGTAATATTTGTGTAACCTTTGTATGATTTTGTTTTGCGCAAACATTACAATTTTTGTTAGACCTGTGGTGCGTGGCGACATTCAGTGTGACATAAACCAACATCTCACCTTTTCCATTTTGCCGTTTATATCTAAATATACGGTTTTTGATGACTCTACCGATGCTCCATTCCCCATGGTGATATGATAAATCACAGGTCAAAATATCCAAGTAAATTATACCGCAATCATGTAAACCAAGATGGCGTCTTATATATATATCCGTTCATGTAACCTCCTTTTTTGTTATGTATCCCTCCACCGCTCGTTTACAATACTGACCAGATTCATAAAGACCTGTTGTAATCGCATATACAGCTAAATTGAAACACAGAATATTGTAGCTCTAGCCCAACAATTCTTGTGGATTAATGCTTTTCAGAAGCCACAGGTTAACAAGGTGTCTTCTCTATCCAATAATGTGTTTCTCGTTACTATGACGACTCGCAGGTATGATATATGATAGTGCTAATGAGCCAGTGTATTATTGATTATTGTACATATATAAATGGGACTTCTACACATGCAATTTCTCTAAATTACGCATGAAATGTATTACATACCTAATGGATGCATAGCAACCTATGACTAATGGTGGGGCAGCTGGTTCATGTGATAAACGTCCGCTTTCATTGGGTTATAGAATCAGATCCAGTTATTTGCCTATATAGCTCACCTGTCAAGTCCCGATTTAAATCGCAACAAATCCCGATTTTTTATTGCTCATACCTACTTTTTTCTTAATCCCGATTTTTTATATAATACCCCGATTTTGTGTTCCAAACTCCCGATTTGTAAACGAGACATCTCGATTTTTATAAACTTTCGATTTTCTCCCGATTATTCCGATTTGTTTTTAGTTATCCAGATTCTCCCCCGACTTTTTAGATTTATTGACTCAGTATTTCCAACTCCGATTTTTCTCCCTATCTATTTTATGATATCCCGATTTCCTCCCGATGTTTTTATAAACCTCGATTTTCTCCCGGCTTTTTAGATTATTGTTTTGTACTATTTGTAACCCCGAGTTTCCACCCGATTTCTTTAACAATATAACGATTTCCTCCAGAGTTTTTCAAAATCCCAATTTTCCAAAATAAATCCCGATTTTCACCCTGATATTTCAATTTCTCAAGATTTTAAAATAAAATTATCCGAGTTTTGATTATTTTTAGTTGATAGGTATTATATAGAGCTTCTCCGTTCAAATATATCCCTACTTTGTCAAACTAGTTGAAGAAAATACAAAAGACTGCTACAAAATACCTTACTTCAAATTCAATTACCTCACATTCCGTTAATTTACCGTTCTTGGTCATTATTATGACGCTATTTTCGATAATTCTAAAAAAAACTGTGAACATGCAATGTTTCACGAGCAACAGTCAAATTTATTATACAGCAAATACTGTTGACTTTCATAGGGTCATTTGTCACACATAAATATATATGCTTATGTTAATATACAGGGAAGGCCAAAAAAGTTTGCAACTTTTTTAAAAGGCTAGAAAAGTATCGTAACATGAAGGTATTGACACAAAAATCGATTTACACAAAGTTTAGGATAGGCATATTTTACGATTCAAATATCTAAGATAATACTGACTTCTAATTTTTTTGACAGATCTTTGAATATCAGTGGTAAATTGTTCATGTGTCCAATATTTACCATTTTTTCCGCTAGAAAATGTGAAGTTCTATGATTTTATGTGATCAACAATAACACATCCATTATGTTCACTAAATCTTTTACAATCTCTGATAACTGTTTATTATACTAGGACAGTTTATATCGGCATCTACTCACAATGGTATTATGTTATACTGTATCTATTAATATTTATTAATCACATGTTCTTACATCCACCTTTCACCTTCACTATCGCTCCCAGCCATCAGGCAAGGGTCACTTTGGAATACCTGGAGGATGATACCTCTAGATTTATTAGTCCTTATAAATGGCTGCCCGATACACCAAATGCCAACCCCTGTGACTATCACACATGGAGGCACCTGGAGCAGTTTATTGCAGTTAATGGTAATCCCCACACACTATTGATCAACTAAAAGAGGTTAGGAGAAGTGGAAAGAAGTACCACAAGAATCGCTGGATGGCGCCATTGCAGTTACGCCCTTGTGTCTGTGTGATAGTGAAGGTAAAAGGCGGATACGTGGAACATGTTTAAATAAATATTTAATAGATACAGTATAAAATAATACCATAGTAGATACTAATATAAAACTGTACTAGCCATTGGTTAAACAATTAAAAGATTGTAGCAGATTTAGAGAACATAATGAATGTGTTATTGTTAATCACATAAAATCATAGAAATTCACATTTTCTAGGAAAAATGGTAAATCTTGGACACATGAACAATTTACCACTGATATTCAAGGATCTGTTGAAAAAAATTTAAGTCAGTATTAGCTTAAATATTTGAATGGTAAAATATGCCTATCCTAAAGTTTCTGTATATGAATTTTTATGTCAATACCTTAATGTTATGATCCTTTTCAAGCCTTTTAAAAAAGTTGCAATTTTTTTTGGCCCACCCTGTATATATATAAATACTTGTAGATGAACTTATTCCCTGGAAAATCCCAAATCTATGCTAGCAAAATGAAAAATATAAAAATATAAAAATTATACACAAAAAAATATATTCAATACGAAGACGTAAGGATTGTAATTTGCGTCGCTATTTAATAAATTGCACATCATTTTGTCATAATTACCTTAACATTAGGTTTTAGCTACCGATACATAAAATGACTACAAGGCCAACAACAGGGTGCTTTTTAAAACCTGTGATCGCTTTTATGATTTGTATATTCTCTTTGATGCCATAGGGATATAATACATAGATATTCATCATATAAAGAGAAATACCTGTTTATCTTTACAAGCATTATACGCCGAAGTAACAATTGCTAGCCTAAAAGTAACATCCTATCACCGAATTAGAAAAATGTATTCGTGTTATTATGAATTTACTGATATATTTCTCATTCTCTGAATGGAACAACATATAGTTAGCTGTATGAAAAAACAGCTCATTTCAAACTATGAAATACAGTGAGTTACAATTTGATTTAAAAACTAATATATAAATACATTAAACTGAAAATGCGAGTTTTCCCTTGGTGAAAAGCCAACCGGCAAATGTTATACTTTATACTGGACGAAGTGACGGGCGGTTAACGCAAATGGTCAATATGTTTTTTTGTAACGTCACACACTTGATTGTCGTTGTGAGGGTATCATGAAGTACTTTATGTGAATACATTAACGTTAGAGCCACACAATATTCAATCGTTTTTGAACATACGTTGGGGTAAAAAAACGAAGATGATAATGGTATATATATAAATGGGACTTCTACACATCTATTGATGCAATAAATACATTATATTTTGTTCTTGAAGAATAGTGTTTACCAGGATAATCCTGCATGTTGGTGATCTCAAAAGAGAAATAACAAGAAGAGTGTGAGCCATTACACCAGCTTAATGCAGTCAGGTAATCCACAACTCTTCTAGGTGAGTACCTAAATGACCACGACTGTAAAGTACCAATGTGACTTAAATGAAAATCTACAGACTAACCATCAATGAATGAAGATAAGTTCTGTCAAAAAGTGGGTATCGATATGGAGAACTTAATTCCACTTTTTTTCTCTGAAACGAAGTAATCCCAAAATATGAAAAGATAGACAGCAACAATGCAATAGTCATCTTTTCAACTGTACCAATTTTATTTGATAATTATTTACCAATTTTTCATATTTTATAGTAGTATAGTCTTTTATAGTAGACCCATCCAACACGGTATTTTCTTTGTGCTACCAATTCTTTGGGATTTTTTTTAACAATTTTCCTTAGCTGATTCGAACAAACTGAGATACACATATGCTTCGTAATCATCTCAATATCCTCGATAATTAGTTAATTAGTTACAGTTAGGTTTATTTTAGATAAGTATCGAAAAAGTTGGAATTAATGAAATATTTAGCAGTTGGGTTGAATTATTTAACTTTTGTGTGTATAGAGGGCTACTTAAATGCGTCATGTTTATTTTTGACTGAACAATTTTTAATATAATTATAAGAAATCACTCATGAACAATAGTTTAGATGTTACTGAAAATTGTAAAATCTATCTATTTATCATTTATGCTCGTTTAAGAGCAACGAATTAGAACATAAATAGTTTATAATGTGTACTGGTAAACCAAGCTACTAATCAGGCTGGTTTGCTTTGTTTCAAGCACAAGTTGGTTTTCAGATGGATGAATTGCATTGTTATTGCATCCTTGGTACAAGGGTATTTCATTTCTTTCCATACCCTTGAATTTAGTATAGAGCATTGTGAATGAAAACGCATTTTCTGCGTTGACCACTAGGAAACTCAGCTTATTTACGACCCCTAAAATGAAACTAACTGGGCTTGAGTGTAGGGCTGAATTTAAGCATCAGTGAAGTCCTTTGAAGAAGGATGTTGTTATTGTAAATAACTAACAACATACCATTCAATAAATACCGATATGTGGGGTAATTACATGTCTTTCTTATTTGTTAGGTTTAATATTGTAAAGGACCCAAAATAAATCTGATTTCAATTGTAATAATATTTTCCATTTATCTGCTAACGTTATCAAATTCAAATGACAATTCCCTATTTTGATTCATATTCAAAAATTATATGAATTTGCATTGTCATGTAAAGATTTGCAGACTTCTTCTCGATATTCAAACAATGGTTCACACAAACGATCTCAAACACGACCATCAATCCTTAATTTTGTTTTTTCTAGGTGAATCATATATCGAACCTAAATCGAATTAGCTTTTGTTTTTTGGGAAAAATCTTAATTTACATGCAAATCTTCAAATAGAGTACATCGTCCCCTTTTGTGTAATGGTTCTGAATCATTGAAAGTAACCCTAAAGAAACATATTCCAAAAAACGTTTTCACAAACAAGAAAGATCCAATAAAACTAATGAAAAATAACTAAATAAATAAATTGCACATTTTGATCATAAAATAAGCGATCGAGTATAGTAAGCTTTATTATGAGCTTGTTTTTTCGGGCGTTTTTGGCAACGCTGCCTAAATTAAAGTGTGTGGTAATCTATATTGAGTGCGCGATTGTCCGTACTCGGGGACTATAAATAGGGCCAACCAAAGTTTGGTTCAGATAGGTGTGAGAGGACGGTCGAAACAGTGTGCTTAACATAAACTCGCATGTTTACAAATCTAGGTAAGTAACATATTTTATATTGCAAATAATTATTCAAGATGTAACTCGTAAGGTATATTTTTATGTATTGATATAGTGTTGGGTATATATTTTGGATAAACATTGAAAACTTCCACTGCATTATTTATCAGGCCGATACATATAAAATATCAACGTGTTGTGGATGATTGCTCACGTAATGATAAGTACATGTG